AGGTAACAAAGATGGCGTTTCCTAAGTAAGACTGATGACTCAGCATGGTGGAGTAAACTGGAAGACTATTTTGGAGAACGTAGGTAACAGACAACCGGGTGCTGTAACGGCCTGTCTCGCCACACTGAGCGACGTTGGTTGGTGTTTACTCACCATGATGGTGGCTGTAGCAGTGGAATACTCTCCCCCACCCCAGCACTCCCCAATATTGGGACATTTCGCCTCTTCACAAACCTGTGAACACAAGACAGCAGGGAAGCAACAGACTACAGTGACAGAAACATAACCTTTAAACTGCAACCTTTTCATGGACTACAGTGTATAATAGGCATGACCATAAAACGTTTGTCAATTAGAAGAATCCACTAGACCATCTCTAGTATCTAACTATAGACATTTAAATAGGATTTACAGATAGCTATTGGTTCATTTCAGCTTAATGCTTCAGTTCATCTTTAAAAATCCGTTATTGAGGACTAAATCACATCCACTCTGCAGGTCTGTTACCACTGCTTATTTGTCTACATATTCACACAGAGATCAGCTGAAACACTGATTTCACCAATTTTGGGATTCTATGGACCTAACATAGGCACAGGACGCTGATATATGAAACTTATCAAGCTCCAGATAGTCGAAGAGTTTTTCAGAACAGTTTTGGTTATCGCTGTGTTCAGTTTACTGCAGTTTAACCTTACTGGAATCGCCTTGGACTGAATAAAAGAACAATAACAACACAGCTGGTTTAAAGTACAGGAGTAATTCAGTGGGTATCTTACTGTGTGCAGGTTTAAATTCCGCAAAGTGTTTTTCAGCTTGTTGTAGTTTTTCCCAATGGGAATCTCGGTCTTCAGCCAAGGGGGCAGCCTTAACCTGAGACAGAAACAGAACAGGTGACTCTCCTATTTCCTAAAGCCATCAGAACTAAAAAAAAAACAGTCTGCCTAACAGCAATTGCTTCGTTTTTAGACAGAAGCCATATCAACCTGTAACTCAAAGCTGGCAGACCACTGAAGCTCAGCGGGTGTGAGCCTGGTCAGTACCTGGATGGGAGACCTCCTGGGAAGAACTAAGGTTGCTGCTGGAAGAGGTGTTAGTGGGGCCAGCAGGGGCGCTCACCCTCCGGTCTGTGTGGGTCCTAGTGCTCCAGTATAGTGACAGGGACACTATACTGTAAAAAGGCAGTTTTAAAACTGAGGTCCTGACTCTCTGTGGTCATTAAAGATCCCAGGACATTTCTCAAAAAGAGTAGGGGTGTAATCCGGCATCCTGGCCAAATATCCCACTGGCCTTTACCAATCATGCCCTCCTAATAATCCCCATCTATAAACTGGCTTCATCGCTCTGTTCTCCTCCCCACTGATAGCTGGTGTGTGGGGAGTGTACTGGCGCACTATGGCTGCCGTCGCATCATCCAGATGGGGCGGAACACTGGTGGTGGTGGAGGGGATCCCCATTACCTCTAAAGTGCTTTGAGTGGAGTGTCCAGAAAAGCGCTAATAGAAGTGTAAGCAATTATTATGATTCACACAGATCTTGGCAGTACTGCCTCTCCTTCGGAAACGGGCAACAACGGGTTTGTTTCTGGCCTTCCTTCACCGTACCTCTCTCCTTTCTGCCGTTTCAGGCTGCCTTTGTACTCGGCCCATTTGCTCTTCTCGGATAGCTCTCCAGATATGAAGTCCTGCAGTCCTGGTCCGTGATCTAGCAAATCCCTCTTTCCGTCGGTCGCAGTAGAGGACGTGGCACCTGCTGGAGTCGTCAGGCTGTTCGCACAGACCTGCCAGGGAGATGATGCACCCACAGGCCTCAACCCACATGCCGAGTCCTGACTTACACGCTAAGACCAGGCTGGGGGTAAGACAGTGGTTCTCTCAGTGGGACTCTGCTGGTCACCGTTACAAATGGGCACTTAATCTTCACTGTTAACTGATGTATAAAACTCATTTGTTTGCTTCCTAAGGTTTCTTTTCACACTCAGGCCTTGATTATGTCATTAACGCATCACCATTTAAGCAACAACTTTAGCAAGCAGAACTTTATGCAGTGTCTCATTCAACTTGCTAACATTTAATGTGCTTTCTTTTTTCCAACAAAGATATCTAAGTGATCAATTTATGACGGAAAAACCATCAGCAGGAAGTGTATCTGTATCAACCACTCTTTGCCCTGGGAGTGTTTTCTTCTCCTTAGGTCCCAAACCGGAAAAAACAACAGGAAATTGAAATAAATTGATCTGCCATTTAAAAACTTAACCGGAGAAGATTAAGTTAAAACAAAGAATATACAGGATTGAGAACTACTGCCTTGATGAATCTATAGGCAACTTAATTTCAGAGTTCACTGTCAGGTTATGTACAGTTTACGCAATGTGTCACGAAATAACATCACACTTTTGATTACAAAAGTACAAGTATCCATCTCAACCTTCCTTTGCCGTACATATTTACCCAGACAAAACCAGTTTTTTTCGTTCAGAAGACCAGTTCTATAGAAAAATATCGGTTCCCTTTTCTGATATTTCTTTACAAACAACTACACTATACACAAATCACAACAGAAAATGCACTTTGGTGCCGAGGAGTCTTGACGCGCAATGCCAGCTGGGACGGGAAGCTGAACGTTTTGATGTTGCGACATTCTGACTTTTCATATTTTCATATTTTGAAACACACATATTTTGTAACGACACATTTGTGTTAAACTGCATTACAACTCTTGCAAACGTTCGTGCTCGTTATACAACTCTCAGGGGAAAAGAGACCTTCTAAACATTATGCTAAAGTTAAAAGGCTCGTTCTGGCTCACCAAAACTCTGCAGAAGTCCGAAGGTTATTCTGACTTTCGAGCACTACAATCAAACGCCTCACTGCCGTTATCCACATTGAATATATACTTCAACGCCATATTTAAAACGTAAGAACCAAATCATTAGTCAAAGTTGAGAGGAAAGAGGGTCAATCCAGAGAAATCATGCAGCGTCAAGCACAAGGATAACCTTGGTCCTCTGGTGAAAACACTCATCTGTCCATATTCCCGAGTACAGTGGCAGTGAATATGAAAACACTTACACGGATCACATCGAGACCAGTCGTTTTAAAGCCAAAACGGGAGCTGGAGACGCGGCTAAACAGCCTTGTGTGCGCAATTAACGCCATGTCCTCACAACTCTGCAACAGCAGCACAGCACACAACACACATCAGCGGCGCTGACATCAACTGCTCATGACTGGTGACGGCAGCGCTCCTGGAGAAATGGGAAGATTCAGCGTTAACTGAGTTGTGTTACATGTTATGTTTTCAAGCTACATGATACACCGAACTATTACTCGTAGTTATTCGATTTGCAGTTATTACGAGGTGTGCTTAAAAACTGCACGCAAATTTAATACTGACACTTTATCATTCTCACTGCTTTAACCTCTCGGAGACTTTACAATCTGCAAGTGATGTCTGGGAATAGAAGCGCCCTGACCTTATGACGTAGCACGCTACGAGGGTACAACTGCGTGATGACGTCCTTCCTTCTTCCTTTCCTCTACCAGCACCAAGGTAAGGAGAGTGAGAATGATTTCAGATGCATTGAAATCTTTTTTAATCTAAGCACAGTGAGCAATATACAAATATACGAGAGCCCGTAAAGCGTTCCAGAACTCTCCTTCGATGTATTTTGATGTGTATTACGGTGATTAAGCACAGATGAAACGGACAAAAGTGATGTTTAAAGTGCCCGTCGGGTTTCTTTCTGTGCATGATAAGTAACAGTAGGGCCTTTCCCTCCTACCCGGGAATATTCCGACCTTTTGACGTTTTAGTCGCGGGACTGCATTCGCCTTCTCACGATGCATGGTTTATATTTTTCCTCAAAGTGTGTTTTCCCTAACGGACAAGATTTGTCGGGATCGCTAGAGACGTTAGACGTTAAGAATTAAGTTTTAACTCCTGATCGTCGCTTCCAGGACTCGTTGAAGTGTTTTGGAGTCGCATTAGGTACACAAGTATAAAACTTCTTAACCCCTTAATTTTTACATTTTAAGATATGCTTAGACAGAGGGGAGCACACTCGCCCTACTGTTGCTTAAAATGACATTCTAACTGAAGAAACGTGTTCTTGTTTTATTGGACGCGTATGAAGTGGGTTTTTTTAAAGCGGCTGGGAGTCGTTTGTGCTCAAGTTTGCTGTACATCGCAATTATTTCGCTTGCGTTGTTGTGAGAGTGAGGATTGTCCAGGCCAGGTCCTGGGCTGTAACTCCAGTGGGTCTGTTTTCTGAAGGCACCTGTTCAGCTGTTGCACCTCTGAGCTGTGTTCCCCTCAGCTTGTTGAGAAAACCCCTTTCTGTACTGTACTGTACCCTTGCAAAGAGCTTTAAAGATGCTGATGGAAATTGTATCCGGAAACGCTCCCATCCAAAATGTCAGTTCTGGAGTCGACTGCTCCAGAAAGGAAACCCATAATGATGTTGAGCTAAAACTCGGGTCTTGACACAGAACCAATATGAATGTCTAAACTACCCTTGTGACTTTGTTTTTCCAAAGGAATTTGGTTAGAAATCTAAAATCCGGTTCTAGAGAGTAGCTGGTTTGTAGTAGTAGCAGCTTAGTGTTTTAGTTTCCAGGTGGACTAAAATCCGGGTGAAAGCATCTTGTAGCTCTGTGGGTTGTGGAGCCTTGTTGTAAAAGTTTTGAAGTTCAGCCGCAGAGTGACCTTTAAGTGGCGAATAACAAACAGGACTACGACACCTCCTGCACTGTGGCTCTTGAGCTGGGGTGTGTGTGTGTGTTTCTGCACAGTGTACAGGCTAGGAGTTTTATTCCTTGAGGAGCGGAAGGCGCTACAGTAGTTTTGCAGTTCATGCAGACGTGTAGTGAAATGTTCATGTTGTCGTTTCCTCTCAGAATGAAGACCATCCTCAGCAACCAGACCGTCGACATTCCCGACAACGGTAAGCAGTGGTAAACCTTTGTCTATGATGGAAAAGTAAAAGTGTGAGGAAAGATATGAACTGCAGAGGCTCCAGGGAGTACAGCCTTCGTATGTGAAGTATGGTGCAGACAATGTCATGGTTGACCTCCTGTGAAACTGGCTCGCTTGTATTAGTTGTTTAACTCGTGATGGCAGTGGCAGAGTGAATTCTGAAGTTTTCTGAAGTCTCCTTTTCCGAAGAGGAAAAAAGGTGGACCATCTTAGACTGATCAGATCAAATCAATCTCCATTCTGGAATCTAGATGAGCATGCTGATGGGGGGGAGTAAATTCGTGATCATGCCAGTAAAAGCAAGATCTCAATTTGGCTTGGCAGAACACCTCAAATGATTACTCGAAGGGTGTTTGGTGTGCCCAGTGAGCCACAGACTAACCCGGCCTCTCCGGTTGTGTCCGCAGTCGACGTGACGTTGAAGGGAAGGACCGTGATCGTGAAGGGACCCCGCGGGACTCTGCGGCGGGAGTTCAACCACATCAACCTGGAGCTGAGCCTGCTGGGCAAGAAGCACAAGAAGGTGAGGGGCTGGGCTGGGGGAGCGTGCTGGTACCTTGTTAACCCCTAGGATGTCTTCCAGCTGTTTTGAAATCAAGGCAGTGAATGTCTTCGGGATAAACTGCAGAACAAGATGCCGAGGACACAAGTGAAAACTAGCAACGAAGTGCATTCACAACTGAGAATGGGAGGCATTTACGCAAAGAGTTGTGGGAGTGTGGAACATGTTAACCAGCCATGTTTAAGATGATACCCAGGCTTTTGTCAAATAACAGCTGGATGAAATCCATGGATCAGTGACCTACTGTGTAATAGACTGCATGGGCCAAATGGCTTCCCCTTGATTATGAACTGTTCTTGTTTCCTGAAAAATCTCATGGGATCTTTTTCAGCCACTTGGCTGGGTGACTTGTTCCAGGCACTCACCACCTTGTCGAGTTAAAGGGATGTTCTGGAGAGCTGGTGTGTCAGCAGACTTTTTATGTCTTCTTAAACTCGTGGCTGAAGAGCTAGGAGAAATTAAACAGTTATATTATTGATTGAAAGGACCAAACGTGATGCATCAAGGGCTGTGTTAGAATGAGAACTTGCAAAGACACCAGATCTTCAGTTCCACGATTGACCATCACTTCTTTTACGGACTTAATAAGGGAGCACCTGCAAGAGATGCAGGAAAATAATGTGCTCTCCAGAGCTTGCATGAGTATTTCTTTAGTATTGTATTCTAATGGCACACTGTGTTTGACTGCTTCTGCCTACATTTATTGTGCTAAGCAACATGTAACACACAAGTGCCTTTTAAAATTGCTGTGTGTTGGGAAGCATAAAGTGCAACAAAGTTTTTGGTTTGGATTGTTAATCATTTACTTAAGTCTCTAATCTGTTCGGCTGTAAATGTACTAAGCTATTTATCTCTTCAAGGTTGTAGTACTTCTCAGTAGACTTTCAGGTATTAAACAGAGTTTCAGAGTGATGGTTGCAGGGTTCTGCAAGATTGTATTAATGCGCTTAACCTTGAACAGTTTTAGTTTTCCGGGGGTTGTTCATTTGAAGTTACCCCTGCTTTGTCTTGTGTTGTGCTTTTGTTGATACTAACAAAGTGGAATGGTTGGTGGTTAAGGAACAGGTCTAGTTGTTTTAAATCTCTGAAAGAATTGAATGTATTGAAGTCCATTGATGTGTTCAACAAACAGTTAAATTTAACAAGTGACATCTGGGTACTGGGTGCTTGTACATGTCTCATGATTGTCAGATTTGGACTGAGACCACAATGCACTTAACAGTCACGTGACTATTTAACATTTTAATTAATCAGTTACTGTTGAACAAGTGCGATGGGATAAGGCTCTGTCCAAGATTATGTGTGGTTTTGACATTCTGTTTAATGTCAGGGAGGCACCTGATATTTCACACTATAGGTTGACTTACCGTGGACTTGCAACTAAATTACTGCTCCTCTCTTCTCCAGCTTCGAGTCGACAAATGGTGGGGCAACAGAAAAGAGCTGGCTACAGTCCGAACCATCTGCAGCCACGTGCAGAACATGATCAAGGGCGTGACGCTGGTGAGTTTTTGCTGACCCTTCCTGTAGCACAGTGAGGAGAATTAGATCAGCTGACAGTGGTGGATTGGGGGAAATGTATTCGAGTTGTTTGTCTGACAGTCAGTCAAAAATAGGTCAGCGGTGTTCTCTTAGGAACAAGCTTTCCTGTGACCTGAAGAAATAGTTTGGAAAGTTGTGCGTCTGTAAATGCTTTCGCATGCAGTAGGACATATGAGCAGGCCACAGAGCTAGCTACTGGGTGGATCTGGCAGCACAGTTAGAGTCTGAACTCTGAATCTGGTAAGAAGACCTGTCCTTCACCAGTAGACCAGCAGGTACCTTTAACTTGAGGACTCATCTGTCCCAGCCAACAACAACACCCCACACACTGGGTGCGCTAAGCTAAATGTTGATAAGATGGAGGCTGAGCGTCTTGTTCCTTGCGCAGGGTTTCCGGTACAAGATGAGGTCTGTGTACGCTCACTTCCCCATCAACGTGGTGATGCAGGAGAGTGGAAGCCTGGTGGAGATCAGAAACTTCCTGGGCGAGAAGTACATCCGCAGAGTGCGCATGAGGCAAGGTGTGTGCTTTGTATTGAGCCGTGGGATTTTTTTCTAATTTCATAAAGAATTGCCCCATAGTATTTGATTTTGGAAAGGATAGCTGGACTAGTGAATGACCCTTTTGATATTTGAGGTGTATCTGTAATTTATTGTGAAGTGGAGTTTAACTTAGAGCAAGTGAATCCTACTGTCTGCATGCAGCTCTTGAGTGTAAAGAACTGCATCTGGATCTTCCTGATTATCAGCTACTTAAATATAGCTGCTACTTTGTTGTTTCTAAAGAAGTTCTTAACCGTAGAAATTTCTTCTTAAAATCCTTGGAAGAAATAGATCTAAATGCATGTCAATTCACATTGATGTTTTGTGGAAACTTGCTGTGAGGTTTGTCTTTTCCCTGTGGTACAATTTTTCGGAGTACACTGCCCTATAGTTTTGATGTATCCTTGTCAATTTAAAATGAGCTGCTGCTGCCTCTGAGGAGGCATACAGGTGACCTGTCCTGAACTCTTTCCTGTTGCTCAGGTGTGTCATGCACAGTCTCCCAGGCACAGAAAGACGAGCTGGTCCTGGAGGGAAATGACATCGAGCTCGTGTCCAACTCAGGTCAGTGCGCTGTCTGGGGGTCTCTGGTCATTTGTGGTTTTAGACTTGATCATTTTGTTTGACTCTTTTGCAGCCCTGCAACAGCTCAGTGCCAAAGTGTTTGTGTTTGCAGTGACAGTGGAGGATTTGTTGGATGAATTAACAATAGTGTTGGCTGAAGGTTCCCATTTCCAAGTGCAGCAATAAGTGTGATCTGCTGTCCTCATGAGTGGATTGTATTTTGGCGTGACTAACCTTTTTTAAGCATACTCCTCTTGCTGTAATCCTGGATATTACCGTGTGGAGTATGCCTTTGGATAGAACCAGACAAGTGTTAAACCAATGCTGGGCTTAGTTTTGGTGAAAAACCCTCGGACAGCATGCTCCTCCAGGGTATTCTGCCATATCCGTGGAAGGGAAATTCAAGGCTCCTCCTTGGATCAACTGGACTTAAATTGTGAACATTCATGTGCATACTAAGTATAATTGGTTATTTACTATTTAGTATCTTCCTTATAAATGGCAGAACATCGATGTGCAGAGTGCAAATCGGATAATTGTACTGTACATCCATCATTTTTCTTACACTTTCATGTTTCAGAATTTGAACCTGTTATGGTGTTTTAGGCAGGTGTCTGAAAGTTTTTACTTTAAGCCATGATCTTCAGGTAAAAAAAAAAAAAGAATTGTTTTGTCACAGACGAAACGCAGTACACAAAATAAATGGCCACTAGGAGCAGCAATTGCTGGCCAGATGCTGCAGTGCAAAACATGCCTGGCTCTTAAAAACCAGGTGCCTTCTGAGTAGATCTGAGGAGAGCAGGTTGCTTCTCAAACTCTTAAGTCAGTTTTCCTGTGAATGCACCATGGAACATAAGTTGCCTTTCTTTGCTATTTCTTTGCTGGTTTGGGATGAAACAGGAATTTATTGTACTGTATTTCAGAATCCTCGGTCTTGTGTTTTTCTATAATGCCATGGCTGCATGTTCTGTTTGACTGACCTGAATATTGTATTTTCCAGCGGCTTTGATCCAGCAGGCAACCACAGTCAAAAACAAGGATATCAGGAAATTCCTGGATGGCATTTATGTCTCGGAGAAGGGAACAGTTGTGGAACCAGAGCAATAAACCTCTAAGGTTAGAATGTGCTTTATTACCAAAGCTTTTTTTTTTTCCTTGCCCTTTTGAGCAATTAAGTGCCAAGTGTGTCCTTGGTAATTTGTGCCACATTATGTGATGTGCAACACTCCAGGTGTATATTCAAAATATTATCTGGGAAAACAGGTCCAGTGCGTGCAAAAAACTAGAATATATGCAAGATTTCAAAGAAAAGTCAGGAGAAATATAAGCACCAGAGTATTTGTTAGTTGTTCTTGGATAACTGTTGAGTGTAAAATGTTTGGAATTGGAAAGCTTGAATTTTTTTCCTGGCTTCAAGATGAATTTTTGATTGGTACCTCAGAATTTAAATGCTTTTTGCCAGCTCTAGTCCCGGAGAGCCGAAGCTGACCTTAATTAACTGAGGTTGACACCTTGCTCACTGTTCTTTTTAGGCTCCTTGTAAAACCTGAAGAAGATTCCATGGGCAAAACGTCTGCTTTTTATTTTTCAGTGTGGTATTAACATTTATATTTCTAAAACCCACAGGAAGATATTTCTCACACCTGGGTTTAACACTTCTTAGTTTAGACAGTATAAACATTAGGGTTAAAAGGTAATAAATTGTCAGACTTTCAGAATTGTGGTGTAAAACTGAGATAGATTGCTGCTGGGTTTTCTGTGTTGGTAATCTGTGCTTCTCCTGTACAGCTGCCCTGATCCAACAAGCTACAACAGTGAAGAAGAAGGATATCCGAAAATTCCTGGATGGCATTTATGTGAACAAGAAGACAACTGTTATTGATTTGCACAGCGAGTAAAATCTGTCCTCTTTGAGACAATAAAACCATCTTTTTTGCCACCAGATGATGCAGAGAGTTTGTTTTCTAAGGAATACACTTTCTTGTGTAGTGAAATGTGGGAGTGTTCAGGCAGACCTTTCTGAACTGTTTATCGAGGATGCTCATATAAGAGCTTACGGATTACATTTTGGCCCATCTTGTGAACATCCAGTGTTGGGTAGCTTAATATTCAAGTGGTATGAAGAACAAACAACATTGACAAAGTCAACGCAGTGGATGTCATCAGAACCAGAGCAGACAAGTGAAAATGTAGGCGCATTTAAATGAGAACTGATACCGTTTCCTTTATAAATGACACAAAGTATTGTAGGAACACAGACCAAATTACCCATCCAAGTTGTTGACACCAGCATGCTGTGGCTGTCCTTCTGTACTTGCCTTACTAAAAAAAACGAAGTAGATTCCAGCTTCAAATTGTTTTGAGCTCAGCTGCACAACTCCAGTCCTGGAGGGTTTTGGGGGCTGCTTTGTACCTGGGTTTTCAAATACCCAATTGATCTAATTGCTATAAATTGCCCTGTTGCAACGCCTGTTTCCCAAATACTTCAAGCACTGGAGATGGAAATCTAGCTATAAGAACTGAAACAAAACCAGAATCGTGCACATTCCATGTCTGGGTGTCCTCTGAAACAGGGGAGTAAGTAAAGGACATTCTTGAGCAATTTACTCCCAGGGGACTATTGGGACAATTCATTTTTGAACATGGAACCCAAGGGTCCCATCTCATTCATTTGGTAGGAAATTACTTTTACCTGTGTGGCTGGATATTTTGTTCAAGTGGTCTTGGGGAATGCATTTGCTGGTACAATTTATTTTGAATATTGGTTCCAAGTGTACAGTAGTCCTTAAATTCTTCCTAACATTTCATCTGGTCTGGCATGAGGATACTGATGTGAAATGAAATTTTTAAAAAATTCCTTTAACACATGGGGAACTGCACTTAATTATTACACATCTTGGGAATAATATGCGGTTTAAATAATCCAGTTCTCTGTTGTATAGTAGTGTTCGCAACATATCTTTATTAATATTTATTCTCGCAGCAGAACATTTCTGGATTTGGTCATTTCCCTGCATCTTGAGCGCCTACAATGCTGTCTGCTGAAGATATCACAGATAAAAAATGTCTCCTTTTAGTCTCTAAAATTAAATAAGTCACCATGAGAAGAAACTACACAAGTTTGTACAGAAGTGTAGTTCAGAGTTAGGACTGGAGTGGAAATACTTCAGTTTACTTGCATTCAGCTCGATACACGTTTCCTTGGGTCTGAAAAAAGTTGCTTTCAAATTTGATTAAAAAGTTTCTCTTAAGTGCTCAGATTGACCCCCTGTAATTAATTTCTAAAACCATTAGATTGAAAGCAAAAATGTAAAACTGAATTTTATTTGGTTCATAGTAATTTTATCACCTTGGGTAACGCCCCAAAGTAACTTAAAACCTTTTTAGATGTCGACAGGTTCGAAGATGTGTTTCTACAGCAGCGGAATTGATCCCCCAGAAACATTTAGAAATAATAGTTGATATCTTGGTAAAAACAATGTCTGAATAATTAGTCCAGTATTTCCACTTTAAGTACAAAGTGAAAAACATTCGGCATATTAACCAGAGCTGAATACGTTCTGAAGGTCTTTCCTTAATGCGTACAGTACCTACCGAATAAATATACACGTTAGGTATCCACCGTCTTGGATGACACGTCCCTAAAACAGGATTAAAACGCCCGTCAATTCGTCACGGATTAGTTCTTCCTGAAGCAGCTCTGCTTCACGTTGCTCCCGAGCTGGAGCAGGGTCGCTCTCTCCCACCTGGAACGCGCCCGGGATCTGCGTTTCGGCTTCCTCCTCCTCCTCCTGGCGACGGCGAGCACCATGGTAAGCAGACTCAGAGTGACGAAGAGGCAGATCCCGAAGAAGAAGAAGGGCTTCCTCTCCAGGACGAAGGCACAGACTGAACAGCTGCGCCCTTCCTCTTCCTCACAAGACACTCCCAGCTGCCCCAAGGCGGGGAAGCCCCTGTTGGCGATCAGTTCTCTGTACGTATTGACGGAGGACCGGGCAGTTGATTGGAAGAGCTGGGAGTTGAAGAGCCCAAACTGAGGGATATGTTTGTCCTGGAGCTTCCACACGTAGTACCCTTTCACATTCACGTGATCAAGCTGATGGGCTGAAAGGCACAAGAGGAACGAGTTTCATTTAGTTCACTGAATGAGCTGAACATGTAGAGACTAGAGACATGTAGATTACAGCATGGATTTGGCACTTCTACACCTTTTTAAATACAGGGGCCTTTATACGATGTCCCAGCGATGAAAAACGTAACGTGTCGGTAATGATCGTTTTAGGTTTCCAAAAAAAAAAAAAGCACCTGTAAAAACCTTTTAACATCGGGGTTGAGCTTCTGGCTGCTCCAATGTACAGTGTTCCAGGCCAGATGATTCTCGGCGCCCCAAGTGAAACTTGCAGGCTGATTCATTCTGAACATGAGGCTGACACTGACCTTCCAGATGATCACACCCAGTCACTAGCTGGACACATTTTACTGGGGGTTCACTGTTCTGCGTGATTTTGAGATCAAAGGTATAGGTACACAATAAAACCCACTAGTAATTCATTAAACTAGATTAAACCCGTATAAATGGCTGACCCTGCGCTTTGACCCCAAGCTTCTCCCTGTCTGTGTGTCTCATGGAGAGCATGTTGGGGTATGCAAATATTGAGATTAGAGGAGATAATTATTGTGTTTAACTGCAATATGTTTTTCTCCGTGGCACTATTAAGCTACCAATAAGAGATTTCAGTACCCAAAATCAATTAAATGCAAGTTAAATGTTAAGAAGAACTAAAAAAAGTGTATGTGGGACTATGTACACATCCCTGCATGAGAATGCTCCTTATAGACCCGGCAAAGCTAGCTAAAATGTTAATGGATAGGTTGTATAAGATTCCAACTTGAGGCTTCAAGATTATCTTTCTACAGTGATAAGCTGTGAGTGGTAAAATACCTCAGTTTGGAGCGCACATTCACAGAAGTCTTGTGACTGACAGAAAATTAAGACTGACTAGCAGAGAAATACTGTTGTTTCAGTAATGATGCTCTCACTCTGTGAAATGGTATCTCATTGGTATCAGCTTCGGGTTCTAACTATGAATAGTACAGTCGGCTGCAACAGTAGAGTGTTTGTCCAGACAGCAATCTTCCCTCTGCAAGAAACTGATTGACAAGGCTCTGCACGCTGTCGGTTGCTGCCAACTATAGCCACAGGGCTACACCCAGGGTCTCACCTTTCAGCACTTCCTGCAGGTAGCTCCTCATGTAGTACTGTCTCACCACGTCGTTGTCCCGGGACCGCTCGTCCACGCCGTTGGCCGTGATGTAAATCTCCACCTCCTCCCCGTACCGTTCCCTGACCCAGGCCAGAACTCTGCGGACCCCCCAGGGCACCACAGAGAGGCCCAGCTGGGAGGCAGGAAAGGTGATGTCGGACATCAGCTCGCAGTCCCGGTCATCCAAGTTCCGGCTGCCGTTGGCGCGCCGGTGGGTCACCAGGCGCGTGGTGAAGTGGTTGAGGGCCACAAAGTCCAGGGCGCCCCGGAAGGCCTCCCTCTCCTCCGGGGTGACATCCGGGAGGGCAGAACGGGAGAGGCCGGCCCCGGTCTTCTCCCGCAGGTAGCGGCGCAGGGGTGCCGGGTAGTCGCCGGGGCCGAGGAGCGGATCGAGGAAGTAGGCCAGCTCGAAGAGCAGGAAGCGGCGGGCGGCGGACGCGTGGGAGTCCAGGTAGGGGTTGGCGGGCTCCGCCCAGTCAGCGTGCAAAGAGAGGGACACCCGGCCCCCCTGCCGGGCCCGGTACTCCCGGTCGTAGAGGCGCCAGGCCGCCGCATGCGCCAGGAGCAGGTGGTGCGCGGCGGTGTAGGCGTCGCTGCCGCTGGCGTTGTAGGCGTGGCTCAGGCGGTTGGGCTCGTTGAGGGTGATCCAGTGCTTCACCCACGGGCCCAGTTCTCGGAAGCAGAGGGCGGCGTAGTCCCGGAACGCCTCAATGGTGGTCCGGTTCAGCCAGCCTCCAGCCTTGTGTAGGGGGGCGGGGAGGCCAAGCTGGTGATGGAACGTAGGGTAGTACAAGGTCAACATCGTCCGGACCCCGCGTTTCCGCAGCTCGGTCACCACGCACCTGTAGTACCGCACAGCCTCTCGGTTGACGGCGGACAGGTCGCCGCTGGGCAGAAGAAGGGACCAGTTCAGCGCGAACCTGTAGTGGTCGGCCCCAGACATCTGCACCAGCTGGAGATGCTTCGGGATGGCCAGGAAGTCTGTGCACTGGGGGCCGCGAGTTTCCATCCGGATCCCGGAGATCGGACGCAGGGCTCCATCTCCCGTGACATTCCACAGGTACAGGTTCGGATCCAGGAACTGTGGGGACGAGGGGCTGAACCGCACCTGCAGAGAAATGGGACCCAGGGACTCCAATGAGTAAGTGATGTTCCTGTATTCATTTTTTGATTTAGAAGTCTGCACTTTTCATTGTAAGAAGGATTTTTTCTGTCTTTAGTGCAGCGGTATACATGGATAACTGCAATTTATGGAATTCTAAACAGCCATTAGACTGCCTTTTCTGATTACTGAGTCTTTTGCTGATCTCTGCCTTGTTGTTCATTGTACTATGGGTCAGCTAAGCTATAATCAGCATGGCAGAGAAGATCAAACAATCAAAAACGAAGGAAAAGGTCAGAACGTAATATTGTGATATTGACAGAATATAAGAACACCCTTAAATTTCCTCTTGAGCACAACTGTTTGAATTGTTTCTCATGTCTACTTTAATTCAGAAGAAATTGTGAGAAATGTCTCAGTCTGTAAGATCACAAAAAAGGCTACAAATGAAGAGGAGGTAAAAAACAACAACATTTAGCTCATTTGATTGCTAACAGTTTGATCTCAGGATCTCCTCTGTCTGTTTCCAGACTCAAACAGCCTTTTGTCTGCAAGTGTCACCTATTCTCTTAAGTGTTAAATCCACTTCCCCCTAGTTTTCACTATTATCCTTAGGTTCATGTTTCTCTGTTGTAGTTAGTGAGAAATAAAAGAAACGTATTTTTAATGGTGAATAACCTGCTCTTCATCACAAGGGTTCACTGGAATCTTTTTTTACATCAATACATAAGTAATTCTCTCAATTACTTATTTTTATTTCCATGTGCGTGAGATCAGTATCTCCTGGCAGGACATCTTTTTTTGCATGAAACCGTGTCATCAGCAGGTCATCTGTTGATTGAGAATGAAGTGGCAGGAGCTCTTTGTCAAGAATAATCGCACTGGTTTTGCTCTTTGCTGTTACAGCTGCTGCTGAAAGTTGGCTTCCTGTATCTGACGTGAATCCACTGCATTATGAAATTAACAGAGCACTGATTTCATCCAAGTATGACATTTAGGGGCTCTGGTATAAACACTAAAGACCTGTATGAGGGCTTATTTATGTTGTTTTTGTGAAAGTTGAACTGTCTTGAGAAAAACCTGAAGCTGAAGACATGCTAGCTTAGAACTCAAGTAAAACGACTTCACCCACGCCCTGAAGATTTCAGTTTCTATCGTACGTAACAAGGCTCAGTGCACTGAAAGAGTCCCATGAAATCTAGACAGTGTAGAGTTCTCCAGCTGTAGGTGAGATGCTGGTCTAGCACAGAGGTATCTGCTGATAACTGATTGTCCATTGTATGTGACTCAAGCAGGCGAAAGCGAACGGAGATCCGGTCATCACTCTTACACCACAGAAAAGCCTAACTGTCAACATTTTAAAAATTGGGTTTAAACTTTCACGGTTAACCCTGAACCTAAATATCAGTGTCCCCACCTTTTCAATATTTACAGACGCAGGGCAATACAGCACAATATTTGGTAAATGCGATAAAAAAATGACACACACACACATGTACATTGCTGCAAATTGTTAATATAACTGTTTCCAGACAGTCTTACACTGTCCAAGTACAAGTTCCTAAGACAAGTACCTGTTTTATGTGGGTGCTTGGCCTAATCCAGTAGCAGTTCATCATTTTGGGGAGAACACTATAAAAATGCACAGATACACAGAAATGCAAATATGCAAAACACTTGATTTGCAGGCGCTGTTACTTGGCGATGTGAAGATCATACATCAGAATTTGCTCTCCATGACACACTTATGGAAGTATCTGGTAGGATCGACGTCATGGTTTTCTTTTTGGTAAAGCGTGCTGCACTGTATCATGAGATCTACTGTATCTTGCATCGCCGCACAAGTGCATGAAGACGGCAATGATGCTGTTTCAGACCCAGTGCGTACTCGGTGCAAAGTGGGTTGCAGGCATATCTTGCAATGCTTGAGCCGTAAGGCGTGAGCACTAGGACCTTTGCTTTATTACAAGTTACCCCCTGATTATTCCCAGAGAAGTGCACATTGTCTCCTCCTGCCCTTTTCACTTGCCTGCAGTACGGAGTCGGAGACGCCCCAGTGAAAGTCGCAGGGGAACTGGCCCTGGACAGCCTCGTCCCCCTCCCTTCCAGGGAAGCCCCCGTCTTTGATGACCTGTTTGTAGAAAGCAGCTGATGTCTTGGGGATTCTTGCTTTGTCTTTGCTGTTGGGGTCCACGTAGAACAGCCCTCTCCTGACTGAATAGCCGTAATTCCACTCAAAACCATCCACCAGAGACCACAAGGTATAACCCAGGACTTGCACACCATCGTGTAGCATTGCTGAAAGATAAAGACAAAGCCGAAACATGAAGCTTGGCGTTCTTCTCTGTAAGGTTGTTAAAGGCTCACCTCTCCCTGATAAAGTGAAGTGCACATCAAGTACCTGTACATCTGACAATAATGCAGTTATAATAAGTCTAACTTTTATTAAATACCTGTGCTTTCCTAAAATACTCTATCAGTTTCTGGAAGAGTTGAAACAGCAACACAATCCTTCACACAGATTATGGTTCTGAAACTTACACAAAAAATGAATTGTGGAAACGATATTACCGACCAAGTCATGAACAGCAGCACCCAGCACCACCCTACACCTAATACTCACCCTGCAGAACTTGGTTTATGAACTTTTTCATCACGTAGATGGCCACAGTGTCTTCCGTAGTCACGCTGGTGTCTGAGAACCACCCATTCTCCAGAATGAGAATTCTGGGATTGTTGTATTGAAGTTTAATCCAGTTCAGCACCTGTCTCAGGCTCAGTGACACGTGTTGGCCAAACCTCACTGAACTGTGTACTAGCCTTAGGCTGTTGGGCCCAAACGAAAAAGCGAAGAAGTCTGCAGTCCCCTTAATGTTGTCCTTCTCTTCTGCAGTGAAGGCAGGGAGGAGGCCATGTGTGCTGTTTTTCAGGAGGGTCGGGTAGTCCCCTTGTCCGTATATGGGCTCTGCAAACCAACCCAGAACAGCCTCCATAGACTCCTGGCATTTTTCCACGTTGAATGGGCTGGCTTTCCCTCCCTCCGGCTCTATCCAGTGAGATCCCAGAGCTATGGACACCTGTCCGTGCTGGAGTTTTCGAAATCTCCTGTCGTACGTGTGCCACGCTTTTGCATGGGCCTAAGACGAAACAGGCAATCAAAAGAGCAAGAAGAAGCATCAGTGTTTCAATCGTCAAGGATTGAGTTTTTTTTTAAATAGCCTTTTAAGGAAAAATAACACATTTTTGTTCAATTTGAGGGTCATCACAAATAGAAATTATTTATTATTCAGAAGCATTAGTGATCCACTCAAGTGCAATTTCATTACACAACACAGGGTCACAGCTGAGATTCTTTAACAGAAAATGTTCTATTAAAAGGCTACTAGAAAAACCTTTCAAGCCCTCTGCTGTACACCTGAATTTTCCAGAAACTCGGGGCTCAGCAAGGGGTCCCCGTGCTGTCAATCATGACCTACCCTGTCGTCGCAGTTTTCAAAACTAACGCTAGATGGCAGCTTTTTATTTTGCTAGAGGCTGCTTCCTGCGTAACGGAAACCTGTCAGAGCCTGGGTTTGTAATCACGAGTCAACTCTTACAGAAATATAGTATCATATCAGCGCTTTACATTTTCCCCCCTGTGAAATCAGAATTGTCATTCATCAGTATCTTTTCATCCTGCCCAAAAATGATATATTTTTCTTACTCGAAATCTATTATATATCTCAAGTAATTTAAGACTGTCATAATTCCCGGACTTTAATTCCTGTTTTTAAATCTCATTTCTTCACTTACGTGTCATTTAAGTGGTGTGCCTTTTCTGGTGTGGGCATAGTACAACATGAGAAAGCAGTAAAAGAGTCACTGCAAAATGGCAGTTGAAAGAATTGGAAGTAATTGTTGCTGGTTATGTATTAAGTAAAGATTTTGATAGGTACTCAAACTCTAAACAGGCTGCTTTGGAAAACCTGAACAATTTTTAATATAACCATGTTTTTGAGGCACATGACAACAGCAGGTTATTCCTTGCAGGTTATATTTAGATATAAAATACAGGAAATGAGTTCTTAGGATTATTCTGAGACTCCTAATTCTGTCTTTGTCAGGGTGAGAAAATGAAGCCAGCAGTGTGGGCTGATGTTGTTTCATTCAGACACGCGGCGAGTTTTAAATGAGTTTTGTTTTAGCACGAGCTTTAAAAACTACAGTGATCTGTGTTTGTCAAGCTATCACTATTATACAAGATGAAGTTGGGCTGTTGCTGCAAAATGCAGGAAACAGGGGAATTGAGGTTTAAAGAACAATTCTAAAAACAAATGGAAAAGAACTGAACTCTTCAGAATCCTCCCCTATGGATTTCATTACCTCTCGGTGTCTGAACCAAAACACCAAAGTCCTGACTATCATGATAAATAAATCATAGGCGCTGGAGAAGTGTATGCTATGCTGCCCGTGCATTCCCTTCCCCATTCTCCACTGAGCCTTAAATAAATAATCATTATGACTGACCCGTAGAGCAGACTATGCAGTGCACATAACAAAAAGGCAACCGCAGCAGCTTCACTTGAGAAACAAAGTCAGGCTTTGTGTGAGAGCGACTGGGTCCTTGAATGAATGATGCCAGGCTGCAGATAGATCAGGCACGGAAAAAAAAAAACCCATTACGTCTTATCAGCCGCGCTACCTCACCTTGATTAGATTGTGAGCCACAGCAAAGACAGCTGTGAGGTTCCCTCTCTCTCCGGGGGCATGCACGCCTGTCCCATAGCCGTGCCAGGCCACCGCGTAGGGGTTGTGCATTGTCACCCAGTACTTGACGCGATCCCCGAAGCTCTGGAAGCAGAAGGCGGCATAGCCCTCGAAGTCATCCACCAGGGCGTCGCTGTGCCACCCGCTGTGGAGCTGCTGGAGTGCCAGGGGCAGGTCCCAGTGGTAGAGGGTGACCACGGGCTCGATGCCCTCCTGCTTCAGCCGGTCAATCAGCAGATTGTAGTGCTCCACCCCCGGCAGGTTGGGGGCCCCGCCGGTCCCGTTGGGGAACAGCCGGGGCCACGAAATGGAGAAACTGTAGGTCCGCACCCCTAGGTGCTTCAGCAGCTCCACGTCCTGCTCCCACAGCCTGTAGCTGTCGCTGGAGGTGCCAGACCCCGGAGCCTGCTGGGAGCGAGTGAAGTGATCCCAAATGGAGGGGCCCTTGCCGTCCTGGTCCCAGGCTCCCTCGCTCGGAAAAGCGGCGCTCCCGGCTCCCCAGAGGAAGTCCCGGGGGAACGTGCCGTGCAGGAACAGCTGGCTGGCGTCCACAGGGCTCGAGCTGGACTGCGCTCTCCACACGGCTCGTCCATCTCCTGGCAGGCAGACCACGGCCCCCCGGCTACACAGGAGCAGCACAAACAGGCTTTTTAAAGCAAGGGGACCCATCCTGTGCTCCCCTGGGACTCAGATCCAGCCCAAACCGAGGGAGACGAGCATGACGGCTGGAGCAGAGGACAGGGAAAGCACACGAGAGCTCAGCCGAGCTGAGCTGGGGCCATCTGAAGACCTGAGCTGCTGGACTGCCTTATCGTGCCAGTGGGAAAAAAAAAACACAACAATCTTCTGTTGCAAGTTGGACCTCTGTCAATGATTAGCCTGAACTGTGATCCCAAGGATGAGTTAGGAGGGAGAAGTGTGCTCCGGGAAGGCAGCTCGGCGGCTCCTAGCACGCTCTGCCCTGGGAGACTGCTCAGACACACACACACTTGCAGCACAACGGAATAAAGACACACAGGCTGAGCAGGCAGAGCACTGTATGTGCACACACGGTGCACAGAGACTGCATGCCATCTGAGAGACCCCCTTCACTGCAGGTGTTGAGCAAATATCGGCGTTCACTAGAGACTGGCAAGAAGCAGCCAGCGAAAATGACAGGATTTAAAAAAACAATTTGGAGTGGAAGAGCAGCAAGCTTGGACCACCACTGGAAGGGTCTCACCTTCTTTTCTGTGCAAATACTTCTTGCACAGAGGATGTCATCTTATGGGTAATGTCAAATGACTGGTTTAACACAAATGTTTAAACCACGTGACAAGCCAATCATTTACCTCATCAGCTATGAACAGATATTACATTGTCCTACAAAAGCAATATTGTTTTGCTAAGACCACATTGCTTTATCCAATGTGGATGTGGATATAATACAATATATTGGTAGGTGGTAATTTTACCATATATACATAATAAGTCAATTGTAAATATTTTGCCTTCTTCTCACATTGTACCAAAACATTCAAAAACTGATTATTTGTTGTCAATTGTTTTTTTAACTCTTTACAGATTTTTCAGGGACACTGAATCAATCTCTCACTCAGATTAGAAACAGATACAATTTATTTTTCGAGTGATGAGCTACAAATACAGTATTTCTCCTGGGAATATATTTAAATGTTCTGTACTAATTTCATGGGCCATACTGTGTGAATTCAGACTTTGTCTAAGCCTTGGGGATATTTGATCATTTTTCTTTTATCGCCCTTTCAGGGCTATGTGAAAAGAATTAAAGGGATATTTGGAAAAAAATCTCATCTGGCTCTTTCTTCTTCCAGAAGATAGATTAAATGTGACTTGCAGGAGAGGGCATCGTAAATTTCAGATGAAACAGGACTCATTAAAAACTCATTGACAGTGTCCAGACCCTCCTAATTAGAGCTCACATTTGATTTCAGTGTTTTGCCATCAGTTATTTCTTTAATTGAAGTTTCATTTGCTGTTTATGCTGGCAAGAGCAGATAATGAAATATGACAATTTAAAAATTCAAATTAAAACTCTGTGTAAACAATTACAGACTACAGACAATAAAACTACTATTTTATAATACTAAAATGTGTGACGTACAGTATATATGTAAAACTATATAAAAATATTTCCACTGTGTACCATTCTGAAAGTACTACTACTGCCAATAATTATTCCTTACACTTATATGTACACTTTTCTAGAAACTCCACTCAAAGTGTATTACAGGTAATGGAGACTCCCCTCCACTACCACCAATAAGGAGCCCCAGCTGGAAGATGCGACAGCAGCCACAGTGCACCAGTACGCTCCCCACACACCAGTTCTCAGTGGGGAGGAGAACAGAGCGATGAACACAGTTTATTAATGGGGATTATTAGGAGGCCATGACTGGTAAAGGCCAGGGGGAAATTTGGCCAGGACTGGGAGAATATAATTAGAGACCTAAACAGGATATGATCAAAATAGATTCTAGCGGAAAGGTATGTCTTGTCGAAATAACTTGTTAGAGTTCTTTGAACAAGCAACAACACTAATGGATATGTCAAGCACACTGTTTGGTATATTTAGATTTTTGGAGGGCTTTTGATGAAGTTCCTCCTACCAGATTAATACTCAAATTGCAGGTGTCAGACATTCAATGAACTGTATGTACCTGGATTGTGAGCTGGCTAATAGACAGAAAACTGGGTACTGATAAGGGGTGAATACTCAAATTGGTGTTATTTGTTAATTTATTAATTATTAATTATATGCCCACTGGGATTTGTATAATGATTACTGCTCCTCCAAACACCTCTAACTATTATGGAAAACTAGTCAAGTTTGCAAAATTAGAGTCTCCTACAACATGATGGTATTAAGCGTGAAATTGGATACAGCATTGGTTAATAGAAAATTGAGAGCACAGATGAGCTGTGCAGCAAAAGCTACATTTCGGGAGATACAGGTGTCTATTCTTCCTAAATCATTTAAATGAACTAATCAAGTTTGAAAATGATACCAGATCGGCATAGTAGCAGACACAGTACATGGAAAGGAACTTAACAAAAAAATGCACCGCAGCTGGATGAACATAGGTCAAAGGGCATTCATACTGGCACGCCAAAAATGTTACAGTATATTGACAGCTATATACTAATATCAGGAGAACTGAAAAGACCATTGGCCATGTCTAAAACTACAATAACACAAACGCTGTTGTGCACATGGCAATAGGGTGCATGTCCAGCACGCGCGCTGCACCTGTCCGTCTGCGGCGCGCTCCTCCGCAGCTTCAGGGCCGCACTGCGCAGGCACCCTCGGCCCGCCTCGCGCTGACAGCGGCCGCGGCTTGCGTCATTTCTCAGCGACCTGGGAGGAATGCACTTGGCGCCAAGCTGGAAGAGCACTGGAGGTGCACACTGGCTTTAAACATTCAAGAAATCGTATATAATATACGATGGTGAGTATAACTTGCGGCGTTCGTGGCTTTGCAAGCACTGTTACTGCTGCAAGTTTCGAAATGTGCCATTTCGCTTACAGAGAAGTACGTTTGACTTGGAAGTAGCACTGGCTTAAACCGAGATTTAAATTAAAGTGGTGGGGTAGTACTTTATTCACACCTTTTGCAAAAATGCCTTATTTTTGCAAGCATCTAACACACACATTTTTTCTTAGAGTTGGCACTTAACATGAATGCGTAGTTCTCATGCACTAAAAGAGGTGTGCGCTTGCAGAAACAGAGACTAATCGGATTAAGACATTCGAGAAACGTGCTCAATGTAATACGGTTTTTCTGAACGCATACGGATTCGCAAAGTACATTTCGATTTAGAATGTACATTCCGCTTACTAAAAATATCGTGCGCTGCAGATCTGCGATCTGTCGTTTGACTGGAACGATGTTTTGATTCGGTAGAGTTATCACAGCTGTGACGAATTTATAATTCAATAATTGCTTTCAAAATCAATTCTGTTAAATGCTGCACGTTTCAAAACCCCTTAGCTGGAAAACTGAGAGATACGGGAGAGTCAATTACCAAAGCTCTGGGTACGCGGGAGGGGAAATTGCAGATGTGCACATATGTTCTTCCTGTCCACATGTCAAAGACGAGTGAACTGCAGGGGCTGATTGTAACAGTTAAGTAATTGGGGGTTGTGTAGAAGACTGTAGCCTTCCGGGACCCGTGTTGGACATCCCTAGTTTTCACATATGCAGATCCTTTTGGGTTCAACCTTACAGTAGCTGCATCCACATGAATCCCGTGGCTGTTTCTCACCTCATTACAGGATGCTCATAAAGCATTTGTATTGAGAGAACTTGTTGAGTATTTCCTAATGTAAAACAGATCAAATACAAATTTCCCTATCGTGTACAGATCTTTTTTTTTTAAAAAAACCAACATTGTCCCACTCTCGCATTCAGCCAGGTTGGAAAGTCCAGCTCTCATGACGGGGGACCAACTGACACGTTATTTTGGTTCGGAGTGCTAACCTTGCGTGGCCGTGTGTATCGTTTGCAGGACATAAGAAAGTATTTCCAGTCTCAGTTGCAAAACCAAGCTGGGGAGAAGGAGAGGCTGACAAAGAACAGGTCCTCCAAAGCTGAGGGCGATGTGAAGGTGAAAAAGTCTGGATCCAAGGTCAGTGCTTGACAGGAAACTGATAGAGAGAGCGGTCACCTGTCTGGGCCAGCGTGTCCCAGAGGTCTTCGTGTATGTCCGCAAGGCATGGCACGCAGGCCTGGATTCAATGAAAGAGCTCTGGACTCGCCCACAGGTCGCTGCAGCCAGGCCCGGTTCTGAATCATGATTCTGTTGGGGGGTGTTTGGCATTTACCCCACATAAATCAAACAGCAAATCTGGGGTAGGGAAATTGGGCTTGGAGGGTGGGTCCCAGCTGTGTTCTAGTCTGGGTCCCGTCTAGTCCAGATTGTAATGTGGACAACAATAACATCTTGGTGTTGGCAAGTCCTTAAAGGGGAACTTCAACACTGTTTTTATAGTTCCGTGGTTCGAAAGAATCACTTGGGTGAGTGCATTTCCAACCACAGTAAAAGTAGTTTGCAAAAATTTTGTTACACCACAATATAGATGAAATTTCCAAGTATCCACGGCGCTGAGTCCTGCGATTCAGAATGAGACAACAAAACTTCCGGTGACGTGATGCAGCTTTTTACATTGTAAACAAACAGGCTTTTGAATCCAATTTTAATCCAGTAGAAATATTGCTCTCGATTTTGTGACGGTTTTGCTGACAAATGCTACTTATTTGTTAGCTCTGCACGCAGATGACATTGGAACATTTCTGAGGTGAAATAGCTGCGGTACAACCTGTACTTATTTGCTCATACATCGCACTACATTAGTCATTATAGTGACTAGTGAGCAGGAAGGGCAACATCACGTCTCAATTAGTGGGAACTCGAATGCGAGTTTGTGACAACATTGAGACTTAGTGCTTTCTAGAAAGTTCACAATTTTATGCTTAATTTGGAATTTGTAAATCTTTTTATAAAGTCAATGCATTTATTTTGTTACTGAGATCTAATAACCAGTATGAGAAATTGGGAGTGCAGTTCCCCTTTCAGCACGAAATACGTGTTAAAACACAATAACAGGCACTGAATGGTGCAAATCAGCGTTGAGAAACTACTTGAGCAAGCTTACAAACCAGGGGTCACCATTCTAGCCTGTATAGAAAGTGACAGGTTCCGAAATCTGCATGGTTGTCTCAAAGATGTTTTTGTTTTGTTTTTTAGCAGTTCCTACAGATCCTTTCATTGATCTCAGGTGAAAATTGACAGTGTTCATTTTAAAGGGAAATTGTCCCCATCCATTAGGATGGACCTCATCTTTAAGGGAACGCATCACTTCTGTTACAAAACAGTTTGACAGGTTTCAACAGCTGTAGGTCACTACTAAAGCCAGAAAGCAGTGTGTTTCATTAGTAGTATTGCAGTACTGGGTGTACAAATGTACTGTATAAGGTAAATTAAATTAATAAACCTGAACATCTCAGCATCTGTGGATGTCGGGATTCTTGATGATCATGCAGTTCATCAACCAGAAATGGGTCAGACTGCAGTGCATTGAGAACCTTATCTGTTTCCTCATCTGCATCTGTGTTGTGTGTTTCAGGGGAAGAGTCCAAAAAGTGATGATAAGTCATCGGTAAAGCGAAGGAAACGTAACATCATCAACTCAGGTGTGTCCGCTTGAAGTCCCCTCCTGACATGGCAGACGGATGGCTCTGATGATGGCCCACACTCTGGTCTCGCACATTTCCTCTATTAATGGCAGAATTGAATTTCTGTGATGTGGGTCAGCTGGAGTTTAGGCCTTCAGGCCAGCATGCTGATACTTATTGTTTCTTGGAAAAGCTGATGAACGCCCTCTGAGTGGGTGTCAGATTGGAAGCAAAAGATCATAATGTTTCCTGGGCAAAATTGCTTTTTTTATCACTTTCTTCCACCATCGTAGTCTTCATGACTTTCAAATATGAGTACAAATGGGTTGACAAGCTGTGTTGTTCCGTTGCCTGGCCAGCATAATAGTAGGCAATAACGTGGCCCCCTTACATATAGCCTGAAGCTCTAGAGAGATGGTCCTTGGGGTGAAATCCCTGGATTTTAGAAGCACTAAAAGTAAATGGCTTGATAAGCACCTTCTCTGTTGACGAGTTTTGTATGAATGATATAAACAAGTGTCACGTAGAGGCATTGGTAATTCAATTCAGTGAGTGTTGAGAGAATGGTTCGAAACAGTGCTCACTTTTGCAGTTGAAACTGAAGCAAAAGAGAGATGCTTTCTCTATCGCTGACATTTCTCAATATTGTTGCAGATAAAAAAGACAGCTGCATTTTCATTTTTACGCATTATTCAGGATTGCACATCACAATGTGCCATTATTCATGAGTAAGTTATGTTAAGAAAATATTAATTATTTATCAAGGGCCAAAAGATCTTAAATGCAGTGTGCTTATCCTGTTTTTCTGCTAAGAACAACTGCTGCTGATCGCCACAAACAAGTACTAAATACTGAGGGTTTATGCATAGATTACACCACAACAAGGCACTCATTCATTCATCTGATACCTGCTCGTAATATACTAAAACATAATCTGTATTTATGGAAAAAATAGACATAAAATGATTTTTCTTGTAATATATATTTTGCATGTAGAAGGTATTGAAATGTAGGACTATGTTATTTAGCCACTTCCTAACTTAACTTGCACTGCAAATTGTAGCATTGCGATGAATTAAATAATAATGTTAAAAATATGTGAGTATGCCAGTAAGGAAGTACTGGTGATCCCTACGTAATATTCCATGGGATTCAGCTCTAGGGCGAGCTTAGTAAGTGATCTATCTGGAGACCGAAACTGCCAGAAAATAATTCACAACCTTTGGAAGGGCTGCTTCAGCTCTGTATCTTTATCTAAACTAGAAACGTGACTAAAAACCTTCATAGAGCTTAATAGATGCAGTCGAGCTGCCCCTGCCTCATACATACGTTTTGCATGTAAAGGCAAATTGAGAATATTGTGGTAGTGATGTTCTTGAAGGTCTAGGCCTGATTCTGTTTGACACAGATGTCAGAGCAGGAGAGCTTGCATCTGCTGGTACACGACAAGAGTTAAGGGACTCATTGGTGAGGTTAGAAATAGATAAAGAACACAGCAGCTAGGTCCGGACAGGGGCATAGGACTAGTGTTCGAAATGCAGTCAGTAAGTCCCATTTTACTCCCATCTCAGTCACATATGTATCACACGCAGCAGTGACACTGAGAGAAGCCTAAACCTGTGACAGCAGGAGTGGGTGTTGTTGTCATGACTGCTGTGTGTCATCTTGTGCAGGAATTGCAAGTGTGCCACAGTTTGAGCAGTGGGAGCAAAGGAGGACTTACTAGCTTGTAGGACAACTGTGACCTCTCTCACAAAAATCGGAATAGGAGGAGGAAATGGTTATTTTTGTTTCCCACTGAGTTGTGCCATTTACCTGAAGTGCATTTTCTACAACTTGTAAGTCAGAGTGTGCCCGGACCAGTAGTATGAAAATTGGGAATGGTGTACATGAAGATCTTTATCCTGCCTTTTGAGTGTTTGCTCAGTTGGCAGTGTGTTTTATGTGTTGCCCTGTTCTGCTCTTGGTATGTATTGTCAACTGCAGATTCAGAAGAAGAAGTGCCAGACAAGAAGCCAAAGATATCCTCGAAAGAGATCAAGAAACCTGCAGCCACCCCCAAAAAGGATCCTGTGGAATATGTGTCAGATACAGGTAAAAAGCAGTGTTTTCTAAACTAAAACAGATGCTCTTATTTAGCTAAATGATGTACACAAAGCTCAAGTGCATTGAAAACATCCTGAGAAGTTACTGAATTGCATGGTTATACAGGCACAGACAAAAACTGCTATGTGTAGCCAAGGTAAATGTAGATGGCACACTGAATTGGTCAAGATTAGATTTTTACATAGTTTACTGTAAAAAAAAAAAAAGTATAGTTAAAGATTTGGTGCTTTTTATAAGTTTACTTTTGATTTTTACAAGAATAGTTTTGATTTTTTGCAGATTCAAGCTGATAAAAACTCTAGCACTATTTTGCTGTCTTTTGTGCTGTGCCTAAATGATTAAAATAGGATTCGGAGGAATTAAAAAATGAAATCTCACAATTTAAACCAATTCTGCTGTATATGATTGGGTGATTTCTGACTTAATTGGTTCCTCATTGAAATATTTGCATTACTGCATATTTTGAGTACAGCTAGCTCTTTAAATCTAAATATTAAATAATACTAGTTGTGTAGTGAGCTGTCTTTGTGACATTTGTTCTATTTGCTTAAGTGCTGTCTTCAGACAGAAGATCTAAAAGAATCAACTACTGAGTGTGGAGAGAGATTTTAATTACATCTGAGAGGGTGTTTATACAGTAAGCAGTTTATTTCAGCTCTACACCTATCCTATTTTCAATGCAGGTAATAGAAAATATGTATTTTAAATAGAAAATGGGTGACCCTGAGCTTGAGGACTTACAGCTGAATTTGGGCTTATGTAAAACCCTTAATGTACTCCCCAAGGAAATATGGTGATACAATAAAAAAGGCTAATTAAATGGCAATCTGTATCGCTAAATGAGTAGAATTAAGGTTATGGGAAGTTTTAGGTTAAAACTATGCAATACATGACTAAAACCTCGTTTAAAATATTGTGTATACAATTAAGGTCCCAATTTTACAACACATCACTTTGCTGCCGTGTTTAAATATTGCCCTTAAAGGCGTGTCTTAGCTAAGTTATAAAACTGAATCTCTTTAGTCTTGAATGGTGATGAGGGGTGTGTGTATAGCGCAAGTGTTTAAACTCCCGAGGTGGTATTGTCAAAGTGAACTCGGAGCAAGTGCAAAACAAGAACCCCGAAGATGCAAGTGGAAACTACAGGAAAGCGGATTTAGAATGGAATCCAGGGATTCGCAGAGGGCTATGAGGGTCTGGGGTCATTGCCGAAGAGGATTCTCCGCTGTTGTTTACGCTGGAGGAGGTCCCTGGACTAATACAAGATGGGAGCAAGATGGGATACATGACCTTTTCTCATTTGTAGTCTTTCTGTTTTCATTGTTCATGCACTTTGCCTACTGCAGATTCAGAAGAAGCAACAGACAAGAAACCTGATACACCTGCAAGCGAGGCCAAGAAATCTGCAGCACCTGCCAAGAAGGAGGCGGTGGAATACGTGTCAGGCACAGGTAAAAGACACTGCCTGGATACCAAAACACATTTCTTTTCCTGGGTGGTGTACGCATTGGAGATTCTATTCAAAATATTTCTTCTTCTTGTCAATTTAAAATTTTGGATGATAGGTTATGGATTATGATACTCGTGGCCAGTGCGTTTGCTGCAGTCGGAGGTGGAGACTAAGACTGTGAAGTGCAAGTACATTTGAAAGTCTGGTCTTGTTTGCTTATGGGGTTTCATGACTTCAGTAGTGCTGACTTCTTCAGCAAAGACGCAAGTTTGTTTAATAAAGCAGACTTACTGTACGTCTATAACACCCAAGTCACTGTTTTTGTTTCAAACTTTTAATTTGATGAAAGCCCCCTAATTGAAATATGGCTTTTAAAATAGTTTAAAAAATCCAACTGAATTTGGGCTGTTTGGAATTTTTTAATTTTGTGGATAAATTGCCTCCTATTGTTCTATGAACGTGTTTCATGTATGGGTTTTTTAATTGCTGTAATGGTCACCTAACAGTATAAGTGTTCAGAAGAAGTGCAGTTTTCTGTTTGTTTCTTAAAGGAAGGCACTATACAGAAGTACTATGGTAAAAACTTAACTTGAACTGACAATTCTGTTAATTCCTATAAGTAAACATCTATACTGTGTCCCTAAACAAATTGAGTATAAGTGTACCAAAGTGTGTGCCACATGTGATGGAATCGTAACTTTTAAGAACCCCAGAAATGCATCTTTAGTCTGCACTTTCACAATTTGTAACCCCCATTAATTTTTTTCTGGAGACAATACATGATCCACCTGTGGAAGGCTTGTGGGATACAGTTATTGGGGAGGGAATCCGCTACTCCGATGTAGATAAATTCTCAAGAAACGTGTTAATCTGAACTAATGTCACCTCTTACTTTAAACTTAATGGCCATAACAAAGTTCACCAGGGCTTTGTGAGCGGACTTTTCCCCCTTGCCAATCTTCCTGATTCTGAACACCTTATCTGTGTCTCTGTTGCTTTAGGGCACACTGATTGTATCTATGTGCAGGTAGTGCATGGCTGTGGTGGTTGTTAGTGTGTTACACATTACAGCAGTGATCAATAGAAAAACGCCAGTACCTTTGGAAACCACGACTTGGTGATGTAAGTTATGATTATTAAAAATCCAAGCAGGCTTAATGTAACTCGTACAGCAGTGAAAGGAAATGCAAAATTAACTGAGCTACAAGTCAGATGTGTGTAAAACAATATAAAAGGCAGAGCATGGTGCTCTGCACACAGTATACTGTACTCAGTGTCAGATTCTGAAGCTCCTTCAGGCAGATGAAACTATTAGGTACATACAGCACCACGCAGTGATGGGAGTCTGCTATGCTTTCCTGATTTCATAAGTGTCCAGAGTACTTGGCATGACACGAGTTCCTCCAGACAGGACTGAAGTTAAGTTTGGTCTCTTATCTGTTTTGTTTAAATTGTTCAGCTGTTTAGCAAGGTGGTTTTTGTATGATTTCACTGAAATCATGAGAGCACTATTTGTGAGTAATGGTGACTCTTAATTGAATTCATTCTAACAGAACTGTAGGATTTGCACACACAAATCTTGTGTAAGATGCAGAATATGAAGCTATTAAGTGATTCACACCTGCTAAAAAATGATATTTTTTATCTAGTACCTTTAAAAGCTGCTTCTCAACGTGCTTTGCAGTTCGAAAAAAGGCGCACAATATTACTACACCATTTCAGTAAGGGTTTGGAATACAGTAGGAAAGCAAAAGAACAGACACAAATAATAAATTTAACACAAACATTGAGCCATCTGGTATATATTTGTGATGGACATGTCTGGCCTTGATTGGTGTGTTAGGGTTTTGGGTCTGTTGACCAAGGAGCAGTTGTTCCTTATCTAACCAATACTTGGTTATTCAGTATACTAAGAAGAAATAGCTCCAAGGTTACTGTTTTTAACAGCACAGTGAAGTTGCCGTGAATCATGGAGATGTAAGAATAATAAATATTTTGACAAAGCGGCATTAGAACCTCTCAGCTTAAAGCATTCATAGCTAGTTATTGCTCATGCATTATTTCAGCAGGGATAAAAACACTTGCAGGAGTGTTTCAAGGGCTTCTGCTTCACGCCGGCTTGAGACGTAGTCATAGCTTTGTCTTCTCTTCAGCCAGGTCTTAATAGTTATAATTGCTTACACTTGTATAGTGCTTTTCTGGACACTCCGCTCAAAGCACTTTACAGGTAATGGGGACTCCCCTCCACCACCACTAATGTGCGGCATCCACCTGGATGATGCGACAGCAGCCATAGTGCACCAGTGCTCTCGCCACACACCAGCTATCAGTGGGGAGGAGAATGGAGTGATGAAGCCAGTTCATAGATGGGGATTATTAGGAGGCCATGATTGGTAAGGGCCAATGGTAAATTTGGCCAGAACGCTGGGGTTATACCCCTACTCTTTTCGAGAAACACCCCAGGATTTTTAATGACCACAGAGAGTCAGGGCCTCGGTTTTACGACTCATCCAAAGGATGGCGCCTTTTTACAGTATAGTGTCCCCGTCACTATACTGGGGCATTAGGACCCACATGGACTGCAGGATGAGTGCCCCCTCTAACAGCTCTTCCAGCAGCAACCTTAGTTTTTCCCAGGAGTCTCCCATCCAGGTGCTGACCAGGCTCACACCTGCTGAGCTCCAGTAGGCTGCCAAGTTGTGAGCTGCAGAGTGATATGACCGCTGGCATCAACAGGTCTTGATACCGTCGGCGCGGCTTTCCTCCTCTCTGCTGCGGGAAGAACTGCAGGCTGTAAAGCCGAGCTCAGCTCCCAGTGCGGTTCTCCACTGCTTCCCTAGGATTTTCCGGGCAGGGTGTATTATTCCCGGAGCTAGGTCGCATCCGCAGCTCTGAGAGCGCGTTGTCTGTGCTCTCCGTTCAGACGAAGAAGACGTCTTTGTGTCCCTGAAGACGCGCCAGAAGCCCAAGGGGAACAGCGTGTCGTCCGCGGGGCGCCCAGGCAGCGGGGAGAAGAAGGTGGCAGGGAAGCTGCTGGCGAGCCCCCCGACCCCGAAACCCCCGGCCGTGGCCAAGCTCACCCCCACCTGTGCGCAGGACTTCTTCGGAAGTGGCAGCGTGCAGAGGTCCAGCGAGAAGCTGGTGGCCAGCCGCAAGAGGAAAGCAGTGAGTGGGCCTCCCCTAGTAAATCCACCAGTGAGGACATAAGGGGTGCAAGGGAGAGGAGGACATTTAGCCCTACCTGTCTAGGCTGTTTGGTTGTCTTCTTAGGGCACCATCATAGATAATTGCAGGTCAGCATCTGCAAAAAACATCCCAGCTCCTCTTAAAGTCTTATGTCATCTCACAAGTAGGCAAGCGGCAGATCTGAGTCTCCCAGGTGATGAATTGCTCAACGCAGCATGTGTGGGGGTTATTCATTGCATAGCTTTTCTTGTCGAAGTCATTTTGACGTGCGCTAGGATGATCAGCCGGATGGTAGTAGCGATGTTAATTTCTCTTCTCCCAGGTCTCGCAGGACCCCGACGACTTCACTGCAAGTGATGAGGCCATTGCGTGGCAGCTGCACGTCGACGACCAGGAGGTGAGCGCTGATGTCTGTCCTGCTGTGAAAGGCTTAGGCCCGCTTGTACACACCCGTTCACTATTCCTAAGGCCTATGAAGCTCAAACGTGCTACAGAGAATCTCTATTATAGATTGATCGTCCTGATTATGAAGTAGGACGGGATGAGATGTCCCGCGTTATTGCTCCGTGTCAAAAGATGGCATTTTTCTGGGAAAATTTGAATTATACTTTAGGAGTGCACTGCGATAAGAGCACTTTTCTCGATTGACTGAATGCGTTCTGTACGTGAAGAGCCTGCAGATGAGTAGCGTTAACAAGCGCTTCTGAAAGTGCTCGGAGATCTTGCTTCTGCCACCCAGTCTTCAAGGAGTCTTCACATCACTTTGGTTAAAAAGTGTTGATGTTATTTTAGAATCGGAGGAGTTGTTGCCTACGGAAATTGAAGTGATTTGTATTACAGACAGTTTACAGATGTTGCTGGGTCTTGAAGGTTTTGAAGATTTTTTCCGTTGATGGCCTTGTTTTTGTCAATGGCAGGTCCTCAGACCCTCTGAGAAATGCGCGCAATGCCGAATTATCAGGCCTTCTGCGAGTTACAAAAGGAGGCCTGAATGGCAGAAATGGGGCCTGCCACGACATGCTTGATGGCACGTCTTTACAGCAGACCAGTGCTCCCAGCTTGTCACGCAGGGTCTGGTTGTTTAAGCTGAAGCATTGTCATTGTGCAGATCACCGCGTCAGACATTAGTGGGATTGATGTAGGTGCCCTCCCCCTTTCCCTGCTGTGGCAGTGTCACTCTTAGACCACGAAGCTGGGTAATTCCTGATCCTCTCGTCCTACAGTTCATTGGAAATACTCAGCACCACAGAACCTACACGTGTGTACCTCTTAGTCTGCTCTCTGCTGGGCTGTGTATTCAAGCCGAGTTTTTGTGGGGTTTTTCTCCAGAAAGTGAAAGTGACATCGATTTCCTCTCTGTTATTTCCTTGGAGGCAGGTGTTGTATCAATGGTTTCAGACTAGGATGAGTATCAAAGACGTCCTCCCTTGTGCACTGCAGGCATTGGGACATTTTGAGAGAAATTATAGTGGACGTACGAGCTTGCAAGAGAACTGTATGAGGGAAGAGAAGAACAGGTAACAGGCACAATGCTTTTTAAGAGAATGTTTAAAAATAAAAGAGAGCAGGCAGGACTAGTGATCATTTTTTCAGAGGGTTGGAAGGATGAATTTAAGAGTGATTCCTGGGCCAGGCCAAAATGCTGCATTTGTAGCCTGTGAAGAAATATAATAATGTTCACAGCCCAACAGCAGTATGCTCAGGGAGAGATAATCTGATAATGCAAGTCAGAAAACATGCTCTCTCCTGAATGTTTGTGGTGTCAAAGACAGCAGAGGTGTGATCTGGATAATCTAGCTCTGAATTGCAGAGCTATTTAGAGCAGCAGACTTAAAAAGCATGATTTTCATCTCTCTATGGTGTTCCAAAAACCAAATAATAAGCAATAAGACATGAGAGGGTGTTCATTTTGCTGGAAACGTTTTTGAGATGTTCACAACGACTTTCTCGTTGACCGGAGAACTCCAGTTAGCTGCTCTCGGAGTAGTGTGGAAAGGAAAGGCGAGTAAGGATTGGAAAATCTCAAGATGCAACATAATGAAGCCACAAAAGACGTCACAAAAGGCACACGGAGACTTTTGCAACTGGTCGATTTAGATCTGCCAATCTAACGTAAACCTGAAAAAGATCGTAATGCCATACCTGAGTCGCACTGAAGGGGTCAGCACAGGTACGTGTAGAGAAGTCGTTACTCTAGTGTTGTCTGTGCTTTAATCTCCCCCAGCCTGCCTTGCTGTTGATATTATCACTTAAAGCAGAGATAAGGTGCACACAAAGTTTTATGATGAGCTTTGTTGTAATGTAACTACTGCGGAAACCCATCTAAAAGTTGACCTTTGATTTTTTTTAGTTTGTTGTTAATCTTTTTATTTCCCCTGTTATCACAGAGATTTGGATTAAATGTTGGGTTACCAGAGTCACTGTGATGTTTTTCTGTGCTGACAATGTTTATTATTGCCTGTAATTCTGTGATTGGGCTATGGTAGTCCTGTCTCCCTGTCTGCTTATGGTGTCCTGTATTCACAGCCCTGCTACTTCCTGATAACTGTGCCAATATGGCTGTACTGTGCCTCAAAGGCTGTGTGACTTCAGGAAAGCACAGATTCCTATGTGCACAAATTCAATAAAAATGCACATTCACGTACGAGGGAAAAAATATTTGAAATAAAGATCTATAGAAAAATACACAAAAGGTTCTTGTTTGAAATTGAAATTGTCTCTTTACTCCTACTCTATCCAGAAGGATCAAGCAGCATTCAATAAACCTTGTGTAGCAATATTTAAAGGAGGAGAGTTCGATAAGAATATGGAGCTAATGAATTTGTGAATTACTATTTCATAACTTTTTTTGTTCCTGTGAATTGACTAAGCCTGATTGGGAAAAATAAACTGTTTTTTTTAGGTCATATGGGTATGTAGGTTCACGTAGGTTAAGAAAAAACAAAGTGTAAAAATGTTAGCATGACTGGTTGAAGTGTTTTGTCGTGTTTGACACTTTAATTCTGCCGTTAGAAACAGGCACACGAAGATGAGATGTTTGCGAGAACGCTGGCCATGATGGACGAGCCCACCAGACCCAAAAAGGTAACCCAAGAGGGAAAGAGTTCCGCAGAGATCTCGCATCACAGTCTCATATTCTCTTTCTGCTCGCCTCTCTCCTGGTGGCTATAAGCGGGTACGACCGTGTCCTCGTCAAGTTCTCCTGATTCTTTTCATTTCCATTGTCGCTATAGCAAAAAATCCTGCTGTAGTTATTTGTGAGTTTTCGTAAAAACTGTATGTGTTTTGTAAAAAAGAACAAAAGAGTGGAACACAGCAGAAACCCTCTCAACCTCCCTCTCCCTGATATCAGTTTTCCTCTTGAAGACCCCTTAGGCATGAATTACACCACTACAGTACTTTCTGCTGCTCCGAGAGGCCAAGATCCATGAAGTATTTAAAGTACAAATACATGCTTATTATAGAAATGGTTCAATAATAGTGTCTACGGGGAGTCCAGTACATTTTGTGAATACAATGGAAGCCATAATCATTGTTCTTCTCCTCGATGTGACATAGAGAGCCCTTTAGATTGAATGTGCTTCCTTAGTTAAAGCAAGCAGACTGTCTGCCAGTACAGAGGACTGTGGGCACTGCCGGATACAACAGGAAGGGCTTAGTGACTTCCTCTTTCCTGCAAAAGGCCCTGTGCCCTGAGCTGCAGTCCAGGTAAGATTGCAGCACAGATGCCCTCAGCTGTCAAAGATGACCGCCCTGGCTGCCTTTTGGGTGATGGAGCAGACAAAGAAGAGTGCACTAGGCCTTTTTCCATTTCCGTGCCATCTCCGAAGGCTTGGCAGCACGAATGTAATATACAAAAAGCCGAGGGGGATAATGAAAAGAGGTGGAGCCGAGACAGAAACGCTAAACAGTAGAACACTAGTGTGCAGATATTCCTTTGTCACATACTCTGGTTCTCAGCTCTGACAGATCCCCTGCGGACAAGTTTGTATTCTCAGAAAGAAAAGAACTGAGCACCCACAGGGCAGCATACTGGAATAGACACCGTATATACTTTTCCTCTCCTTGTGTTCTTTTTTACCGTAACGCTGAACAGATAGTACGCAAGCACAGCTACAAATAAACTTCATGTACACTTCCAGTCAAGTCAGTGAAGCTCCAGAGAAATGTGGAGTTTCCCTATGGAATCGACCTGTCCATCGGGGCCTTGTCGGCTTCACAATTTGAGTTTGTGACCATCCAGCTGATACGGCATCTTCCACAGGTCCGGAAGGACTCAGTAGAGCAGCACCCCCCTGTGACTACAGCGAATAACAGCAGTCCAAGCACACCGCAGAAAAGCACTGAGAGACGAGCAGGTGAGAGCAGTTGCCAGTAAATAGAAGTGGAATGATATTGGATGTGGAAGTCTGAGGAATGATAATAGTAATGGGATAACGTGTCACAAGCCTTATTTTATTATAGAGTCTTTATTAGTAAGTACTCTGAAGTGTTACGTAAGAGTGTACACCATAGACTGCCACTAAGAAAAAGAAATTGTTTTCAGAGAAAGAATGAAAAAAGGCCTGTTTTCAAAGGACAAACATACTAGACGTGGGATTCGACAGTGGAAGAATCTCACTAGAGTCTGCAGTGTTTGGTGAATTGAATAGTTTCTCTTCCCTCTTCTTTCTCCCTGAAGCTCTCAGTTCACCGCACAACGGAAAGGAAGAGAAGCAGAGACCACAGGGCCAGGAGAGCCGTTCACACAGCCTCAGCTCCAAAGAGCCGTCTCCTCAGAAACCTTTGCCACAGAAGACCAGCTCCAAGCTGGCCCTCATGAAGAGAAAAGAGGAGACGATCAAGAGGGATGTCCCCGCGGAGCCTCCTTCGGAGAAACAGGCTGCAACGACACCCAGATCTGACAAGCCTCCCGTGAAGAAAGAGGCCGAAACGTCGCAAAGAAGTGACCAGATCTCGCCCATGAAAAAAACCGTGACAACACCGCCCAAAACCGACAAGGTCTCGCCAAAGACAAAACCCGTAACCACGCAGAGAAGCGATAAAATTTCTCCCTCAAAATCTGAGGTAAAAACAACCTGGGCCTGATTTTTTTGTTTTGTTTTGTTTTACCTGGGTGTCTCTTCTTCATGTCATGTTCAACAAGAAACTAGTTTTAAACAGTTTATGTAGAGAAACGTGGGCGTTCTTCTGCCAGTGCGGTTGCTAAAACCAGATTCATCTATTTTGGTTCCTCCTGCAACCAGTCGACAAGCCCTGAAGAGTCGGAGAAGAAGCGGCTGAACTCTCAGGCCTATCGCAACTTCTTGAACAGGGAAGGGCCTCGAGCGCTCGGATCGAAGGAAATCCCCCAGGTAAAACGTTATGCGGACTCCCTTCCTGGGCGCGTTGTTATCGCCCTCTGCTAGGATTCCTGAGTGTCCCTTCCTCTGGCGGGCAGGGTGCGGAGAACTGCCTGGAGGGCCTGACGTTTGTGCTGACCGGAGTCCTGGAGTCCATGGAACGCGAGGACGCCAAGTCTCTCATCGAGCGCTATGGCGGCAAGGTCACTGGCAGCATCAGCAAGAAGACCAGCTACCTAGTGCTGGGCAGGGACAGCGGGGCCTCCAAAACCGAGAAGGTTGGTATGCGGCTTGGAGTTTTTGTTGTTTTATGAAGGTTTTTTTGAAACAATGCGTAGGAAAGAAGTATTCTTCCTCTTCTGTACCTACCAAATTAGAATCGTTCTGTCTTTACGATGTACCCTGGGTAATCTGTTTCAAAGTTGTGTTCTCTCTAGAAAGGGTTTTGTGCCAATGTGTCGCTACCGACGCCTGTATAACTCCAGCCTAGCTTGGGGGGCTAAACCAGGCGAGGCTGTGTTTAAAAAAAAAAAATCCCTTTTTCGCTTGATGCTTTCAGTGTGGTCTTGGCTGTCATTTCCTCTGTCGTTTTTAATCAGGCTCACAGCTTGGGCACTAAAATCCTTGATGAAGACGGCTTGTTGGATCTTATCCGCACCAAGCCAGGCAAGAGGTCCAAATACGAGCTTGCAGCTGAGGCCGAGGTGAGAAACGAAGGGGATCCTTGGTGCACTGGGTGACCCCAGACAGCTCCTACCCCATGCAGACCTCAATTTTGTGTGATTTTTCAGCACAAGAAACCGAACTCAAAAGGCCCAGATAGACCTGTGAAGGCCCAGACCCCGCAGAAGGTGGCCACCCCAGGGAAGAAGACCCCCACTCCCCAGAAGGAGCAAAGAGGGGCGCCGGCGTCATCGCCCAGCACGGCGAGGGGCTCGGCGGAGAGGGGCGAGGTTAAGAAGAGCCTGTCCTTCCAGCGCGAGCCGGCTGGGGTGAAAGCACCACAGCCAGCCCGGCAAGAGAGCAGTGGAGGGGGCCTGCTGTGGGTGGACAAGTACCGGCCCCGCTCTCTGAAGGGCCTGATCGGGCAGCAGGGCGAGCAGAGCTGTGCCAACAAGCTGCTGCGCTGGATGCGCAACTGGCACCACAACAACGCCAGAGGCAGGAAAGCCCCAGGTACGCAGTTTTCCACACTGCCAGCAGAGGGAGACGCTGCCCTTCAGGTTCCAAGACCTTGTCTTGATCTTTTTACCCGACCGCTGTGCTCGGAGGCCCTGATCTCACAGATCGTCAAGTTGACGTAGGCCCTAAAGAGAGATGAGTATTTTCTTTGCATTTGGAGAATAGTACTTATTGTTAAATGTCCTAATTTCGGTTACAGCAACTAAGTCTAAAAAACGATCCAGTTTTTCTAATGTTTTTTCCACGGTTGTGTCAGGACTGCGTTTGTAGCTCAGGCTGCCGGTTCTCCTGACCTGGTCTCGGTTTCCGTGTCAGTTTTATTTACGAAGTCTCCTCAGCCTCCAAAACCCGGCCTTCCAAGTGTTTCCCTGTGTTTGTGTGCAGCGGCGAAGTTCAGTAAGTTTGGGGGGAAGGACGATGGCTCTGCCTTCAAGGCCGCCCTGCTGTCGGGGCCCCCGGGGGTGGGCAAGACGACCACCGCTGCGCTGGTCTGCGAGGTCAGTGAAAACGGGGGATGCTGGGAGCTGCCGACGCCATGGCCACCATGCTGGTCATTGTGTTCGGCACCCAGGGTGGAGCCATGCTTGTTTTCCTTTTTGTCTGACTTAATCGTGGGATGTGTAGTCAGATCACACTCGTGTTGTCGTCGTCTGCCAAGATTTCAGATAAAGAGGTTCTGGCTGTTGCCTCGTATACTTCCAACTGCTTCGATGTCAAAACTGACACGAGAGATTCGGAGCTCTGTCCTCTGGTCTCTTCTTTTGTCTGTTGACCCTAGTTCAGCGTGAGATGTTGTGGGAGGAGAGTTTTATTCACATTGTCAGTCATTTTGTTTGCGGGAAGAAAGTGAAGTGCATCTGTGCGACTGGGTACATTTGTGAGAAACGTGAAACTTTGATACCAAATATTCCAGCGGAAGGCTAGGGGTCTTCGTTGAAAGAGTCTCATTTCCCTTGTGTCCAGATACCTGGCTGCCTTGGGGTCAGTGTTTGATCAGTGCTTGTTTCTGTGTTCAGGAGCTGGGCTACAGCTATGTGGAGATGAATGCCAGCTCTACCCGAAGTAAGAACAGTCTGAAAGAAGTGATTGCAGAGTCCCTCAACAACACCAGCATCAAGAACTTTTACACAGGTAAAGTATTTGGCCTTTATTTATTTATTTTTCCTTGAGGACCACAGTTTTCACACACGACTGGACATCTTACACAAGCTGTAGAAAAGAACCTTCTGTAACAGAACAGTCAAAGAACAATGTGGCTGAGGTGGAAAGGTGGTTGTCGGAGTCAAAGCCTATCCGTCTTTCGTGAAATGTGGAGTCACTTCTGATTGTGTGCTGTTCGTTTTGCCAGTGAGAATAGTATTGGTAGCAGCCTGTGCGCGAGTCTGGCAAAAGGAAGCAACAGTGAGGGCCTGAGTGCGAGTGGGCTGTCAGCATGCTAATGACCTCTGACCTTCCCAGGCACCTCTCAGACAGTCAGCAGCAAACACGTCCTCATCATGGATGAGGTGGATGGGATGGCTGGAAACGAAGACAGGGGCGGCATGCAGGTATCAAAACACTGATCCTAGAGAAGAGAGGCTTGGTGTTCGGTTACTTCAGGAGCTCACACTGAACACAGCTGGCTGTATAGTTTTCACCAGCTTCTAGCTTAATATTTAAGTCATCTACTGTGTAGCTGCCAGCTTAAGAAATGGCCCCATGTGTCTGACAAATGGTTATTTACTAATTTATTAAGTGGCATAATTGCTATATCCTACCATGTCAGTGATATCTTTTATGCTTATGTAACTCTCTTTTTATTCCTTCTTAAAATGTGTATTCACATTTTCACATTAATGATAATTCACTTAAAAGTGAATTATCTAACTGAAAATACTGGGAGCCGATACCAATACTTGTCTGTAACTGTGTAACTGAAACAACCTCTAACCCCCTTCTCATGTCAGTAGAGGGAAAGGGATTGGATCACGTTGCAACCTTCGACCTTAGACCTGTGACCTTTCAGACCTACCTGTGCTTTAAATGCAAAAATGTACGCGGTGGTGTCTTTAAGTCCTGATGACTAAAGCCATGCGACCTAAGTCTCCAAAGTAAAAGTCAGTTTTCTCTTGTGTAGGATGCAGACTTGATTATTCATAGTTTTAGGGGTTCGTTTATATGTTGCCGAGCCTCGTAGCATGACCTCGGCGTACCCCTGCTTTCGTGGTCGCGATTTGGAAGATGTCTGCTCAGTGGGGGGGAGCAGGGCTGCAGCCTAACCCCAGCGTGTGTTTGTGTCACCCAGGAGCTAATTGGGCTCATAAAGCAAACGAAGATCCCCATCATCTGCATGTGCAACGACCGGAACCACCAGAAGATCCGCTCTCTTGCGAACTACTGCTTCGACCTGCGCTTCCAGCGGCCGCGGGTGGAGCAGATCAAGGTGCAAGCCCGGGCTGTGTGCCGCAGTCGCCACCGAAGGGCGATGATTTCTTCCAGATTTCCTCCGCGCAGGTCTCGCTTAATAAGAATGGGCTTAATAATAATAATAATAATAATAATTCCTTACACTTATATAGCGCTTTTCTGGACACTCCACTCAAAGTGCTTTACAGGTAATGGGGACTCCCCTCCACCACCACCAATGTGCAGCCCCACCTGGATGATGTGACGGCAGCCATAGTGCGCCAGAACGCTCCTCACCACACATCAGCTATCAGTGTGGAGGAGAGCAGAGTAATGAAGCCAATTCATAGAGGGGGATTGTTAGGAGGCCATGATTGATAAAGGCAGATGGGAAATTTGGCCAGGACGCCGGGGTTACACCCCTACAGATGGGGTTGTCTGGAAACAACCCCATCTGGCTTGTTTCCAGACCTCCGAGATGCATTTCTGAGAGGCGTTTTCGTTTGTTTCTAATTTACCCCCTGCCGTTAATGTACCGAAGTGTCGTTTCTGCTGTCAGCTCTTCGCGTTCTGAAGTTTTGCGGATGACGAAACTAATGTGAGAGTAGCCAGCTTCAGGGGAGCCTTTGCAAAATGACTGGGAGCACTGTGCTGGCAGCCCTCCTGATGCCTGTAAACCACTGAAGGACAACCGGGCTTCCTGTCAGAATTAGCACTGGCCTGCAGGAGTCCACGAGCTGGGCTGTAATCCAGGCCCTTCAGAAAAGACATGTCATATTTATTCATCATCTTAACGCCCCCATGCTGTGAAAAGTACACCAGTGGATAGAGACTCCTGCGGTCGTTGCCAGAAAATGTTTTTTGAGATTCTCTGCAAGAACTTTTGCCATCTGCAGAAAGAAAGTGAAGGCCTTTCCCTTGATGGAGTAGGACAGTATTTCCTTCAAGAGCATTTATATCATTTTCTAACATCTGACGTGGCTCTGGCTTTCCTTTTTAGACACGTGATGTGCAGATTCATTTTCTGCCTGGTGCCATTAACTGTGCTTGTGTTTTAAAATGAATCATACGCAGTAACTATTCACTCTTTATTGCCTTCTCACTATACCATTACTACACACTAGAGCCTGTGGATTTCTTTGAAATAGAGTCAGTCTTATGCATTAACCCTTTTTTAATACAAAATGCTAAATAACTGAACCGAATTAGGAAACAGATTTTAGTGCCTCCTGCTGCTTGATGGGCAGGCAGTGTATAAATATATAGGGGATGGGATCTCACATGAATCTCTGCCCTGTGTTTGATCTGTAGCTTGTAAATGTATCATTTAGATTTGTACAGTTTTCTAGAGAAATTTGGTATTGAGTTTTCCAAACTTTTCGTTGGAAGTAATCCGATATTGAAAAATATTTGTTCTTGGCATCACGCTCCGGGTCTCTTTCTTCTTGCAATACAACGTCCTGCCCCGTCAGCTGTGTCCTCTGACGCAGCAGTACCATGGGCAGGGCTAGCGCGTTCTGCCATCTCCTTCAGGGTGCCATGATGTCGGTCGCATTCAAAGAAGGTCTGAAGGTGCCTCCTCCCGCGATGAATGAAATCATTCTGGGGGCCAATCAGGACATCAGACAGGTGAGCGAGCCTGCTGGAGACTTCACTCTGTGCCCGCGGTGTCTGCGAAGTTCTCCCCGTGAAGTAACTGCGCCCCCCCTCTTTATCCTTAATCCGCAGGTCCTGCACAACCTTAGCATGTGGTCGGCCCGGGACAAAGTGATGACCTACGATCAGGCCAAGGCTGATGCCAACAGTGCCAAGAAAGACATTAAAATGGTGAGGGTTTTTAACGTTATAAGAAACTGCTGGATGAGATGCTCAACTCGGATTTTGGCACCACCTGCGACTTAGTCCTAATGACTGAACAATACGGGCCAAATGGCCATCTTTTGTTTCGTACAGTAGCTCTGCTGGTATTTTTCAGCTCATTGCACCTCTGCAATCATTTTAATCCAGATGTATCGACTGTCTTTGGCGTTTGATTTTGCTGGCGGAGCTGGGTCTAGATCCAGGCACCCCCAGGTTGACAAGTCGCGTGCCTGGACCCAGTTCGCCTGGGTTTAAAGGCTCTGCTTCAGTTTGTCCCACAGGGCTACTGGCAGGCTTGCTGGGTGCTTTGCAGTGCCCCGTGCTGCAGTAGCACCGTTACTTAACCAGCCATCCGGTTTCAGGGGCCCTTTGACGTGTGTCGGAAGGTGTTCACGGCCGGGGAGGAAACGGCTCACATGTCCCTGATCGATAAGACGGAGCTTTTTTTCCACGACTACTCCCTGGCGCCCCTTTTTGTCCAGGAGAACTACATCCACGTCAAGCCGGCCGCCGCGGGGTAAGAGAGCTCGGGCAGCAGCTGTCAGACATTGCTTCAGGGTTATATTCACTTGGGAGGCCGAGTCCCGGGCAGCTGTGGTGAGAAGGTGGTGAGAAATTCCAGTATACGCTACCAGAATAAATGCGGCGTCGCAGTAGGGTATGAGGTCCTATCACTGCTGCTTAAAGACGTCAGTGTTCACAGTGTTTGGTCTGCGAATGAAGAAACTGGATGACGGGTGGCCTGTCAGTTTGGGAAGAATATTGACAGGGCTGGGCGTTGCCGTGGAGAACGGCAGGGAAAACCCCTGTTCTTAAGGACGCCGGGCGCTGTGAAAGGTCTCGTCAGCGCAACAACGTCCCCTCTTGCATTTCAGCGCGTGTGCGGCTCATCCGCTGCTCGGGGAGGCAGCGCTCCAGCCGAGCCTCAGTGTGCGTGCTGTCGCCCCTCTCCGCAGGAACAACGTCAAGAACCACCTGACGCTGCTGAGTAAGACGGCCGACAGTATTTGCGATGGCGACCTGGTGGACCGGCAGGTTCGCTCTCGACAGATGTGGTCCCTGCTGCCCACACAGGTAAGAGCCGCCTTCCGGTGCCCCTGAGCATCCTCAAGATGACACTCATCCTCAGAGGTGTGAAGATCTGGGAGGCCCCTAAAGAGTCTTAACAGGAGTAATTTTTTCCTCTTACTCTGTTGCCTATGCTTCATTCAAACCTAAGCACATAATGTAGATTTAAGATTACAGACGATGCACTGTATTGCACGATTGTATTGGTTTTATCGAGGTCTATTTTTATGTGTAACTGTCCTGCCACTGTGTATGGAGCAGAGGATGGACAGATCTTGTGACACATGACATTTTTAAGCCCTTTTCTTAGGGGTGGGCAATATATTTCAATCTATTCATGCAGTGTCGATTTAATATAATCAATATAATAAGCAGTTCTCATTCAGAATGATAAATGCTTGGAAAAGACATCAACACTGACATAACCTTAGGCTGGTGTTATAAAGACGGCACCACATGTACTGTAGGGACTCATACATCACCGCAGAACCTCTCCGAAAGAAAGGCTTTTTATGTGAAGCCAGCATTATAAAGGGCAAAAAACGTTTCATTATAAAGGGCAAAAAATCTATTTCGATCTTCTGGCTTTCAAAACGTTCATTCAATTTATTTTATACACTATAGGTTGTTTTCATGGTTTGGACACAGTACTTACTAGTGCAGCAGAGGAATAATGTATCAGGTCAGTTGAAAGCGATAAAGCAGAAACTATTTTTAATAGGTTTTCAGCCTATGCCTCAACCATTTCCCAGGATTATTTTTGCACAAGATATTACTAAAGTCAAGAGAAATAGCACATAATTTAAATCATCTTTATCTCTCAACCCTGCTTCAAGAAACAGGATCAAGCCTTTGATGGCTTAAGCTTGTTCACTAGCTTGTTATTGTCAGTGAGACAAACCCCCTCTCCTGGTGTCCTGCTGTGTTTCAGGCTGTCTATGCCAGCGTGCTGCCAGGGGAGCTGATGAGAGGCTACATGAGCCAGTTCCCCAGCTTCCCCGTCTGGCTGGGCAAGTACTCGTCGACGGGCAAACACGACCGCATAGTCCAGGAGCTCGCGACGCACATGAGCCTCAGGTGAGATTTTTTTTTTTTGCGAGAGACGGCCCGAGCGCTTCGGCCGAGGGGTTTAATTTTTTGTTTCGGAGAATCCACTGTGACGGTGTTTCTTCCCCGCCTCTCAGCTTGGCACCTTGACCGCAGCCGTTACCCTCCCGACACGCACTCGCGAGGCCTTTCGTCATTAACATCCCTTCCAAACTTCCGAAAAGGCTTTCCGGATCGTTGCGGGGAAGAAATGAGCCGCAGTAGAGGCCCCGGCTGGGCACGTGGTTGTGACTTTCCTTTTCGACCCGTCTCAAGCTGACCCGAATGTGCCCTGACAGGACCCACGCCAGCAAGCAGGCGGTGAATATGGAGTACCTGCCCTTCCTCCGGGACGCCCTGGTGGCACCCATGCAGCAGCGCGGGACGGAGGGGGTCGCCCAGGCTGTGCAGCGCGTGGACGACTATGACCTCATCAAGGAGGACGTGGACAACATCATGGAGATCAGCTGCTGGGGAGGGAGGCCTGACCCCTTTTCCAAACTGGACCCCAAGGTGACCCGACAACCCTGCGTGCTCTATACCTCAGCCCGTTCTCGTTTTGCTTTTCAGGCGGGGAAACGCATTCCAAGTTTCCCTCTGGACCGGATAGAGATTTATGTCAAGAAAGCAGGCAGTCCACCTGTCTTGCCTTGTGACTGTGGCAGTGAGGGGTCTTTATCAGTTCACTTGAGTTTTTGTCGTACGTGCATGTGAAATGAAATGCTTAATGCTTATATATTTATGCTCTGGGGAGATATGAGATAACTTGACATTGCAGTGTCTGCCTTTTTAAGGTCCTTTCCGTACTGACATTTGTTTCAAATGTATCCGTGTTCTAGCGCAGGTTTTTCTTTATAAGGAAACGCAAAAGGCATACAGAAGTGGCTGTGTTTTTGAGCGAAGGACTGAGGATATGATGGTGTCTCTCTGCCCAGCACTCTGGAGGGCCTGTCGTAACAAACATATTTCAGGACTACGCCGAAGAGTGCTGTGACTTTTATTCCTACGGATGCTTTTTGTATTGCAGGGAGCAGACGGAAGGATAGTTGAAGGAGTTGATCTGGAGTTAAGGATTCTGTAAGGCAAGCAACCTGAGCATTACAGTGTCGGATCCTACAAGTGCAGTCGGAGTAGGGGAGTTTAGAGGAGTGAAAATGATGAGTAACCACATTGTAAAGGTGTTTGCTGGAGGAGTCTGAAGGGAGCTCACTGAAGATGAGAAACTCCTCTCAAATCTTGTGAGCATTATTTTCCCATTGTCTCCGAAGGTTAAAGCTGCCTTTACCCGCACTTACAACAAGGAGGTCCACCTCACCCCCTACTCCCTGCAGACTGTGAAGAAGGGCCGACGTGCCACAGTCACGAGCTTCGACCCCGAGCTGGGAGACGGGCCCGGCAACGAAGAGGACAATGAGGAGGAGGATACCATGGACACGGACGCCATGATTAAGGTACGCAGGGAAAGGGTCCTGTCTAAGATGTGCAGTCAGAGTCAGGAAGGAATCAGAAAAGTTTCCGGCTCATCAGGGCGGAGGTAGTGTATCTGAGTGATTAGGATGGCAGTGTGCTTCGCCTGTATCTTATTTCATCTGTGCGCTGCTGGTGGATAAGGTCCCTGTATCTCTCTGACCCCCCTGTGCTGTATACCTAGGAAATGTCTGTTTTAAAGTTTACACAATTTCTTTCTTCAGGTTGTTATTGAATTACTGTATATGTATATGTCATTTGTGGATATTAGGATGGAAGACAACATCAGTCAGCGAAGCCTAGTGGGTTTAATCTGTCTGAAGTGAGTAATATGTCACACTGTAGTAACATTAGGGGAATACTGTGTGTCACTAAACGGTTCGGTCTGATGTCTAGCACACGAGCTTAAAACTCATGTAGCCTGTGGCAACAAAAGAATCTCGGTAATCATGAATTTAAAACTTCAGAATGAAGCAGTTCGAGTAGAATTACAGGACCTTTCCAGATAAATGTGGTTATGCTGCCTACTGCATCATGCCCGCAGTGTGAATATTGCAACGTGACACTTGTTGTGTATGAAATGTCCCTTTGCTCTGACAGAAGAAGAAGGTGAAAGTCTCAAAGGAAGCAAAGCAGGAAGGTCCCGCAGACTCTGGGAAGCGCAAGGCGAAAGGAAAAGGAAAAGGCAAGGGCAAGTGAGAGGAGGGGGGGCGGGGGTGTATCCGACAAAGCCCCCCAGGACACGAGGGACACCTGGAACGTGGGCAAGGCTGCAAACGGGCACTCTGAGGCCACGACCGGGCTCAGAAGCTGGTGACGATTCAAAAACTTCCTTTCCTGCTGGTATGCTGGAAGGAGCACCTTATATGCAAGTAATCGAAATCTGGTAACCACATTAAAAATAGCTTCCGCTCTGCATATCACTAATGTGACGTGTTATACAAACATGTACCGACAGGTTCTGTAGATGTTGGTAGAGATGTAAAGCTGCACACACTGTCTTACTTGGTGGTTTTCACTGGAGCCTGTTTTTCACTCTTCCTAGCCATGTGGAGAAGTTGTTTTACGAACTACAAGGACTCAAATCTTAAAGGCTTAACTCAGACTTTTTTGCCAGTATTTATATTTCCCAGCTGCTCATATCTTTAGAGTAGTGTTGATGTCATGATGACTGGTGATAGAGATGCTTTCACTGGATCGAGTTGTAAATATGAAGTGTACTATTTTTTTCCCCCCTAAGTTACTCTTTGCTGGACTGAAAATGAAGTGGTAAAGTATTGTTTACCGTCAATAAAAAGACTGATGTTTTCTTACTTGTCTGTCAGTTTGAACTGAGAATTCTCATGTCCTGCATTTATTGCTGTAAAGGTTTTTGTATAATTTGCAAAGTTTTGAAGAAATAAAAAGATAACATACTTGAAATGGTTACATAGTTGTTTTTTTTCGGAAAATGGAGATGGTTTCAGGATATCGGCCCAGAGGGGTGAAAGAGATGATGGCTATCCCAGACAGTGATATGCACATTCGTGTACTATCGGTGAGAAAGTGAAAAAACAGATCTGTGGGAGAGGTGTGATTAAGAATACGCTCCTTGGTTCTCCTGAGCCTTAGATTCGTGCCACCTCACTCTCATTCATGCCTGAACAAGGCTCAACAGCTTCTTGTGTTTCAGGCTAGTTTTTGTGTTGAGTTACCCCCATCTTTCTTATTGGTCTTAGTTAATTGGGTGGAGGGTCCAGAGTTTGTCGCCATAGGATCTCATGATCTCGTTGCGCATCTGTAAGCATCAGTATGGTAAATGTCCGGCCGCTCCCCAAAAGTCCTTTGTGCTACAGTTGTACTCTTTATACGCACGTATAAAATGAAGAAAATAATTACCTTTTAAATGAGAAAATGGATCACCAAATACTTTTTTGTACAAGAAATGTTTAAATTTCCATCAAAGATTTAAAGCATTTTAAGACGACCTGGAAAGAAGAAACTTCAAATAGACATTGAAAACATTTTATTGAGTAGAAATATTGCAACAATATTTTAGATAAAAATAGTGATCCAGTCCTATTTTACATGTACATAAACATTCAGATAAGAAGTAGGAAAAGCATATTATAGTACTAGTTAAACATTCTATAATAGATTGCTATTTTGTCTAGTCCTGAAATAGAACAGCTTTTATGTATTCATTTGTCCCCAGCATGAAAGACAGATTTATTTTTAGAAAAAAAATATTTTAAGAACTTGAGATGTGTACTGTCACACAGCCTGCAGGTTTCAAAGGATTAAAGAGTTTCTGCATCTGAAAAGAGAAGAAAGGCTTTACATATCAAAAGTCAGTACATCCTATACAGACAGCAGTACATTTTGTCCGTCTTCCTTTATTTTAGAAATTCCATTGATTTAATCCTTGATGTGACTAGCACTGAAGATCTGATGTTGATTCCAGATGATTCGTGCATTGTTATGCCTTATCCATTTAAATTTTTGCCACAATCTGTTTCAGGTTATATCATCATCAGGTCCTGACTATTCTGTGCAAGAACTAATCACAGTCATACAATATTATTTGAACTCGATTTGTACTGAAGTCATTGTGAGATTGTGTTAGTACTATTATTTTTGACAGTGCCTCATTTCCTGTTTTCTTCTAATATTCTTTCTTGTAAAAAGGTAGTAAGTTGCCTGTTCTACACATTATAGCAACAGCTGAATAAGTCAGATTTGTATGCTTTAATGTCGCAAGCGAAATCGTACAATGAGGTGTAGTAGCGTGTGTTGCAGGTAATACCTCATTTGTTAGGTTGAACACTATATGCACAACTGAGAAAGCAGAAATTCACACCCATTCCATGTTTACCCAAGACTGAACCAATTTTTCACAAGCATTAACCATTGCCAAGTTGCTTGACATAATTCAGGCCCCTGGAATTTCTATTTCTATTAAAACAGAGTGTCCTCAGTGTAGGTTAGCTCAAGGTTAACACAAGACAACCTGGTCTAAAAAAATTCAGTTCTTGCATTCTACCTTAGTAAGATTAGTTGTTTTTTAATTGGCCCAATGCTGCCTAGATACAACAAAAATGAGACATTAATGGTTAAATACAGAGTTTATGGTTCAAATTCCCAGGGAGAAAATCTGAGTACCTGTCCAGGACAACACCGGTCATTGCTCAACTTCCTCCGGCTTTAGGTAGTTGGTGCAGTCAGTAATCTTCTGCAGCTGACTGGCACTCAGGCTTTCTGAGCACATAGGACACACAGTCTCCGTCTCCAGCAAACTAGCAGAGACAAAAATAAGGACATATTATATGGTTAATGAGACAGACATCCTTCCCCTAAACCCCATTTACATCATCTGATTATAATAATATATATTTTATATTTCTATGGTTACTCTTCATATACTATACAGACACCTAAGAAGCAATGATGAAAATAATAAGAGTTTACTTTGATTTCGAAACTGTACATATTGGTCATACCGTATATCTTCTTTAAGGACAAATAAACGCAAACCTCTAAAGATCTGACAGAAGGATGGCCTAAACTGGTCAGTATAGTGAGCAACTATGTAATTAGAGAGGTATATGCGAATCATCTGACATGTCTGGGAGCTCTGCTTTTTTAAAGCTGCAGATATGGTGAGGGATAAAAACATTTGAAGGAAAGACCGGCATCATTTTTTTTTTCTTTTGAAGCCTGGGAGGTGGGTGTGATGTAACCCAATACTTACACGAGGAACTGGGAGTACAGAGCAGGGAAGTTGCAGTGTGGGCAGACTGTCCAGTCATCCTTCATCATATGGCGACCCTGTGGACCACAGCATCACTTTATTCAAGTCCACTCATATTTCTTACCCCTTTTCCTAATGTTTTGATTGTTCAATGCCAGTCGGTCTCTCCTCATTTTCATTGATTTTCTTTATGAAGCCTGATAAATATTGGATTTAATAATGAAACAATGTCTACTTAGGAACTGGTCCCTCATGCTGCTATTTTGGATGGAAACGTTCTTCTTGGGGAACACTGAATGTAACAGTGACTGAGACTCCAAAGAGTCATAATGCTGTTGAGTATCATTCTGTCAGCAGAGACTAAGATGTACAGTAAGACTGACACAGCCTCCCTCCTGAACATTTACATGGGTAAATGTGTACAGTATTATCAACTTTGCCTTAGTTTTACATGATTTCTAATAGTAGTTTAGTATGTTTTTACCATTTATTCACTGTTATACTGTGGTTTTAACATTGTACAGTATACCAGTTATTTATAAAGGCTGTGGCACATCATTTATTAAAATATTGAATGTGCAAAGAGAATGGCCAATAATAGCATTTGCAGCTGTTAATTGTAATTAGATGTCCCGAATGAACCAGAAAAATATTATGCAAAACAACTCATTTTGCATTTCCAAATCCTTCTGATGTGCATTAAGCGCAGGAGCATAAGGAAGGTGACGAATGAGAGGCGGCCACTGGCCCACTGGTTCAGCAGGCTGGAGGTGTGGGCTGGGCTCTACTCACTGTGGCGATGCAGTAGGGCAAGGTATTTTTGCAGCCAGGGCAGAGCAGCTCACAGTCGGGGAGCTGGAAGCTGCAGTACGGACAGGGGCTCGTCTCCTCCTCCAGCTCGGAGGTATCAGGGCGCCTGCAGAATAAGAGACCGATATGACCCAGCCACCCAGAAACCTCTCCCGATCCTGTGTTCGGCGTGACTCTCGGCAGATAGATTAAAAAAGCTGTGCTCACTGAAAAGGGTATCAAGTGCTCTATAACTCTTATGTTGTTGTTTTTAACAAGAAGCACTTAATGGTTTACTGCTAGAGAGAGAATACAGTAGCACATCCGGAGACCTAGGAAAACACACTTGCCTTCCTTAATAATAATGCTAATATAATTAATCTACTTTATGATACACATCACAACCCAAATGAACCCTATAATAACTGACTGAAAATAAACTAATGGAAACGACACAATTAGATAAAAAGGCAACAGAGCAAATGGAAAGGTTTCAGCCACATTTCAAAATGCTTAAAGGCACAATTAATACTCCGTACACCTTTGGTATCAACACACTGAACCAAAGGGCATTATGGGGGAAGTGCATTGAAATATGAGAACAGGGGACACTTTTTAACACAAAGGGTTGTGGACGTATGGAACAAGCTATCCAGCCATGTTGCTGAAGCACAAATCTTGGCTTCTTTCAAGCAACAGTCCTTGGATCTAGTAAAAACGAATTATCGAATGACCCCTTTGTTCCTTACATCTCTTGTTAGGAAACCACTTTCCCAGCAAGTAAAGATAAGATAGGCAGGAAGAAATGTTCTGTAATAATGCCCTGGTCTGAAAATACTGATATGATCCAGTTTCCAAAGAGAGATGTCCAAGGAGGAAAGTTCCCTGAGTGGCTAACAGGAAGTCTAGTCAGAGAGAGAAATGACTGTCTCCAGGGCACCAAAGGGAAAAAAAACCCTTAACCCTTAACCATTACAGAACCTTTCAGAACATGAAACATTCAGAGCACCTTGTATTCATCACAACAAAATGTGTATCCTTATTTTGGTTAAAACAGTTAAGCCAATAGTGGTGTAGACATTAAACTCTGAGGACAATGTGCTTCGAATCTGTTCATCCCTTTTCTCATCTTTCATCGATGACACTGCAGGGAACCAGGCGATCAACAATCTCGTACCGCACCATGGCTTCGATCTTCTTCTTGTACTTCAGGTCGATCCTGTTTCGGTACTCCGGCCTCATCAGCATGGCCGCGAAGCTGAAGGAGGAGTTCCTCAGCCCCGCCCTGTGGCACTCGATCACAGCCGATGTCAAGATGGGTACAATGTCTGAGGACGCAAAAACGCACAGTAGTAGAGCTGATCGCTGCCCAGGCAGAGGCAGGAACCTCCAATGAAAAAGGAAAATCGCACTTGCAGCTGGAAAGTCTGCGAATCGAGGTTCGGCACAAGGCAAAGCCAAAAAATTGCTGTCGGAATCAAATTTGTCAAAAACCACAATCGGAGAAAACTTCGGAATCGATATTAAAGCTCGCAACCAGCTACTGCTAAATATATAAACTGATATCAGGTATGACACTAGTTCCTTTATTGGGAATTGGAGGATGTTGCTGAATAATTCTAATAGAATCGTTCTAATATTCCCCATAATAATGGTCATTCCCCATAGAAGCCTGGATTCATCTTCCCAGGAGAGGCAGGGTGTTGACTCACACTCCCCACTTAATGACCAGTTCTACTCATGGACCTATCGACTATCTTGGTAGAGGTTATTAAGGATTTACTACCACCTACATGTTTGCAACATCTCATGATCGCAAACAGCATGTTAACTACAGACTCAAGTTTGAACCTGATTGGGTGTCCCTGCTAGGATTAATGCCTCTAACCATCTGTATTCCAGTCAGGAAATGTAGTTTCTCAGGCAGATTCTGACGTCAGGAAAACTGTAAATCAGCACTTACGAGAGGGGAACTTGCTGATGTTGTTCGAGACCCGAATCAGCATGCGGGCCCCTTTTAGGTGGTCCCCTCGTTTGACATGAATCTGGAGAGAAAACAGCACCCTGAGGATTACTAAGCATCAAGCATGCTTTAACAATGAAGAGTAATACAAGGCTGTCACCAATTCACACTGTGGAATAATAATGAATTTCAAAACTAGCTTTATGGTAATGTATTCTTAACTCTTTTGAAGTTATCAGTGTGAATCACCACAGGCTTTTATCACTGAAACAATAACCGACTCTTGAATGTACAAAGAGTGAGAATAGGACAATTTCAAGCCTGAGGCACTATAATCAATGGAGAGAAATCATTGTGATAAGGCTCATTTAACGCAGGGACTGTCAATCCCAAGAGGAGGGTAAAATGGAAAAAAAGGACAATCAACAAGACCTGCGGACAGAAAAGAAGGAGACCAGTAGGTTTCTGGCTCTGTAACAAAATGAACAAAACCACTAAATACGTTAAAGAGAAATACTGGGAAAAGCAGCGTTAAGCAGAAGCACAGGGAAAGTAATGATTTATTTCAGATCATCCTCATTAAACCCTGCAGTTCACACAGATGTACTAGGGTGAAGAGATCCTTCTTCATAACGCCAGTAGTTTTCACTAGGTTTTAAAACATGTACAGTAGTTTATTACTCCTGTCCTGTGAAATGGCCACCCTGGGCTGCCAATGAATGCTACACAATGCACTGAGATCACGCTCAGCATGAAAAGGTGCCAAATAATTCCAAGCTGACTGATGCTACACGCGGTCGACATCTCCGGATTTGCAAATTTCACTTGGCAGCAAATTGTTTTAATGCTGCATTAGCTAGAGGAAGATCAAATAAATAAATCTCACAGCCCATACACCATGGTTTTTTAAATCTCTTCCACATAAAACTGCTTCACTGACTCAGAAAACCCAGCTGTCATAGTTGTAGTTTTTAAAAAGGACACACAGTGAAGGGAGCATAGCCTTTTATCCTCAAGCATGCTTACTTGACACAATTTTGCTCACCTTGTCAATCAGTGATACACTAGGTTCATACAGGAGTGAGCCTGGTCAGTACCTGGATGGGAGACCTCCTGGGGAAGCCAAGATTGCTGCTGGAAGAGGTGTTAGTGGGGCCAGTAGGGGGCGCTCACCCTGCAGTCTGCGTGGGTCCTAATACCCCAGTATAGTGAAGGGGACACCATACTGTAAAAAGGCGCCATCCTTTGAATGAGATGTAAAACCAAGTCCCTGACTCTCCTTGGTCATTAAAAATCCCGGGGGTGTTTCTTGAAAAGAGTACGGGTGTAACCCCAGTGTCCTGGCCAAATTTCCCCCTGGCCTTTACCAATTATGGCCTCCTAATAATCCCCTAATATGAACTGGCTTCATCACTCTGTTCTCCTCCCCACTGATAGCCGGTGTGTGGTGAGCGTACTGGTGCACTATGGCTGCCGTCACATCATCCAGGTGGGGCTACACACAGCGCTTTGTGTCCAGGAATGCACTAAGAAGTGTAAGAAATTATCATCATCATCCTAGTATGAGCAGGTGATGTTGAGAATACCTTGACTAGTATGTAGCTGTGAAGGATCATCAGGTTGGTAGCCATCTCAGCTGGGATCTTGATCTTCTGGGTCTGCAGCTCCGTGTACATGCTGAAGAGCACGTCATGGGCGTTCCTGTAGTTACCTGGAGCACAGACAGACACGTGTGTACAGGGGTCTGCTGCAGGTCAGCCTTTAACATAAAAGTATCTTCCACTGTCTTCCTGAGGAAAAAACAATGTGCTTTTGCAAACAATGTGACAATTTCTTCTCTGCAATATGAGCGAATTCTATGATACTCATGATTGTAGAAGTCGTAAAATGTTTTCACTTCCAGGAAAAAAACAATCTCAAGGTTTAAAGAAGTTTTAAGAGGAACTATTACATCAACACAGAGAGTAGTCAGTTTTTAGAAGAAATCCCCTGTGTCCTTTGGTATAACACACCACACATACCAGCAGACTGTTCCTCTCTGGCAATTATAATGGCTGTTCTGGCTGCTTCTCTGTACTGCTTAAGAGCCATGTACAACCGGAACAGATACTTGGCATCCTGAAAAAAATAGGAAAAAGTACAGTATATACAGTATATTAAACAGGCTGCACATTTATGCCTTAAAATATCTATATTAAAAGGACATAAGCAATTCAACAGCTTAATAATCACAGAACACACAACCAACAGAGATGTTCCCCTTCACTGAATGGAAAACTATGAATATCTAAAGATAGTTAATCCTCCTTCGATATATATAGTCTGTTTAATTTCTCAAATAATATTGCAAGAAATAAACAGCTGAAAAAAGTGAAAACTCTCTGAAGCCTGGGTTAGGATTCTAGATTTCTTATTCTCTCTTAAACTGAGATTCAGCAGTTACTAATGGTTAATTGTTGTATATAGAGAAAAAATGAAACTTTGTTTCTGATGTGAAATTTAGTATATCTTTTCCAAATTCTGGAAGCTTGTAATTAAGAATTACTACTGTAAATTGCACTGAGTAAAAACATATAAAAGGTAGGATTTCAAGCACTAGAGGCTGAAACACACACATGAACACATTTTGTAAAGCATAAAATCTCCCCATGTTTACCAGACTGCAGACCAGACCAGACCAGAGAGCTAAGATCTCAGTGAAGTTCAGATTCTTGCTAACACTGTCAGCTTTAGCACAAAACCCCAGAAGAGCAGGTATGGAATTCTTGTGTTGTAATTACTCACAGAGAGAGACTAGGAACACAGCACAGTGAAAGATGGATGATAAGCAGCAGGAGAAACAAATAAACCAGAGTCAGATTCATGGAAAAAGCCACAAAGCAAAACAAATCATGGTTTCAAAATGAATCTCTGATCTAATAGATCTACACAGCACTTTTAGGACTACAAACTCATTGTTAGTGGTCAGTGGTCAGCTTCATTGTGATTACTAGTCTTATGAAAGAGACGTGTCTTGTACTGAGAGGTGTTTCGGAAGTTGCAGACAGGTTTAAACATACAGTATATGCAATAAAGAGTTACATTATATCGATCACATGTGTCCTCAAACAGAACAAACACGGGTACATTTTAAATTCTATAATTTAAGAAACCAAGCTCCTTAGATCCACGATGGGGCTGTTAAAAGTGTTAAGCAATCTTTTTGCTTTTTTGTTTGAGAAAACCAAAAATGGAAACAGCGAGGATGTCCTCTCATCCTCTCTGTATATTTCTGAACCGCAACCCCAGAAACAGAACTCCAGGGACCTCTGCTGCATTACAGAGTCTCTTGGGCTGAGGAAGGCTACTGCAGGTAACAGGAAAGCTGCTCTCGTTCACACCAGGATGAAGACATCCCAAGAAAACAGCAGCTCAGGTCACAGAAGGCGTGATTCGTACCTTGGGCATTCCGTCACTCTCTCCCATCAAGTAATCGATCAGCTGATTAGTGAGAGCTTCATCCTTGGCTTGTCCGACCTGTGTAGTAGCCATCATCTTCATCAACAGCAGAACAAAATGCATAGCGTATCCATTTTATCTTAAAATACTGATTCATGGGATACCGGGATATAAGATTTCAAATTAATTTATAGCTAAAACTAATGGCAACAGATTTGTGCATCAATCAGTACTTAGTGTATAAGAGCCACAAGGCAGCTTGCAGTTCAAAATCTCTCCATGTCACCCTGTCCAGTTGCAGAGGGAACCTTACTGTTTCTATGGCCATTTCAATCGCTAGGTTATCTTCTGTATTGGGACACTTCAGGAAGTGCTTCAGGGCCTAAAATAGAGAGCAGAGAAATGTGAACAATTTCAATGTGTCTCAAGACCTGCACTGGTTACATTATTTTTTTTCAGAGAATTTCAGACCCTCAGCATGTAGAGTGTACAGAACTCAAACTCCCTTCCTTTTCCTACTTCTGCATTTTCTCCCACAATTCGAGTTCATCTTGGAGTCTCTCTTTCCCCTTCCCTGCTCCCATGGATCCAGTGATGAGAGTGAATCTTAGGATATACTATACTATAGATATAGAATCTTAGGATATACTATATACTATAGTGCTGAACACGTGAAACAAACTTGTTATGTTGACACTATTGAGCTCACAGTGACAATGTTGACACTTTTGACAATCCTTACATAAGTAAGGATTTACAAACCGTGCTACTGGAAACTTGGTGTATCTGGTGAAGACCGTGAAATAATTCCTGGTAAAGACTGTGCTGTAAACGGTGTATTGAACATAAATACTTAATTTAATTAATATAATCCTGAGCTAGGACGGTTTTCAAAAATGTAAGAATAATAGTCAACATTTTTTGGCCCTTATACATGAACTGTACAAAACACAAGAATGCTATGTCCAGAACACTGCCAAAAAATAATGGCACTGGGACAAACTCATTCTTTTGCGGCTGGTCTGTTTTCAAGACTAATTTCTATAAAATATCTCAAATGTACAGACAGACGCCTCTTGCTTCCAGTTTAATGAATTCAGATAGATGCTTCACAGAGTTATGCTCTGTGCTGTGCTGTTCTTATGGGATCCAAGAGAGCTTTACGGAGCCTCACTGAATGCGAGCACCTACTGTACGTCGGGGAAGTGATCAGTGGGCTCCAGCACTCACCCTGGCATGTTGCCCACAGAGCTGAAAGAACTTCCCAGCTTGCAGGTGCTTCTTTTCTCCTTCGAAGTACAGAGCAATGCTCTGATAATCCTCCATAGTAGCGTCAGACCCTGCAACACATCGTCACAGACTGACATTCTTGACAAACTGCAAGACTTCCACAGACCGAGTATACATGTATACCGTATTTAAAACCAGTTTCATTTTAAAGCAAACTTACAAACCTTTATACAAAAACTGCACATAAGACAATGTTTGAAACCATTTGAAGAGAAAAAATTGGCACCCCGTTCTTTGCATTGGTTTGACAGTATGACTGGAAAGCTACAAAAATATTGCTTTCTACTGGAAATACTTAAGATTCTTAAGACTTAAGGGGGAAACTGAGGTTGGCCATTTTGAGAAGCTCAAATTGGAATTTAGTTGGGAGTCTTCTTTGGTGCCACAAGATATTTAATGATCACTCAGGGACACCCGTCCCTGTCCAGGATCTGAATATAAGCTCCAGATGACTCCTTTCTAGTCCACTCCGCAGTTTCCCTGCTGAAACCTTGTGGCAAAAATGATCTGGGCCGCCCTGTGTCCTGACGGCTACATGGGTCTGTATTTCCAGTTATCATGGGACAGAGCAGTGACCAAGTGATGCCAAATAAGTTGACAGGAAAGGGAGGGGAAAAGGAGGTGACTCAAACGTACTAAAAAGAAACAGAAAACCATGCCTCACTTCTAAACACCTACGCGCTGCGGGGGTTGTGATGCAGACAACTTGAAGAAAAAAGTTTTTTTGGGGGGTTTGTAGTTTTATAAAGGAAAGGCCTCACCTATGATGTCTGCGTACACCTCCATCTGCCCATGCTGCTGAGCCAGCTGGAAGGCCTCATCGTTACACTTGGACATCACCAGGAACTGGATGGCAGAGCCGTAGTCATTTAGGCGCAGGAAAAACCTGAAGGAAACAAGGGCTTTGACTGAGCTGGGCCTCACCCAGAGCTTCTGATTCCCAATACGTTGAGTCCAATTTCCAGAAGAATCGGCAGTTTTTTTTCCCCAAATTCCCCATCTAGCCACTTTATTACATTTTCTTTGGATTTAAAAGAATAACAAGATAAAATGGTTTGATTAATACGTTCACTAATTCCAGGTTTTAAAGGGAACATTGTTAATATTATCAAGTACTTCACATAAAAGGTCTGCTTGTCAACCACGTCTGTTTCAGCTCTGGACACCACGGTAGCTACAGCAGTTTAAAGAGGCGTTACCTAGCAACCATCTTGGCCCCATCAATGGACTGCATGTCCCTGACGATGCGCACAGCCTCCTCCGGGTTGTTCAGGTGGTCCAGCTGAATCCGGATGACATTGTCCCAGTCCTTCGCATTCTCATAAGCCATCGCGGCCTCCTTAAACCTTGACCAAAACATACGTCACCCCGTCGGGAATGTGAACTGAGGTACTGTGCGTGGCTGGTGAAACAGTGCAACTTCTTTATAAGATTTATATCATAGTGGCTAACATGTTCCTTGCATAAGCCATAACTTATATTGGCTGCATGAAGTCCTTCTTCTGTAAATGACAACTAAAATACTTTTACCCTTGGTTGTGACAATACACAATAGTGCACAATAGTAGACATCAGACAATAGTCACAATAGTGACAATGCTTTGCTGTCATTGCCCTCAAAAGCCCATGCATAACTGCTTTTCTGCAACAAATTGGTTTTTCGTAATGTAATATTTGGAAGACCCCTTGAATAAAACCACTAGTCAGATACTGCTACTGCTACCACAACTCCAGTTTTTTTTATAGATAATGGCAAAATGACATATTACTTTTTTCAATGAATGTATGAGATGTTTCATTAGTTAAATCAGGAATATACCGTAGCAATATTATATATCGGCATAAGGTCTGGTTTATTGCACTACCTTAGGATTCCCTGCTTTCTTTTTGCAAGAACATGCTGATAATGTCTTTGCCCATCTCACTGGCTGCTGCTGTAGGGTTTAACAGGCTCTTTGTATGTGAGGAAATGACACTGTGCTGAACCCAACATTTACTGAGCACATTTCAGAGACACTTAATAACGACCCGGCAAGACAACAATAAAGGCCATTTGAACAAAAAGACTTACCTTGCACTAAATGGCCAAAAAGAAGCATTTTTTCATTGTCAGTTGCACACTGAGGGGAATTAATGCCCCTTGTGTCAATGAATTCAGTACATAATGACTTTCTTCTGCAGACTTGTGCAACAATACCACCAGAGTTAATGGAAATAGATTCATTAGGAGTTGGAGCACAACAATAAAAAAGTAAAATAAAAAAGCTATTTTCACTGATGTTGCAGACTGACAGAGCCTTTTGGAAAAGGAAAAGGCTTTCACCCTTTGAGAACCTGTTTAATGGCTAACCAGCCCTGAATGACCTCACACACAACAGGGCAAGCCCCCAGGTCTCGAATGAGATGACGTGAAAGGATAAGGCTGAAACAAGTGACTGCTCTGAGCTCAGGGGTCACACATTTCTCTCTCTGCTCGTCGGAAGACAAAGAAAGCGAGCCGTGCGGATCACTGGCTGGCCAGAATTTCTTTCTGCTTTGAAAGACACAAGTCCGAGCCCCCAGAAACCTAGGCCTGCCAGGTTTGATTCTGAAGAGAGGTCCTGAGCTGTGTGTGACTGCAGTGCCAGTGTGTGGTAAAGAGTGAGGGCAGGGTGATATGAACTGACTGCTTTCTGAATCTCATTTGAATCTCGACTACTGAACTACCACTTTTATTTCACATTACATACGCTGGCAAAATGGGACCTAGTCTCAGAATTATACGGTATTTCCTGCAGGATAGTTATTTAAAAACACAATTACATTTACAGGGCTATTTTATTTACATACAACATATACATACATATATTCATAGCATTTATCATTATACATTGTATTAAGTATATTGCCCTTGACGACTGGAGTTGGGCACACCTGTCATAAGCATTAGATGACACATTTATCACATTATTTGAATTCTAACATAACTACACCTCCACGTTACATAAAATCAAATTGTTCAGCTGTGGACCTGGGGTGCTATCTGTGTGGAGTTTGTATGTTCTCCCAGTGGTTTCGTCACGATTCTCTGGTTTCCTTCCACAGTCCAAAGACACACTGGCAGGTTAACTGCTGGTTTTGGGGAAGACTGGCCCTGGTGTGAGTGTGTACGTGTCTGTGTGTGTCCTGTGATGGACTAGAGTCTGCGTCCTGCCTTTCACCCACTGCATGCTGGGATAGGCTCTGGCTCCCCTCCAACCCTGAATTGGATGAGCTGTTAGAAAATGGATGGGTGGGCGGAATATTAATGACCGAATGTATATTAAAGGAATTTTAACAGAAGAATGTTAAGAAAGGCCTGTGTAGAATGGAAGGAAAATAATGGAATCTGCATTACTGAATTGGAATCGGTCACTTACCTGCCATCAGCCTCTCTTGCCTTGGCGTACTGAAGGTGTATCTTGGGAGAGGACACATGAGGCAGCAGCTCTCCAACCTTGGCCCTGACAGAAAACACAACACACAGTTCTGCAGCTCCCTGGCCAGTGCTCTCCCTTACACACACTCACTTACAGACTCCACCGAGATGCCATCACCAGACATACAGTATGACACATTACTCTAATCTGCTTGCATGGTACACAGCACAGACGTACTGTGGAAAACAGAGCAGAGGAAACTCAAAAATGCTTCTAAGTGTTGAAGCAAATATTAACATTAAAAAACAACAAAAACTGTACTCAACAGTATTTGGACAGATTGATTTTTACTATTTAAATCTGGGTTATATTGTCCCTCTGCAGGAAAAAGTGTGGCTATATGTAAATCTTGGGATAAATAGTTTGGTGAATTTACAGTTTGTAATCTTTTTCCAAAAAAAAAAAAATATATATTTTTTTGGAAGTCCTTTAGCCTGCTGAGAATCTATACAGTATTCAGATAATATGTCATACAAAATAATGATATGATATGAAAATATATGAAAATAATCAGAATTTATACATGGAGCCTTGTAGGCTTATAAAGAAAATATCGGAAAGCACTGTTGATTAAAGAGGTCAGAGACTCTGAAAGTCTCCACACAATCAAAACATGCATCTACTGAGCTGTTTATTACAGATATTCTTATTGCCAAGATTTTTACAAATGAGCAAATTTTATTACTTGGATGATGTTCAAGAAGCACTTGTCTCAATTAAAGCCTGAGTTTAATTCATCATCTTCAGTTAATTTAAAGCATAAAACATGCAAATTGGAAACCACAGTTCATTTCCTGTAGTCACTTTATGCGCATGCAAGTAAAATATTGCTTCCAATGAATTACATATCGGTTTTCCACTGCTGGTCCAGACAGGCTATAATCTTACCAGTTTTTACAGCGAATGTACACAGAAGCAGCTTTGTCGTAGTACTGCCCCTTCTCATACAGCTGAGCAGCTTCAGAAAATTGCTGCAAAAACAGAGAAAGACCAGATCAGCGACAAACGATTAACTGGCTATTCAAACAACACATCAAAATATTATTATAGTACTAAAACCACAGTGCTGCACTTAACTGCACCTACTGTGGTCCTACATTGAGGGTTTAACTGTTATACTCCTGCATTCTTCTACTTTCACAGTGATTTCTGCTACTGTGCTATTGATACCTAATCAGACCTCAGCTAGATCCTTTAAATTTTTTATATCATACTGGCTATTTTCAACTTGTTGCACGCAAGCAGCTCTATATTCATTTCAAAACATTATTTATAGAATAATCATATTAAGACCTACAGCACAAATTTGAGAGGTACTCAGAGATGTACAGCACATGTAATCTGAATTAAGGCGCAGAGAAGAAGGACAAGGCAGGACTTTTCCTGTGGCTTCGGGCTCTACCTTCATGCTCTCCAGAATCGCTCCGCAGTCCTTCTTCAGCAGCCTGCTGGGGTGCTTGATGGCCTGGTTCACACCCCGGCGAATGTCTCCCATTCGGATGGACATGCGGGCCACCCCAGCCTGGCAGGCCTCGTCGTGCTCCTGGTGCTTGAAGCAGATCACAGCTCAGCTGTCTGCACAGCAGCGAGCAATAACTCCACTCCTCTCGGCCGCTGAGCTGCTACACTTTTACAACGCAACACTACAAAGTTTCAATCGGGATACAGCAGCTAAGAAATATCTGATGTGCCGTACAAAAACTGAAAATACATAAGGCAGCAAGTTGTTTTCCTGTTTTGCATTCACCTTTCATTGAAATATATTGTGTAATAAATGAAAGAACTGGAAATTAAATCTACATGGAGATTGTTAGATTACAGTTTTGCCAGTAAGACAAATTTGCTTCTCAACATTTTAGAAGGAAATGTATTTCCACAGCCACAAAGGCAAACTTAGGACGATCTTTTTGTCTTGCTAGCTTGAGGTCTCTATACACGTCAGATGAGACTAAACTGATGACATAACGATGGACACACAGACTGTGAAATACCTTACCTTATTGTCCCCTGTTACTCCCTTCTCATAATGGGCCAGGGCATTCACATAGTCACCACTGAGAAAGGATATCACAGGAAAGGAAAAAAAACTCTCAGGATTTGTGGAAGAATTGAAACCAAAAGGTGTAAGTGTTCTACACAAGTTCCTACTTATTGTAATATTATTGTTTTACTTGATGTACTTGATACCTAAGATGTTTTTGCGAGCGCTACAAAGTGTTATGCCTTAAGTCAGACACAAGAGAGTGTCTGTGTACGAACTGTGTCAAAATGTGCAACGGAGACTACAGAATTGTGGAGACCTGCCATTTATATTGTAAAGGATGAGAAAGATGAAAGAAATGGATCTATAATCATGAAGTGCGCTGCTGCTATGTATGATACAGGCTGTGAGAAAGTTTTTTCTCTCTTGTGTTATGTCCTGCTTTACCAAGGGTGCTTGGATTTGAAGACAGTGAAACACTCGGCTGTACTGCAGTGACACTACTTTACAGGAGCACAGCAGTTACAATAAGTATAATGTAAAGCAAACTTTTCCATAGTGTTTCCACAGTGTTAGCTTTTTCAATATTGAGCTGAATTAAAGATACAGTAGATCCCTTCAATACCACTGACTTGGTTTTATTCCTGCGATGCACACTGCTGTGTCTGACTACATACAGTACATTTACGATGTACGATGTGCCCTGCCTCACTAGGCAACAACACTCAGAAGTCCAGCACACATTCAGTTCATACTCTGAGAGGGAAAGCCAACCAGAGCACCGAGACACCCAAGACTCAACCCTGTCTGAGCTAGTAAGCAGTACAGAAACAGCTATGGAAGTCGTTTTAAGAAGCTCCATACATGAACTCCAGCTGAATGGCATACTCCTTGGATATGAAGGCAATCTGGGCTGGGGCCAGTCGTTTAGCCAGCTGGAGAGCACTGTCCCAGTGCTGCAGGTCTCTTCTCATCTGCAACAGCCAAGAGGCCTCATGTCAGACATCACCCTCAGCCCAACTACAGAAAGGTCATTTCCCTCTTCAAAGACAATGATTTCATATGGAGTTCCAGTATTTTGACCTGTCCTTTTCTCTTTGGATTCTGCATGCATCCTGCTGTTTATATAAATATACATTTCTGAATAAGACTTGTAATGTTCAGACCACCAGACCAGAGCTGCAGAGCTCATCCGGGGTTCTGTAACATTGAAGTGGACTAGATTGCACATGACTCCAGTCTTGAACAGGACACTGGTTGACTGCATGGGTCATGCCCCAGCAATGTTGGATAGCACATCTGGATCGAATGGAGGAACTGGGGAAAAGCAGCTCCCTCAGTATGCAACAGCAGTGTTGGCAGTGTAGCCCTAAACCCACAATCTGACAGTTGTAATCTTTCAAAGGGTTATATACTTAGCTGTGCTGCCCCACTTTTAGCTTTCCATTAGGCAATAAAAATGCGAATGATGAATAACAAACAGACATTGTACCTCCAGTGCTGCTACAGGGCAGCTTGAGGCCAGGTAGAGGTCTTGGGCCTGGTTGAAGTCATTGGTGAACATGGCCAGGTGGCCAGCCAGGAGGTTGTGATCTTCGATCCCCTGGTGAGAACAGACAGGAGCACGTGAGAAGATTCACCAACAGGCCAGCCAGCCTGACCAGGAGAATGAGGATTACTGCATGCAAGTCTACAGCAAGATCACGGGCCCTGATTCAGGACAGTTTATGAAAAGCAAGGAGTTTTGAAATCATGGTTTGGGGTAGGCCGAAATAACTGTTGGAAGGTCAGCCCGTTTCTTTCAGAAATTTGCCAGTTATTACTTTTCAGTGTTAGTTTTCTAGTTTTGATTTCTGGAATGGATAATGGAAATAGATATAAATGCCGTAGCACATTATGAAAAATATTCTGACGCAAAAAAACAAATCATTTTCAAACAAGCAGCAGAAAATCAAGTAACCTGCAGCTGTGCTTGAACAGCTGGAGAACTCTGAGGTGTCTTGACAATCACAGAGAAACACTGCCCTCCAGTGTTTACTCTAAACACACCTCACATGACTGCGATGTCAACTCCTGCACACTTGGGACTCTTCTCTATAAAAAGGCTTTGGAACACATAGTAGAATTCTGTGCTGTGGACACCCACTACTTTGACTCCTAAAACTTAATTTTCATACTTTAATTTATGGAAAACATGAGATTTGTTTAAAGATGCATTTCTCTTCAAAACTGAGAAATTCTGAGACACAGGGAAGTTCCCCATGGTTATTAGAAAAAAAGGAAGAAGGCACAACTTAAAGTCCCTTGACATGTCATGATCGGCGCACTTTAAGTGCTACTTACCTTTATAATTAAAATATAACTGCTCTTGGGGGCGGCATAGTGGCACAGTGGTGAGGATTCCTGCCCTACACAGGTCAGCTATGGAGCTAGGGTACTGTGCTGTCTGTGTGGAGTTCGTCTGTTCTTCCCATGATCTTGTGGGTTTCCTCCATGTGCTCCCACAGCTTTCTCCCACAGTCCAACAACATCTGATGTGAGTGTGTTTTTATGTCTATGTGTCTGCCCTGCGATAGACTGGCATCCCATCCAGGGTGTACCCTGCCATTGCTTGTCAGGTAAGGCCCCCATGGCCCAGAACAGTACAAAGACGTTGGAAGAAGTTGTCAGAAAATAAACGGATGGATATAACTGCTCTTATGGAGACATCTGCAAGACTACGTGAAGCTGGAATAGCAATGGTCTCTGGCGGTCTGCTCTACACTGAACTCTGAACTTTTTACTCAACGCGCACAGATTCCGTCAGAAAGAGACCCGTACTTTAATCTCCTCCAGGGACATGACCATGCCCACGTTCTTCATGTTGCGGTACACACGGATGCCCAGGTCCACCTCCATGTGGTGCAGACAGGCCCTGCCCAGCTCGTTCCAGGCAGAGGGCTCCTTCAGGACTTTACACAGCTCCCAGGCCTCACTGAACCTGCAGAACAGAAACACACTCTGGTGAGCGAGGCCAAAGTAAAACGCCAGAGTTTGATTTCAGTATACCAGTGGGCATACAAGTGGGCCAGCTAACGATGGTGCCTCCATTTCTTTTCACTGCAGAAATTTCCATCATAAACTTAATCCTTTAATAAGAAACACACTATTGCACATCTCCAGTCATTGTTTACACATCTGTATTGTTTACATTCAAACTGTCTACATGTTTACTTGCACATTGTCTATTGTTTGTTTGTACATTGTCTTGATGCACTGTTTGCACTTTGTCTTGTTTTTTACACTTGTTTTACAATCGAGAGACTTTCTGTGAGTAAGAATTCCATTGTACCAGTACCGGTTACATATGGCAATAAAGTTCAAGTTCAAGTTCAAGAAGATCTCTTGAGTAACTGAAAAAATGGAATCTCGCAATCCACACTTACTGCATTAGTTGACTGATAACAGTCAAATAGCTACCACAAAAGAAAAGTTTCAATATCGATATCTACATATTAGCTTAATTTGTGTGGCAGTGTTCAATGATACCAACCAATGTACCCACAGAGGACTGCCTTGTACAGGTAAGCTGGACCCCAGAGTGGGAGGGAGCACACTGGACTCCTACCTCTTGAGCATGAGGGCCTGGGTGAGAAAGTGGCTCAGCTCGCTGGGGCCGCTGTCCTTGGGGCTGCTGAGGAAGGAGTGGGTGCTCAGGACCACGGTGTTGGTCTTGCCGCTCTGTGTCTGACAGGTCAGCTCTCCGTTGTACAGCAGCAGGGGCTTGTGAGAGTACGGCAACTTAGTTCCTCCGGCTAGGATCACTTTGGAACCTGCAGTGGAAGAAATGAGGCTCAGCCTACTCTGAGTGTACTATTTTGCTTGTAAATAAATACAAATTTAGAAAAGTACAGTGGTTATTATGATCTACAACCTTGCTTTACAATCTACAGATCAAATCTGCAATACCAATATCCTTCTTGAGCTTTTTCTTATTTTTCTTACTAGAGCTTTTCACAACCTTATTCTTATTTCCTCAATTTAAGACTCATCACGCTTCAGAAAAAGGGGGGGATTTTTAAGGAGATATTTGGCATATGGCTGTGTATTATTTCAATCTGGATTTTTCAATTATAATAAAAGAAACATGTCTACATGACTCACTAGTATCCCTGTTCCAACGGCCTTTTCAAGACATTTCCCAAAGGATGTTTGGCATGAGTCTTGTTCTTTGAGTTATAAACCACTCAGAACTTTAATTTGGAACAAAGAAATGTGCATCAGCCAAATATGATACACCATCAAATGTAAGAACTCACATCAGAATAAAATTTACTTTTTTTGTGCTGGTGGTGGGGTATCCATTATTCCTTGAAGAACCATTAAAATATCCAGCATTTCTGACTAAGCTAAACAGGAATTTGAGCTTGAGAGAAACTGGCCTACATAAACCAGAATGTGCCCAGTGTCTTTAGCTCCAGAGATACACGTATGAGAGGGACTGAGGGTTAGTTACTATGAAATGGTACCTTGGATGGTGTCCTTGTGGAAGACATAGGTATACACTTTATCATCGTCATAGGCAATAAACACACCCTTGTCCATGGGCCAGTTTTCCCACAGAACTCCTTTGATGGTAGGAGAAAAATTGGGGATTTCAAAGACTGTATCATTCACCTAGGAAAATGAGAGGTAGGTCAGTAACCAATATGGATGGTATACACACAGTAGGCTGTATGATTCTGGTGGTGTTTTCAGAATAATCTACACTATCAGCTTCTAGTTCAGTCAATGTTAATTATCTTCTAACAAGCGATGGTGTGTTTAATACCAGCAGATACAACCTTTGTATATATTTCAGGTTACAGAATGAAAGGACAACTGGTATCATTTAAGGTGTTCAGGATATAGGAAAAATTGAACTGTTTTGTTAGCTTCAACAAAAGAAAATGAGTTCATTCAGACAGTCACAAAAAGCCTAATATTATAAATAACAAGCAATATGATATCATGACAAGTGAGAATCTATATATCTGACACACAGAAGAGACGTGATAAAAGTAAGTCTCAGAACCCTATAAAACTCTTACAGGACAATAGATAAAACCATCACTCTTGTCATCGATGAGCACTAGCCTGGTCCCATTGGGGTCTGGGAAGATTTTCCTTATGCCCACTGGGTGTCGATATTCATTGACATACTGCCAGTCTTCAATGTAAAAACATTTAATTACACCAGTCTGGAAAATCAAAACAAATCAAGAAGATTTCTTTTATTTGATTATTTCTAATGTACTTGAAGTAAAAGCACACATTATATCTTAGTAAACCAGTAATTGTTATACTATAAAATGTTCATTTGTAATGTATAACTTTCATTGTTTTCTGACTTTGACTAGACTTTGATGATAAGGCAATTTACTACAATAAATGGTTATAGGGGCTGTGTGAAACTACAGATACTACATATAAATAGCAGTATTATCATAATCCAGAGGAGTAAAACCCAGATGAAACACAGGTAAACACACTGAATATAATGTAAATCAGTACGGAGAAAAACTAAAGGAATTTGAACTAATCAAATTTATCCTGGTAAGAAAAGACTAAGAAAATGATCAAATCCAAGAAGAAATGCACTACATTGTGGCTACAAATTACCTCAGTCTCTACATCTGATTTACTACAGATCAGCTGTTTCCTGTTGTAAAACTCTGGATATATTTAAAGATATAGAAGAATTTACTGTATATTTGAAGATACACAAATACATGCCTGAACCTAAAGCCTTCTATTAATTTTTATGCATGATGTGTTTTCTTATCAAATCATTCTTCATATTGCTAACACCTTGCCAAAATGTATAAAATTGTCCATGTATTGTTATTTTAAAAGAACAGAAATGAAGGTGACGGTTCAGAGTGTCTTACATCTGTTCCGTAAAAGAGGAAGTCTGCAGTCAGGGCGTGAGACAGAATGCGACACTTGTCGTCTCGTCCCGGGAAGAGACGTGTCTGCCTGTCCTCCTGGGTGTCCTGGTCTTCACTCTCAATCTGTAATACATTCTAGTCATGGTGCTGCAAATGCTACACGACAGCTGGACGTAAAGGAAAATGGTGAAAAAATAGCAACACCCAGAGTCTGAATTATGCCATGTATTCACAGCAAACAGAGAATTCCATCTGTACCCTTCAGACTACACAAATTCAGATTCACTGATAAGAAGCAACATTTACAGTCTCAGGATTTCAAAACGTAAAACCTCTATATTTCATAGTATATACGGTACGTAGTGGATATAATGGATGGGTGTGTCATGAGATTGAAGATTGCACACCATGTTCAGGCCAGTATCAGCAGAGAAGTGACATGTGTGCTGATCACTGCCTCTATTAGCCCATTCTGACTGCTGGTGCTCCAGAGATGTGCAAGACTGCATGTGTGGTGTGATTTCCTCCTATACATACACACAGAGGCTTGGCATAAGCAAACAAGGTGCTAAATTGGATAAGTAAATGTGTTAATTCTGGAATCTTGCACAGCCAGGAGTTTTTCTTTGCCTTCTGTGAGCCATGACCTTGCACATTGTGTGGATGAGACAACCGATTCCAGTGAGGGTTACTGCAACCCAAACTAGCACTAATCCTGGCAGGTCCTTTACAGACTGTAGTAGTTGGTTGGTCTAGCGTAACTCATAGAATCTCAACGAAAGACACGTTTTGTTTTGGTTTGTAATTCAAGCCGACGGAATCGCCATAGCTAATTGACTGCGAAAAAGCTATCACTTCTGTCCAATACCTCTGATCTTTTTAAGAGGACTTGGGTCAGTCTGGATCTTTACTGCCAAACACAGTAATACATACAAAATTAAGTGCTGGCATCAGTTACAGCATTTATATAACTAAATGCTTTTGAAAGACATTCCAATTTAGGAATCAGAAAGTTTTTCTTTCACTTTCTTAGTCTCTTTGATTCTCGATAATCTTTTGTGCACGTTTATGAAAGCAGGATATATTTGAGTTTAGGTGTACCATAAATTTCTTCTTTTACCAAAAATGAATCTTTTAAATACACAGAATGTTTAGAGTCATGTCATAATTAACAGTCAATAGTACTAATAACCAATGAAGTGCTCCATTGCTAAAAACAGTGAGACCAAATATGTCATAAACCAATTTCATTTCAGAGTTATATTTGATAGGGATCTTGAGAAACAACCCAGAGGCATTTTGTTTTGACGGTCTTATTTTTTCTCCCTCTATGAGTTATTCCCTGACCTTCTGAAAACCTCAAAAAAATTAATTTCCTGGGCTGCTGGAAAAGAGCAACTCAAAATAGAAGATGAAACTCCTAAGGCTTTTTAACATCACTGCTCTCCCTAATATTATACTTCCTACACTGTACCTGTTCAACATTCCTAAACTCAACGTTGGCGATGATCTACAGAATAAAAGAACAAAGTTAGCTTTGGGAAAATTGTATGTATCTTAAAAAGTGAAAAGGAAGCATTGATTACAACCTGATCTAGATGTAAGGGTTAATTTATTGTACACAAAACCTTGGGAAACAGATTAAAAAACAACTTAATCCCTTAAAATTAATAAATGTAATGCTTTTGAATTATTACTTAATTCAAAAAATCATGCGGCTGTTTTCTCATGAGATTTGAAAGCTGCTGTCTGTGCCTCTGTTCCAGTGGCCTCTTGTAACCTGCATGGGGCTTGCTTTTTGATCTGATAACCACAGCCTACAAACTGTTAAGTTACATGGACTGAAACATTAGCCAAGTCTGCCAACCTCATGTCTCTTGTGGAGTCACATCGACTCCATAAACATAAATATTTTATTTCCCCACTTAGCAATGCATATTAAGAAAAATACCTGGTCGGTTACTATTTCATAACCCACAGGACTCAAAGGTCATACCACATGAGGGGTCATCTGCACTATTTTAGACAGAAAAGGTCACTACGTTGGAACACATCATACTCTATTAATGCAGCAGTGTAGTGTACAGTACTTGGATGTGCATTTATATTTTAGATCTGCATAGGAGTCTAGATTCTATTAAGACAGAAGACCGGATGAATTCTTACCATGTGCAACTGCACCTTTCCCTCGAAAAGTACAGCAGTGTAATCGGAGTTGAGATACATGCTTACTACTGATCCAAGGTATTCCACATCTTTCAGTTTTTCTATCCCTGTAAACAAACAGGCATGTACTGTATAAAGTGCTACAGAAATATGGCTACCTGCTGTGATGCAGAAGTAGAAATAAGGCAGACTTTGCCACTCAGTGTAGGCAAAAACATTGTACACTCCCTGAGTTAAGGCTGTGAGCATACTGAAAGCAGATTCAACAGGAACTGTGAGCAATCTATCTTAAGAACAAAGACGGCAAAGGAAAACGATATGAATGAGTTGAAATCATTCGGCTTAAATGTAACTTCAGTCATGGCAAAAATTAAAGACAGCAAATAACGTTAAACAGCCCTTTCATTTAAGACTCATGTGTCACCTACTTTCTTCTGCAAGGGCGTAAAACCAGGCTCGGTTGTTCATTCCCACAGCGATGTGAAAGGGGCCCACGGCGATAAAACTGGGCTCCACCTCCACTGACACGGCGATAGCCGGCTCCTTTGAACAGGCAGAGAGACAGCAAGTCAGGCACTGCAGCTCACACAGCCTGCGACAGGGAACACACCCTTCTCCCTTCGAACCCATTGCCAGGGTCACTCCTCTCTGGGGCACTGTTAGCCTAAACTGGAAATTTGCCTACCCGCATGACTGAGATTAAGTGTAACTGAACGTAACTGGAATAATCAGTAATAATAATCATTTCAAATGCGCTTTGCTCATGGACTGTAGGTAGCTTCTGTAAAGCCCCTCCCTCATCAGTTTTGACAGTTAGGCCAGCTGAGAAGTATTTACTGCCCTAGGTATGGCCGCTGCTCAATTTTTGCCTCAAATTCAGACGATTCATTTTCCCTCGAAAAATCAAAACGCTTCAATATGTACTCGTGCAAACCCTGTTGTGGTAGCGCTTGCTCTGGAAGGAGCTCCATGATGGAGAGGAGGAAAGATCTGAATTCAGATGAAGAGAAAGGTCTGAGAGGGCAATAAAGCTCCGGAAAGAGTCCTAAAGAAACAGAGAAGGCAGGACAGATCGACCCTCTCACCCCTTCCACAGGATTGGCCACTGTGACCTCCAGTAAGGAGGTGAGGTAGGCAAGCCGGGTCCCACAGGTGTCACCCAGGATGGGCAGTTTGGTCAGGAACACGTGAAGTGTGCCGCGCTGGGTGGAAACAGCCAGCAGCTGCCCATCGTCCGTCCAGGACAGGTAATCCAAACCTGTGAATTTGAATAAGTAAGGACCACTCAAACCGGGTGAGGATGGAAAGAGAAATGAACAAAACCGCACGAACACCAGTAAAGATGATGTAGAGAAAAGACAAATCATAATTCAGATCTAACCCTTACTGTCATAGTAATAAAATCTAACTGCATTTTAGTTTTTGTTTTGTCATATATTCATGACTCTATAGTGACAGGTATTCATAAATAACCCTATAAACTGTTTTAATTGTTTAATAATATCTAATTAAATCAATTCCATTCCACTTCATAGAATTACTTGTTAGAAGAGTGCTTCAAGATGTACTGCTGCTGACACTACACAAATTCACACTGTGTTTCTGTAGTGTGTCATGCATTCAGACCCTACCTTATTGCCTCAGATAATAATTCCGTCTATTTCTGAAGTCAATCTTGTCATGGTTTGCAATGGGAATACAATTAAATAGCTCACAATTGCAAATTGCAATTGTCATGATTTTATTTAGGAGAAGTATTCCAGAAATTAAAATTAAACACCGTACTTGAAACTTTGGATTATAAGGTATACGACACCTATCTGAAAATTCACAATGTCCAGGGGAGCTCTGCTTTATTGGAGATACAAAAACATTTTATTTTACAGTGCACAATGGCACACTACCAACCAAAGTCCTAGTTCTTATTAGTTTTTTTCAGTTTCTGTTGTTGCCTTTTTTGGCTTACTGCACATTATTATCTACAAAAATGGCACGATGGCAACACAAACAAATATGGGGGTATATTCAGCAAGTGGGCTTCAATCTCTAAACTTCAAAGTTTTGAGTGCAATCAGATAGGAAAATCAATCATTCTCCTATATGCCAAACACAATTTAATTTTCCCCGTACACCATACCCCGTAAAATGTTAGGGCTTAAGATAAAAAAGCCCAAACCACCTGTCACAAGCAGCCACCTGTGCTGACAGAATCACATAATCAAGCAGGGATCAAAACCTGAAGTGCTGAGTTTTTACAAGATCTAGGCTTTTCTACCACAGTCGTTTCTAATGGTGAGAAAGGAGGTGAGACTTTGTCCACTTTTCCCTCTTGATTATGAGGGAGTGAATTAATACCTGCATCAAGCTGAAGTTTCTCAGTGTTTATCACGCATCTGGGCTGTATCACGGACACAGGGCAAAGACATAAAGGAACGTCTAACCTCAACGCTGAAGTACAGAAGTGTTGTGTCACAGACACTGTCTCAGCTCCCCTGCCTGTGCCTGGTAGCAGATGACAGGGAAGGAGGCAGGCACACCTCCTCCTCCTCCACAGGAGCTCCTACATCGCGCTCACCTTTGGTCTCGTCATCCAGATTAATGATGGCATACATCTCCTTCAGCTCCGCCAGGTCATGGATTTTGATGCTGAAAAGTGAAAACGACACCAATGTTAACCAAAACAAGGGAGACTGAAACCTCAATGAGAAAATAGCATCTCCAAAAATAACCATCAGGAGGAAAGCTCATCTGTCGATGTTTCAATAAAAACATAGCAACACATCATTAGCAAGCAGTTTGTAAATTAGCCAATGCATTTTTGTTGCCGAAACGCGTCTGAATGATTTAACTTCTCCAGAAAAGCAAAAGTAAATTCGGCAGTTAAAACTGTTTACGGATATTTTAAAAAGCTTATTCTTTTTCTTTAACAAACGTTTTTTTTACAGCCTTCATTAGCAGTATGGCAACTACACTGCACATTTTTCAGTGATTCATAAATATGCATAATGCCTCTTTAAACGAAGTATATTTAAATGAGCAAACTGCTCAAAGATACTGTCTGGAATCTGAATCCTCACTTCATCTCTGGCTTGCATCTCCCTCTGCTGTCTCTTCATAGCACAAAATGTGAAATGGATTTCATCAGAGATTAACTGATTTACATACTGAGCACAAGATGGCTTATTAATAATTTGTGTTCAATTAATTTCCATTCTCTGTTGAAAAGACACCACAATGCCTTTTCGCTCCCTTCCTCTCATTCTGTATTTTGTTGAATGACAGACGATGTAGACACTATGTACAGTGAATATTTGTATTAAAAAATTTAACACTCAAGTTCACTGAATGCTTCAAAGATGTTTGAATGCCCAAATAAGAGTGAAAGAAGCTAAATGTCAGCACAAATTGCAAAAATTAAAAACTAAAATATGTTCAGTGTATACAGTAAGTACAGTATTCAGCACAAAGTGCCAATATTGGTCGAAGCACTTTTGGCACAATTACAGCTGCAGAATATGTCTCTACCAACTAAATATGCAAGCAGTGCAATATTCATCCCACATTTTCATCCCATTGCTCCCCCCAAATTTACTTAAACTTTGTCAAGTTGCTTATTATTGAGTCAATAAGTTTCATCATACCACAGATTTCCTGTCGGATGCAACTTTTGACAGGGCATCTCAACGACATTCACTTATTCTTAAGCCACTCCCAGCTCTGGCCTTGTGCTTTTGGTTACAGTCCTACCGAAAGATGGATTGCCATCCCAGATTTACATCTTTGGCAGACTGAAGTAGGTTTACCTGTTAAGATTAGCCCTTCCTTTGCTCCATCCCTTTTCCCTCAATCTTGAAAGACTTCCCACTCCATGCCAAAGAGAAGCAGCCCCACACAACAACGCTTCCACCAGCCTACTTAACCATTTGTCTGATCACACAAAACCTTTTGCTACATGTTGGCAGTATCGTTATCTGATAGCTGAGTCTCTGCTATAAATTCACTATGTGGCTGAGGCACCTTACAGAGATAGGTGCAGAAATGTATTATTTATTGTCAAAGTAATTGTGTATACCTGAACTAAATTAGATTTGTAACAGCAAAAGGATGAGTACTTAAGGTGTAATCAACCAGTTTTAGTTTTTGACTTTTATTTTGCTGAACATTTACACTGAACATTTAACTTCTTTCACATATAAACATGTTCCACTGCAGCATTTCAGTACTGGTTTTAAAAACGCGTACATATCATCTGCAATTCAACACATTAAGACGTCCCTGAAAGACGATAAACACACTTGCAAAACAGCGAGGTACTAGCTTTTCTGACACACTTTTTCTTTTGACTTGTGCTGCTTAAGACAGTGCCGAGCTCTGGTACCGGATGGTTTTTCAGCAGGAATTGCCCCTCTTTGGCTCTGTCCTGTGAAAGAGGAGATAAAATGACCCGTGGTCCCTCTTACCAGTTGTCTCCACAGGAGGCAGCCTTGTTGAGCGACTGGGAGATGGCGATGCTGGTCAGACTGTCCTTGTGGTTGTGTGCTTGGAAGAGCTCCTGACCGATTTCGCGGATGTGTGTGGAAATCACCACAAAGTACCCTTGGGAGAAGCCAATCATAATGTATCCATCCCCATACCTTTGGAAGCGGAGCAAAGAGTTAGACACATTTCAAAACATATTTGCTTTAAAAATAACTAGAAATGGTATTAAAGGTTCCTATATTCTTGTCTTCATTTGCATGCAGTTTTCCTAGAGCTATTATAATATCTATATCCCAACAGTTTTTCTCACTCCTCCTTGACATTTTATTTATAAAGAAATCTTTCAATATTTTGCTAAAAAATGCAGGCCTCTCACTACCCAACATCAGCATCCTTTGCATTTTTTCCAGCTGCAGGCTTGAGTAATAATAGCGTTTAATATTGTTTGGCCTTGTTATCTGACTAAGCAAATTTCAAAAATTAAAATAAGATAACTCTTAACATCTCTAGGACCTGGAGCTGGCTTATACAAGTGACTCATCAAATACGAAATGGATCAGACTGCTGCTTGATGGCAATCTGATCTATAGCTCTGCAGGTCTGACTTTTATGTTACAGATACACCTGTCCCTGAGACATAATTAAAATAAGAAAAGATGAAAACAGTAAAGGCATTACCACCGGTATGCAATTATGGTACCATAGCGCTGCTGGAAGGCCAGTTCAATGGGGTTATCAGGGTCGTTGAGGTTAAAAAGAAATAAGGTTTTCCTCCCCACCACCACACTGGCCTAGAGAGAGAATATGCCAATTTAGAACAACAGGCAAGAGGACTGGATAAGAAGTCATGTATACAATAACAGTTACAGGCTAACCATGCTTCCCATAAAACTCGGATTACTAGATTTTGGAAGGTCATAATCTGTGGATAATAAAAATGTTATGTTTCATATTATATCACACAAGCCGAAGAGGATGGAAGGAAGTGATTGAAGTTTTTGTGTTTTTCTTTTAAGTTCCTATTTTTCTGTTGAACCAAGTGTGTCAAACTCAGTGCCCGAAGGGCAATTAGATCGTTGTGTTCCAATTTAACCTCTCAATTAACTGATCTCAAAATTGGCACAGATAGCCATATTTTTTGTTTTCAAGCTCATTATAGTTGATGATGTAAAAGAACGCTTTACTGAAGCCAACAAAGCAATGATTTCTTTCATATCTGGATAGAAAAGTTAGAAATGTTCCAGTCAATCAAACATTCTGCCAGAGACAGTGCAGAGTGGAACAGAAGCCAGAAGATCATGATGATCTCCCAGGAGTCTGAGATTGATAGCCGTGTGCTGGAACATCATTCAACAACTAATCAGTTCCTTCCCACCTGAGCGCAGACAGAATCTCACAAATCTTTTCCAAGTGCCTGCCTGCTCAATTGGTATTAGCATGGCTGAAAGTTTGAGCTGTCCCATTTTTTGTTTCCTAAATTTCAAAAATCCCAATGATCAAGTTACATTCAGCTATGTGCTGTGAACAAAAATACTGGGCGGGGACAGTCGAGGTCAGGAGTCTGCAGTTCGAGTGAACTGAACATAATTTAATACGCCGATTCACAAAATAGACACTGTCTGCCAACAGCTCTGATGAATAACTAACACACACAACTACACAAATGCATAAAGGGCACTGTTCAACATGTAATGAATAAAGGATGTTGTAATGCACCATTGTCTTTCTGTCTCAATATGTACCGAGCACTAAACAAAACTCATCACAATCATCGGCTCTCTTTTAACCAGAATTTTTTTTTTTAAATCCACCTTAAGGACTTTCAAGGCCAGCCCAAGAGAACAAATACAGACAGATAATGAACTTCTCCAGCAGTTAAGCCAATGAGATGTGCCACTATGAACTTCACACTTCCAGGGAGAGGCGAGTCTAGGAGACATCAGAGGTTTGCTGAATAACTGCCTGGAAGCTGCCTGTGGCTTGTGTTGAGAGAGGGTGAAACTCACAGTGCTCTCGCCCATGCTGGCTCGCTCATCTGTCTTCATCACAGAGAACTGAATATCAGCAGGCTCTGCACGGACTGTTGTCTGGAAATGGGAAAGCCAGGACATAGGGCTGAAGAACAGGCGATCATTGCCACATTCTTCACTGCATATTCGTACTATTAAAATGACTGCTTAGAGACAAAACGTCGATATATATTTCTTAGATTTCTTGGCCTTAGAGAAACATGCACTTCATGCTATTCATTGTAAAGACATACAGAAACTGCAAGGAACATAGCAACAACAGTTCCCAAAAAAGCACTCACTATAAAATGTATGTTCAAGGATATTTCTTTAATTCATACTATCAGTCTGTTGGTCCTTGTAACTGACTGAAAACCTTATGACAAATTACTAAAGTGTTTCCATAGCAATGGCCTTGAGAGTGAATCTACAGGGGTAATATAAGACCAGATTTGACAACCTGATTTTGCATAATCGTACTGTTATGTGTTAAGGGTATGAAAACCTTTAAAGTTCACATTTTACAGCACCCCATTCTTTAAGGTAAGATAATGACAATGTTTGAGCATTTGCCTGGCTGTCCTTATCTCATCTTGTTGCTTGACCAAGGGGCTGAGCTGTTTTCCTCATTATTAACAGTGATCACAAGATCACTCTTAGTGAGGTCGTTAAATTACTATAAGAAGACAGTATAAAAATCAATATGGAAATCAGACAGAAAGAATATAAACAAGGAACAGAGCAGAGATAGGAAGACAAACTACAGAGAAGAGATTAAAAGAGAGAAGAAGATTAAACATTTTGAGAAGGTACTGTACCTCTTCTATAAACCAGACTACAAATCTTTTAGGTATATTGAGCATTGAAGAGACCGGCTCCAGGATTTACACCAGGGACAGGTGACTTATATTACTGGAAATACTGATTTTCCATTTGTGGTATTGAAAAGACTGGAGAAACTTGAGTGATACATTATTTGGAATAGAGAAAAAAGTTCCCATTAATTTAGTATGTTTTATAGAGTACTGTAACCCTGAATATATCTGTTTTATTTTGGAAAAAATGTTCCCTCTTTACCCTATAAGATAGTTGTACCTTAGCTGCAGGGTAGATTTCTGCTTCCCTATGTCAGTAAAAGACAGGACCCTGGTGCTCACAGCTTTTTTAAATGTCTGGATAAAATAGTTGTAGATGTTTTGCGTTGGTGTCTGTAATTTATTTCAGATTTTTTTGTCTTCTTACGTTGGTATACATACTAGCTGTGCCCTCACTGGCACTTCATTCTGAGAACTTGCCACTTGTCTCCCTGAAGACGAAGTGATCACCTGTCTTATAGTGTCTCCTTCGTGGTTGCTCACAGTTACTGTCTTGTCTTCACTCCCCAAAGCCAGCAGATTCTGAGAACTCCAGCAGCCACAGGTAATCCTCTTTGTGTGCTTTCCTAAACAAAAACGGCAAGGGTTGACATTTTTTAGCTCCACATTCATTGAGCCAGGAACATCACTATGAACAGATGAAGAATCACATCATCTTCAGCAGGAATTTAATCCTGAATTTTCAGTGAACAACACAGTAATATACAGAAATATTAGTCGTGCTCAACATGCACTGGGGAAGAAAGAAGGGTGGTTTAGCACTGCCTCTAATAATAGTAATTACATTAATTTTATTCTTACTACTTATGAAAAAGACTTAGATTATGTTTATGTAAACACATCATCGACATCTTGTAGACAATGTTGGGAGTCAATTAAGATGCAAACTGTTGTGATATAAAGTCAAATGTTGATTAAAATAAAGAGATGTCATATCAAAATTATGTAATGCAATAGAAAGACCTTATTTAGCAAACTGCATACTAATACCCTGAATGGTAAGAAAGTAAAGATTTAGGATTAAATGGTAAAAAAACAGAAAAGCATAAATTCAAATAAATTAAGAAAAATATTTTAACTAGTCAAACACAACAGTACCGTTAGACACAAATGCAATGCCCAATGATAAACGCAGTTACCGAGGATTGGAATCTTGCGGGAGGTCTGCTGGTTGTAAATGAGAAGGTTCCCCTTGGCAGTCCCCACAGCCAGTAAGCATCCTGCTTTTGACCACTGCAAGAAGGACATCTGGTCCCTGTGGGCAAGAGGGATCACAGGTAGTTAACACAGAAGAGACAGGCGTCTGAAGCACCATCTACCACAGAAGCAATGAGATGCATTTTAATGAAGACTGTTGATCAAATAAAACCTAGATATTTTTAGTCTTTACGCCCCCAAACAAGACAAGAACTGTCTTCATTAAATATATTCACATGCTTCATTGGGAAAGAGTGACAGGTTACCTTTTCTGCTAAAAGAACCAGCAGTCTTCTATGCTTGTTGGAGTCTCTTCTTTTCAAAGACTGAGTTCTATTGACCTTATACTTACACACTGTAACAACACCCCATGTAATGCAAATTTTATACATAAAAAAGAAAGGAGTCTTAATCTGATTCTGTTTCCACATAACCTAGTCCCACAAAGTCCAAGCCTTCCTGAACTACAAGCCTTAACATCACCTGTGGCACTGTAGATGGCCACAATATCTATTTCATATACTTAATCTAAACTTAGCTAAATAAGTGTCACTGGTTCCCATGAAAAAGAGAAAGAGTTATGTTTCTACATCTCTGTCAGTCTACAGTTCGTTGTGCACAGGCAAAGATTTCACAAAATACCATTTACATTTGAGCCCATTTGCTGGTAAGAATATGACTTCCTGGAAAAATGAGTGGAGAATGAAGAAATGATTAATTATTAGTGAAATATTCTCCTGGTGTGCCTACTGATGGCGATTCTGATATACCTCTTTGTGGTAGGATATCAAAGCTTTTGGTTTAACAAGGTTTAGAAATTGAGTTATAATCTGTTAAAATCTAGACACCGTTGCGCCCCCATCAAATAGTTTAAAATCATAACCTCTTTGAACTGAAATATGATGGATAAGAAGAAAATGAATCCAAAAATAGTCTCCCATTCCTTAAGACTTGTATTCAAATCAGATTTGGTCTTACTGGGTTAGTCAAACAAAAAAAACTATAATTGATATTCAAGACAGTCTGACCACATCACATTTATTCTCTATACTTAGCAAAGTCAAGCTGAAAAACAGCTCCTATGGGAAACAAAAATCCAGTTAATCGATGATCCAAAAGACTGGCGCTGCAAGCAGGGCTCTCAGATCCTCACTACCCACCTCATGCCACTGTCCAGCTGGCTGATCTTGTTGGTGTTGGCGTCCCATAGATAGACAGAGCTGGACTTATCTGCAATCACTGCCAGGATGTCTCCATCTTTATCCCAGTCCATTCCCACACACTTACTAAACAGTGACAAAGTCAGTGTTAACACAAAAACGCCTCACTGTGTGCGTGGTGCCCTGCTTTTGTTTTAACAACAGATACTGGTTTAAAGGTTTGACAAAACCACAGGGAAGGAAAAAGAAATCAGATATAACTGCGTATCTAGAGTGACCTAGCCAGCAGTAAATAGTACCTGGATGCACAAATTCTGGGCACTCAACAGAATAGGGATTGAGAGGTCCAGGGAAGAAGCTAGCAGTGCTATGTATGGAGGGTGTTCTGGGAGTACTCTACAAAGCACTTTGGCCAGGAGCCCTTTATCCAAGGCTGCTAGCAAGAAGGATTTCCATTTGCAAATGTGTTCACTTCCAACTCTATGTTAACAGCATAATAATGGTTGACCTGAAGATCAGAATACTCAAATAGACAGCAGTGTTTTTCTTTTAGATCAGTTAGATATAGGCTGCTTGGTGGTTTATCAATAGATTATTTCCCCACTGAATATGTGAATGTCTAACCCATGGTGTCATACTAAAGGGGTGTCTGCATACAAAGTGTGTGTCTATCTGCAGGTGTGGCTATAGTAATTCAATTTTATTGATTCAATATTATATATTTTTCAAGAAACTCAAAGCTCTGGTCTCCCTTAGTCCAACTGTAATCTGAGATAAACATTGGATTGCAATGTGAAATGAACAATTAACAAATAAAAAGCAAAGATTAGAAAACAGCCTAACATTAGCTACACGTAGTCATATACTAACCCTGGAAGGTTGAGTTCATTCCTCTGCTCTCCATGACGATCGAAGATTTTTACGGTTTGGTCAGGTCTTCAGAAAAAGAAAGTCATTTTTAACACACGCTTTTCAGCACATTTTTAAAAACACACATTACCACGGCGTAGGAATAAAACATACTATTGTTAGTGGACTGAAAAAAAAGACAACGCGTCTTCTAACATGGAGAAAGAGCCAGGATGTTGTTCTTCTGTCAATGTTTGCGCACACAGTGTCTCACTGTCCTCTTGGCCCAACTCCTGTTGATCAGTGTGAAAAGTCAGGAGCTCTTCCACCTACCCAGCGACAGCGAGATAACTCCCCAGAGTCCTCTGCCACTTGTACTGCAGACAGCAGCCCTGCCAGGCCCTGTCGGAGAGGGTGAACACTCGCTGGGGGAGAAGACGAAGATGCTGTGTAACTACAATGATCATATTCCTCATTCTGGCAGCGAAAGAGAGGTTTCAGACTCAGTGGTTTGCATTTCTGTTATTTCTATTTATGCGTTAGATACGTTTTCAGTTTATCGTCGTTGCCTCTATACTTTTATACTCAAGACTTCACAACAGAGAAACATTTTTTTTTATTTTCACCATTCTTATCCCTTGCAACTGAGATTGATTACTAATCGTTATTATATGTTTACATCTTAAAACCAGCGTCGACGAAAACATCCATTTACGATATGAACTGTAAACACTCTGGGAAAATCTCATACAGTGCATGTTTTGGCGATAATTAGCGACTATTTCTGCAATCTATAAATTGCCTCTTTGATGACAGTATTCAATGATTATGTATTTTAATAAGTGTGTAAACTTAAAATGTATAAACAAAAATGAAAAGCAGGAAAGCGTTAATAAGATCGATGTCTAAAGTGAAAAGCACAGAATCATAATAAAGATTAATCTTTCAAAGAAAGAAATAAAATGAAATTGTTATTTTGCACGGCGATTTAAACTGCCGGTCTTTTCGACAGAATAGAAATATGTAACTTTGTTTAACACGTGCCTTTTTCATATGATCGCGATCGGAATTAGAAACTACAGTCATAAAATAATGTTTTGATACCTTCATAATTTATTTTTCGTCATCAGGAGAGAACTTCACCATTTCAGCTTTTGCTCGCCCCAGAATGCATCCCTCCACAGCGTCCGCGTCACCCATAGCGACCCGCTGCCGCAACCAATCAAATCACCTCGAAACCAACCGCAAAATCGCGGCTCTCAAGGCATTCTGGGACGTGAAGTCCAAGAGCCGCTTGTAGGCCTGGAGGCACTCCTCTTTCCTTTCCTCGAGGCTCATTGAACTGCTGCTATGCAAGCATCGCATTTCTCCGTTTCTCTGGCGCATTGTGCTATGTTCACAGCGAAGAAAACGTCCCGAATGTATTATTTGGTTTTGACGTTTAACAAGTGAAAAAAAAAATATTTCGTGGTATCACAAAAACATGCAGTAGTTCAGTCTGGTATAGGTTCATAAAGTTTATACTTTGCATTTGTATCCTTAGTTTTTGATTATGAAGGCAACATTCTGGACATACGATCAACTCTAGCGGCTCTGGTGAGATTGACTGGCCGGGCAGATTGAAGCAATCGACAGGCAGGTCACGTTGGCATGGTTTCCTCTCTGCCCAGAGGTAGCGATTTCTGCTGAACAGTTGCATGAAACTCACAATGTTCAGATCAGAGGAACGACATTCCATGCAATTACAGGATAGAGGACATACACACAAAACCGTTAATCCCACTTTCGCGGGTAGAATCTAACAAGTACAATTTTAAATCCCCATTTTGCATTTTAGCATCTCTCCGTGCAGTTAGTTGATTGTCCTTCCTTATCATATTCATGTACAAGAGAACTTCTGTCAGGTGATGGATTAAACAGTCTTGAATGATTTTATAACTGAATTGATTACTGAATCAAATGACAGTCGTTACATTTTGCCGGTTTGATCACATCCGACTAATTTAGCAAGTATCTGTGCCCTATCTGTGCTCAGCTAATTAACTAATGCTCGAATACACCGGAATATACAACCTGTGCCGCTGAAGTTAACCAAAAGTGATTAATCTGGGACTAAAGATGTATTTACACGGTCAAGATGAACCATGTACCAAGTAGCAGAGTCATCTGATGCCCTCTTCCTGATATCTTCGTTACTAGTAACAGCTGGATTTGTCAAAACCGCATTGATATTACATACTCAGAACAAACCTGGATTGAAGTTGTCGATTATTTATATTGTATATTTTGATTATTGATAGTACTATCAAAAAAGGCAAAGAATCTAACACTTAAATTATCCCCACCTTTCCCATCTATACTCTATATCTTGCCTTTACAATCTTGCTTTAAAGGGATAATAATAAATATCTTCACTTCAAAATAAAATATAATTTTGTGTACAATATATAGAGATACATATGCATTTATATGTAAGTATAAACGCATAAGGCAGAGAAATACCACATTTACATAAATATATAATTTAGACATTAGCATTTAAATAGCTACAGGGTTTTGGTTGCCGTGTAATTTATTTGCATTTTTTGTCTCGTTTGACTCACCTCGGTGCAGTACGGGAAAATACATTATCTCTTTAAACGTAAGATTTTTCACATCGTGAAACGTAATTTTCTATTGAAAAAAAAAAATCCCCTTTGCAGACAAGCACATTCGGCACACATGAAGAAATTAAAGAGCCCTGGGCTTTCTGGACGCAGTGGGGCTTCACAGCGGTGGCCTCAGTCTGAACGTATTTACTATTCTGTAGAGGAAACCACATTGGACTGCACTCTGTGCACTACCTGTCCCAGGAGGGTCCAGACAGCAGCGGGGGATGGGAGAAATTATATTATCTGACATGTCAAACATAAAGACCCCCAGGCAGTTTTTCGCAGTACGAGAAACGTTACACAAAATCCTAATGAGAGAAAATTTCCAAGTGACCCTTGAAGTTCCTGCCTACATGAGGGATCGCTAACCCCCCCAGCCATCACGTCAGTCACCGTGTGGGGCCGAAGGTCCCGGCAGTAACAACCCAGACAAATTCACAGAAGATTCCAGAAGGTTTCTGAACAGTCAGGCTGAGCATCTGAAATAACTGCCGCACAAAACCAAGAAAAAAAGAACAATGACATGGTCTCCTAAAATGAGACTCTTATAAGGTTCATAGATAATAATTTGAGGTCATATACTGTACCTGTGGCAAGTTCAAGTTCACCTTGATACACCTGAGAGCAGGGTGCTATAACACAGATGTTTTACTGGCAGGTCTGGGGGAAGTAGACACACAACAATAACTGCAAGGGAAAAAAATACCATGAGGTATTCGAAAGCAAGAGCCTTAATCCTAGGGAATAAATCATCCGAAGGGAGGAGAGCTTACTCTTTGATCACTAATAACTAATAATGTCAGTGCAAGCCTGCCCTTCAAATGTGTTGCTTAACTGCTGGTATTCCATGAAAAAACAAAGGCTAGGAAACAAACATTTTCTGGACTTCATCAATTATCCTTACAATGCCATCCGTTGATCTGTAAATAATGTTAAACCCTGTCACACACCATCAGATGAAGAATGGTGATGTCCTCAGATGTCCTACTGAGAGAAGGAAACAAACAACTCACGGGATTTCCTTTGACAGCCGTTAAACCAACTGATTGAAGTCTGTGCCGTTCAGCAAATAAAACCATAGCTGATCCAGATAAAACAGTTTGTCATCTGCCAGAGAGAGTGAGGACCTGAGCTTCCCCAGGTGTGTCTGGACTGTTCCAGGTGCATAGTGGCAGTTAACCCATGAATTAACTGCACGCTGCACAAACAGTGCATCTGTACACCGTACAGTACAACAGTGCTTCAATCCATGTTACATTTTTAACAGCCTCCCCAAATTAAGTTTCTTCATCATTAAATTTAGACTTCATGTTGCCAACAAGCTGCTGCTTCATGGCTCATCCTGTCCAAATGTTTCCCTATTCATTTTCAAAACCGGGTGATTGCCTGAATCCTTTAGTAACTGACATTTCAAGAAGAGGTTCCTGGGTTTCCGTGGCCAAGGTGATTCTCTTTTCTGGTGTACACTGAATTTTAAACAATGTCTTCTCTTATTACAGGTGATGGCAGAGAAAAGATCTATACTGTAGATCCTGTAGGTTCTGCTTGTCCAAAACCGCTGTGCGTGTCCAGCATAAAGAAGGAAGGATTTATTAAGGTCAATAAAGGAGAAGCTTAAAATTTTCTGTTTCATGAACAGAAATAGCAAAAGCCACAGTCAATCAAATATAACCAACATGTCCAGCATCTAACCAACATAAAGCCAGCAGCTATAGCACCCTGCAACTCACAACTGGCAGCCCACTGAAGCTCAGCAGGTGTGGGCCTGGTCAGTACCTGGATGGGAGACCTCCTGGGGAAAACTAAGGATGCTGCTGGAAGAGGTGTCAGTGGGACCAGTGGTGGGCGCTCACCCTGCAGTCTGTGTGGGTCTTAATGCCCCAGTATAGTGACGGGGATGCTATACTATAAAAAGGCGCTGTCCTTCAGTTGAGATGTAAGACCGATCCTGACTCTCTGTGGTCATTAAAAACCCCAGGGTGTTCCTCAAAAAAAGTAGAGCTGTTACCCTGTAGTTGTCCTGGCCAAATCTTTCCTTGGCCTTTATTAATTATGGCCAACTAATAATCCCCATCTATTAACAGGCTTCCTCTTCCTTCTAGTCTCCTCCTCACTGGTAATGTGTGGTGAGCGTTCTGGTGCACTGTGGCTGCCGTCACATCATCCAGGTGGGGCTGCACATTGGTGGTGGAGGAGGGGAGTCCCCATTACCGGTAAAGCACTTTAAGTCCTCTTTGACACTTTGTGTCCAGAAAAGCGCTATATAAGTGTAAGGAATTATTATGATGTCTTAATCCTTAAAACAAGGATTTTAAATCTCAGGATTATGATCTAGATCTGTGGGCTGAAGCCCTGGTCCAGGAGAATTTCAGGATCATCTTGTTTTCTTTCCAATTTCAAGATTCATACTACTGAATGGAACCACTCGGGTACTTAATTAGCCAAGATTAACATGATCTCTAGCCAGTGATACTGTAGATTAAGTTTTCAAAACCTGAAGGACTCTCCTGGACCATGACGGGCACCGATATATCCTCATACAGTTACACATGGCTCACATGAAGGAAAGAGACCAAGCCAATCTGTTAAAATAACAGAAACACAGTTAATAAAAATGCACTGGACACACCAGTTTCTTCTTCCAATATTTTAATATAAAAAAGTGCACAGAAAAGCAGATTGAATGGAGAATAAACAAGGCATGCAGTAAACTATTTTAAAAAAATCAAAGTTGCTAAATAATAAAGTCATATATTTAAATAAATATTTTTCCCTTTCGAAAAACAAATATATAAAACATTTCACTTAAATACCACACACAGGGTGAGAACATCACACAGGAGGGCCTGGGACCAGAATGGGGGAGCTGGAAGCTCATGCTTGTCTGTCTGTCGGAACTCTGGGGTGACAAAGACAGTGCCCTGTGATTTGTAATATCCTACTCTCCATTAAGGCAACAGAAGGTCAAAACACGGGTTCAAAGCAGTTTGTCACCCCCAACAGATGGACACAAAGGATTCTAGAACAGACATGCACACTTCCAGCAGGAATGCAGTTCACAGGTTTGAATGAAGGAATGTAGGAATCCTGTTTACTTATATCGCAGTCTGGGTGGAGCAATGTTTACAGTGGGGGCTCGTTCATGCCAAGGGCAACAGGGAACTGAAATCTGTCCCCCTCGTCCGCCATTGTCGTTTCAGGTTGTTGAGCAGAAGAAATTTCCTTCAGAAATGTACTATTCTTTTGAATGAGAACCCAGGAGTTTCACCCCTTCCTTCCACTGAAACACAGAACACCACAGCTCTACTGTACATCAACAGTAAAGAAAAGCCCCCCAAAAATGGCATCTGCATTTGAAGGAACGGAAAAAAAGGAAAGTATTAAGACTTCCTAAAGATAAGTAAAATCTGCAGTATCTGCTTTTTAAAGGCAGTTTAGGTTGCTGCTAATATCCTGTCCCAAGAAACTGTTCTTAACAGATCATGTTCAAAAACTACTGCTGCTGCATCTTCCAGGCATTGAACTGGAACTACTGTACTGTACAACTTTGACCTGTGGAACTTATCCAGTCAAAGCCTCAGTCCAGCCATGCAGAATGGATCCAATGCAAGTCTACCAACTGTGCACCCACAATGTGGACTATCATATAATATATCTTCCATTCAATATAGATAATATTGGTTTATATTACATGAATATTCAGAGGAATACTTTCTTAATTTGACCATTAACACACCCCCATCGTGTAACAATGAAAATACAATTGAAATGAGAAGAAAAATGTAGGCACATACAGTATAGTATAAAAGCAAATCAAGCTTTAAACATCTCCAAATAATTAAAAACATAAAATATTGCCCTATTTGTCCAAGCAATCTATAAACTGTATTACAGACACTTCATTTTATACCAAGTGGGGACAGACTTTATAAGACCACTATCAAAGTTCCAGCTCTGGCCAGCACTCATCACATGCTCAGGATGTTACCCTATAAACAACCTTCTCTCTGTTCTGTTGGAATGTTTCTATTGTTTGGCTAAAAAAAAAATCAGAAAATATTATATAGATTATAATAATTATATAATACAGTACAATACATATATAATATCACATAGATTTTTCTGGAATTTTGAGAAGGAGAACATGAGAATGGGAACATTGAATAATTTTGATTAAAATATCAGAGAATGCAACAGGGTGTTTATTCAACCAAGACCTTTTCCAACCACCTGTTCTTCCACCACCTCCCCCCTCCCGCCCCAGAGTTTGAAATGAAGGCTTTCCCTCCTAAAACTCAGGAGGTATCAGGTGGAGGAATCCACAAGGCTTCATTTTCACACGTGGACTTACGGATCTCTGCTCTGAATTTCTTTGTAGAGACTCCAGATCCCTTCTCTGAAGTGGAAATGTGTTTTTAAAGTCAAAGGGCTGCACTGAGATGGAGCTACAGTCTGCGTTACGCCATTCGCTTCAAAAGTGCATGCAACAAAATCCCACTTAACTGATCAGTGGTGCTGTGAATACTAAGAAGAGAAAAAATACATTCATGAATTTGAAATGATGTACTGCTGAATGTCCTCAAAGTTAGAGTCTCCCTGTCTCAATGTGGGTCACTATTATTTTTTACTGTATGTGACGATTGTTCTCTTATCTAAAACTACAATTTTGTGTCTTGCTCAAATACGGAGTGAAAGTCATAAGACAATACGATAAAGAACTAAACTGCCACTTTAGTCACTCAGATAATCTGAGCAGTCCACTTTTTTTGATCCCGTAATACCAGGAGTTTAATTTAGCATTTTATTATGTGCAAAAACAGGCAATAAGCTTGGAATGGCAGGAAAGGCCTTTGAAAATAGCCCAGATGTTTGCCTACTTTGATGGCTACTTTTAAAAAGATATTTAAAAAATGGAATGTCTAGTAAGGAGACTTAAAGAACAGAAACAAACAGTGATGTCTAATTACCCTGTATGTCTTCAGAAATAGCAATGGATGTCTATCACCAAACAACACACACCCTGTGCTCTTCCTCCACTGCTGCCTGAGCAGTGTGCAGGACAGCCTGTCTCAGGCCTGTACTGTCATTGGTGAAAGAACACTGATGCTCAGTGAGATGCATCCATTACAGCACCAGGGGAAAATGGGAGTATGTGCAGTTCAATCACTGTGCTATTAAATTCAGCTCCGGTAAAATCCCAATTTCTCACTATGTCCCCAAAAATGCAATTTGTAACCTGTCAGGAGGAAGAGAAATGATACATGGTTCTTTTTTCATTTTCTAAAGTGAGAATGTCTTTTGTCTGGATCAGTAACAGAGGGAACATCCCCTCCCCCCACCAGCCTCCGATGCGTTTCAGGAGCAGAAGTATCTTCTAGCACAGTGAGGTCTGTGACAATGGCATAACACGCCTCAGACTCCAACCTTTCTCCATATACTGTTCCCTGTGGTACAATCAACCCTATCCAAAATCAAACTGGGAATCAGCACATTAAACTGGACAAGGGCCAAACTGTAATTTAGAAAGACTGTGAGTTTCAGCCCAGCTGATTAAAAAACTCCACAGAGGCTACATGCTGTACATCATGCTGGGCTGTTATCTAATGATTGACACAGCGCAGTTAAATGAGCAAAGTTTCCAATACACAGCAGAATGGAAATAGATATTAAATTCTTCCTTGGTAGAATCCCTTTTAAGTAGTTCTTTGGGACAGAAGAAAAAAAAAATGCCGCGGATTTTGACAAAGAGAATAAGAACTGTAATGATGTCTGGGGAGAAGGAGACGCTGGGTTATAACTTCACTGCCACAACACAGGCTCCTGCCCTCCCAAGGCACAACGGTGCAACCTGCAAAAGATCACAAGGAATAACCCAGTGAACCAGCTGCCCACACCATCCGGCACACACCTCATGAAAAAGTTTCAGTTCCTGCATGTTAAAAATGTCATTTTCCATGTGTGTGATTAACATGTTCTCTGACAGTTTTGTTGAATGTGTTTTAGAAAAGGGAGATTTCTGGGCAGCACATATGCTCTGCTATTTACTTGGCTACCAAGTATGAAGAGTCCTGTGTTTTTAATGTTCTGTACTATCCGTTGCATGCTATAGTGCTTTGTTGTACTTTCATTATTTATTCTTATTTGTTCAAAAAGAACGGCACAAATATGAATCTCAATTTAAAATATGGCAAATGAACTCCTTTCTCTCTTTGCTCTGGTCTGCATAGAAAGAGAGAGAGAGACAGCATACAACTCCAGGAGAGGCCATGAATGACACAAAGTGATCTGGAGGAGACGTGTTGCTAGGCATTTTACTCAGGACTGACACTGTTATTTTCTTTAAACTAGAACAGCAATTAAAAAAATATACAGTATATGACACAAAATAACACAACATATGACACATACATTGTTTTGTTATTTTTAAATTGAATTCAAGGCATTGACATCTGAACTTTTTTTTTTCTATTAGGCAGTCAACTGATATTTAAACTTTTCACTCAAAAGCACAGCCTGTCTGTATGTGTCACCGTGTTGAGTATGACATTCCTTCTGAATTGCCACCTTTCAGTTTGGTGGCCTTGACTTGTCTTTTTTTCTGTACAATAATCCTGAATGTAGTAATTCAATATTCAATACTACAGAGTTTACAGGACATTTCCCATTTACCACCCTACCAGCTTTCGACATTGTGACTTTATTAAAAATGCTTCAATCTTGCACAGTTTATAGCAATATCTATAAAATGTTCTCATGCTGTCCTCTACATTGTTACAATGAAAAGACATTAAACGAGTTTTGTAAAAGAAATATAAACTATTCCAACATACAAATGTGGGAAGACTGCCTATGTCTATGGTGGGTTTGTGGCAATTAACATTTTAATATGTAATTAAATTTACACACACATATTCCATTGTTCAAATATGAAAGTCTCTTCTTGAGCAGGGATTGTCAGCCAGAATACATTACACCCCTCCAGGCAGAAAACCTTTTACTCTAACTCTTTATGAAAACTGAAACTTCTAAATAGGACACCTTTTTTTTTTAATGAACATTGACCGATATGAGCCAACCACTCAGATAAACACAAGCACACAGCTAAACACACAGATAAACTCAACCACTAAATGCAGCTGCTAAGAGAATAGATTGAGCTCTGTGGCCTAGTAACTGGTTACCAGTGAGAGGAACTAGGATTCCCCAAACTGGCAGAATGGAGCCATGAAGAGAGTTGCAATTCGTCGACAACAGAGACTCCTGCTACTTAGGGGGTGTCTGTCGGCTCGGGGAGATTTCAGTGAGAGATGCTCTGCTTCTTCGGTCAAGGCTAATTCTCCTGACATGCTGTGTAGAACTTTCAACCTGTCACATTTCTGAAGGGCTCTGCAGGTGGTAATGTCAGAGAAGCCTGTCCACGTGTCTCATTCTTTAGTGAACAGGAACAGGGGCCGTAACTAGACAACTGAATCTTAAAAATATAGAAATTCCTCACCGAGAGGGAAAAAAAGAATGTCGCTAAGCAGACTAAAATAAATAAAAGACTTTCAGTATTACCACAGCAAAATATATTCATGTTCGGAAAGAAAAACGGGGAAACATTTAGGTGATGAAAGGGAAACATGATATATTAAATAAATATTTTAGTTCACTTAGTCGTTTATCACAAAATAGTAACACAAAATGTGCCACTGGCTGAGCAAAAACAAAATTCTAAATTAAATAGCTTTAGTATAGAAGTGGTAGAAGTGGGGTTTTTTGTATTAGAAGTACTTAAACATCTCTCCAGGACCTGATGGCATTTTACCTTGTGTATGTACTGTAAAGAAACGAAAAGGTTAACCAAAGATTGATAGATCACCATATCTTTATTATATCATAGGTAAGGTTATGGGAATGAGAATAATAACCAAACTACTACTACTCCCCACCTCGCAATCTTCGCTCCTCTAATTCTGGTCTCCTATCTGTCCCCCAAGCCCATCTACATTCTATGGGTGACAGGGCCTTGTCCTGTTAAGCCCCAAAGCTCTGGAACTCTCTCCCCAAGGATATCAGAGAGTCACCTTCTCTAAACTCCTTCAAATCCAGACTCAAAACCTTCTTTAGAAGAGCCCTTACTTAACTGGTTCCATTCTTCGCCCCTCTGCTTTTCTTAGTAGCACCATCCACGGTCTGCTCTGTATATTGTAATTGTGTTTTATCTTGTGTATTCTTTTAATTTATTGTTGTTGTCATTCTGTAAAGCGCTTTGAGAAGCCACTTTTAAAGGCGCTATATAAAATAAAGTTTTTTATTATTATTATTGTAACTATTGGATCAATCTTTAGAATTCTTCCATGGAACATTCATTACGGTTTATAAACATATATATATATATTCCTGCTTAACTAATTAGAAATTTTGAATCCACAGTATTAAGGGCTTAAAAAGAGACATTTGATAAATTTCGATTTTCATAAAGCTTTTTATAGTTTTTTTCATTAAAGATTAATTCGCAGACGGCAGGCATTCAAAGTGATGTATCACTTTGGGTTGACAGCTGGTTAACAGACTAGATAAATAATAGATCTTATTTAATGGCTAATAGATAATATTTAATGTAAACAGGGCAATTATAGTATATTTAGTTAAACGTACAGAATTTAAATCAAGTGATTTTAAAATTTTACAATGGACCAGCAGGACCTCACCGAGAAAACAGTGCACAATTTTGATCACCCTGATACAAACAGCTATAGCTGCTCTGGAATCAGGATAGAGAAATCAGAAACCAGGTGACCAGACTCAACTGGGCTTAAGGGAATGTTGTCCACTGACAGGCTGAACGGACTGAGCCCTTCTCATCTTGAACAGAGACGACTGCAAGCAGCCCTGAATGAAGTATCTGAAATCCTCAAAAGTCACTGACTAAGCCAGTTCAGTGGACTATTTCAGAATGGACTGGGAAACACGAACCGAAGAATAAACTAGAAATTCACGACACATACTGTATTATTAAAAAGGAGAACAGGTGGAGCTTTTCACATAAAAAGCTGTGAGGTCTGGAACAAGCTACTCAGCCGGCGAAGGGGATGCCCTCTACTTCTTTCAAGAAGCAGCTGGCCGAGGTCCAGGGGTCAACTGAATGAGTTATCTGGGCTGAGTGGCCTTTCTCTAGCTTGTAACCTTTCTTACATTTTAATGATGAGCCTGGCCTCAACAAAGGAATTCCGCATTGTGGGTTCCATTAAGAGATATCACCACACTGCCACACTGCTCAAGGATCCAGTTCCTCAGCTAATTCATTGCTGACAAAATCGAATCCGGGCAAAATGTGATGAGGGTGATGAGGATGAAGGGGGGCAGTAAAGCCGGGTCTGACCTGTGTCCACTCATTGGTCTGGGGGTCGTAGGCTTCAACGGCATTCAAATAGACCTGTCCATCGTACCCCCCAACGGCGTACAGGCGATCCCCCATCAGGCACACCCCTACAGCGTCTCTGCTGATGCTCATCGGGGCCACCGCTGTCCACGTGTCTGTCTTAGGGTCATACCTGTCGATGCCCAAACAGCCGGTCATTAGGCAAACAGCTCAGAGGGGCTCTGCCTCCATCTGGGTACTCTGACCGAGCAGGCCGGCACGTTACCTCTCCACACAGTCTGACAGCCGCGACGTCAGGCTGGAGGCTGGGGCATCGTGGCCCCCGATGGCGTAGAGGAATCCATTCCAGGTGGCAACGCCTACCCCTCCTCTCCTCTTGGCCATCTGCGCGCAGTGGACCCATTTGTTGGTGTGGGGGTCAAAACACTCCACCGACTTCAGGCAGGAGCTGCCATCCCGACCCCCGACTGCATAAAGCCTAAAAATAACGAAAAAGAAAGAGCAAGCTTTAAGGAACGATTGCTTTAAGAATCTTTAAGATTTCCTTGTTTGCCCACAGTGCTCAGGCTGGCTCTGTCCCAGGGTGAGCATCGACTGTAACACTTTAATTGAGAGCGACGTGATGCAATTCCTAACAAATTCCACTGCACACAGGCGCGGTGATGTATCTTCTGCTGGTGGGAAGTCAGTCACGCCATTACATATTCTAGCCAGTTGTTCATTAAATTAAATTGGTGTGGAGAATTAAATTTTAGTCTAGGGATTAATTTCCATCTTCAGACAAAGAAAAAAAAACCAAATTGAATTCACCAAGGAGCGTTCTCAATCTGTGATATGGAGACAAATGTACGATGTTTGAGATGAAACAAAGTAAGATTTCCCCTTTTTCCTTTTCTGACAGAACAGATTCTGCTTTCCGCATCATTAAGGGCAACAATTGGATTTTAGAGGTGTTATTACCATTTCAACAATTTAAGACCTGAAAATAAGATTACGCCGGTTCAAACGATGTAAGAACTTGATCAATTAGGTAATGAAGAGCACAGGCAGCAGAGAAAACCACAGAGAAACCTTTGTGAGCACTGGGGTTAGAAGTGCTCATTTAAATTAGTCCAGTGTCACTGATAACCAGGAGCTCTGAAACCAGCCGTGGGTGTGAAATACATACAGTAGTGCTCTCTTTAACCTGGTATAATTTTTGGATTAACTGGAAAAAATTGCCAAAGCTTGTTTAATGACTACAGCACTTTGACGTACAGTTATCAAAATCATACGGTTTTAAAAGTCCTTAAAATTATTAAATACAATCAGCATTTAATAATATGTCAGTATCGAGATAACCGATGTGAATAGTTTTAGGATGAAAAGCAGTTCTGAAACCAAATAATTTTGGGCTTTCATCTACTTGTGGCTGTGCAGATGCCTCTTCCATCTTAAACTGGAACTGAAGCTCAGGCCTGAGAAAGATCCTGATTGGCTCCTGATCTCCGACCATGTTTAACTTTTCATGGCCACTGTTGTGTATCGCAGCCTCCGTTGCATTTCAGCAACCTTCATTCTTTTCAGTGTAAGACACCTGAATGCAAAGGATGAAATGATCAGCATCAAGATGCTCAAGAATGTAGGTTGGAGCCCAGAGGAGACCACTCAATACATGATGCCTGCTTGGTTGCTTGTAGTTTAAAATCTTTATGAATCAGAAAACCACTCTCTTAGCCCAGGAGACAACAAACAGTTTGGTCTTGATCAGGATGCAGAGGTGACCCAATATCTATGAAATCTGATATAAGATCAGGCGTAAGCTGACAGATGAAAGAGGCGAACTGCAGGACCAGTGTAACTTACTTTCCACTGAGCACGGCGACCCCCACTGTGCTCCTGGGGGTGGACATGCTGGCCACAAAGCTCCACTGCCGCGCCTGGGGGTCCCACCGTTCCACCGTGTTCAGATAACTCCAGCCATCGTGGCCCCCCACAGCATACATGGGGCCCTCCAGCACCGCCACACCTACACGCGAACATCAAGCATTGAGAGTCAGCCCCTGGGGGCCCCTCTTTCATAAAACTATGAAACCAAACTTCTTTCTGAGCACATATGTATATGAAGGCTGGAAACCCCTTTCAGGGTGTCAGTTCTGTGGGGCAGATCCAGTATGTGTTGCTGTTCTTATTGAGCTCAATAAATCTGAATCTGCACAAGACTGTGACCTGCTCCTCTGATGAAGAATATCCCACAACAGTGAGTATTGCATTTAGAGGGTCACTCAGCGCTGTATGGGAGAACTGTCCTGCTCTTCACCACAAGCTTGCTGCAGGATTAGAGCAGTAGTTGGACATTTTGATGTAGTTTGACACTTACTCCTTGTTGACAGGAGGCACATATTTAACTACATAATGAAGAACATTCCCCAAGACCAGCTGCAGTAAAGAATATATCGAAAGAATATCAGTCTCCAGAATATGGACACTCAAATACCTATTGGCATTCTTTGAATACTTTCCCATGTGCCGATACGGTATTTGTCAGTACTGTTTCAACTATGACCATTATAGTTAGAACAGGTATATAAAGGAGGTCAAAGCAAACAGCCAAGAGCTACAGTTTGCTGTTGGTAGTTTTGAGATGAATAAAATGGCAAATCAAGGAGCATCGCTGTAATGGCAGATGCTGTAATCTCTGTTTATGGGGTCTGTTATCATGAATATACAAAGCATGGTGAGTTTTGTTTTACTTCCGTAAGCCCATTGTCCAATACTGTGGTATCAGCTGTAACCAAACCCTTTTAAAAGTACTGTTGCACGCAAACCCTAACTACATATCACGCAGCATTTCAACGGCGGTGCCTGGGGCCAGATTGAGCAGAACATTTCTGAGCCCGGTTCTCGAGATTAGCTATGTAGATGGCGTCGGAAATACTCCAGGGTGGAGCTCTGCGTATTGAGAGAGGACAGGACAGGACAGGACTTCTATCTATCAGGCATCTGATTCATCCACGGTGCGACAGGGAGCGCTACAGGAGGTCATTCTTGCCTTCTGCCATAAGACTGTACAACGCATCCACCTTGCGTCTGGGCAGAGGCAACATTGACAGGATACCTGTTTCTGGACTAAACGCATCTACACATCTACTGCTACATCTGTTCTCTTTCTTTTTCTTTTTCTTTTTCCCGTTTACAACCATTTTTTGTGCAATATATGCCAGGGACCTGTGAAATACATTTATATTTATATCTATAGTTACATCTATATTTATATTCATATGTGTGATACGATTTTCTGTGTACTGTTCTGTTCTAGTTTGTTCTTGTGTGTCCGGACTGTGAGTAACTCTTGTATTGTATGTATTGTACTATTATTATATAATTCGTTACACTGTGGCTGTGTTGTGTGTGTTAAGCTGCTGTTGCACTACAATTTCCCTCACGGGATCAATAAAGTATCTATCTATCTGCATGCAGGAGGCTGTGAACACGGCTTGGATTACAAGTCAGTTCCTGCCGGTGAAGAACAAGGCGATACTGCAGCCAGGTGAATGGGATTGCTAGGGGGAAGGTCAAGAAAAGCTCCAGAGCAGCCACTGACTCCCTGAGTGCCTCCCTGAGGAGGTGGCTGAACCTACTAGTGCTCCTCCCTTCAGCTGAGGTCTACTGTCAGAGATTGGCAATCCGCCACTTCGGGGCCCCCTCTATTTGACTTGGGTGGCTGCCAGCCTCAGAGAAACCCAAGTCAGGTCTCGTTACCCAGGCCGTGTCTGTGAGTGGACATGGGTGGCATCACGCTCCAGGTCTTGTTCTTTGGGTTGTAGCACTCGACGGTGTTGAGGGTCTTCAGGCCGTCCCTCCCCCCGACCACGTACAGCTTGTCGTCCAGCACGGCCACGCCGAACTGCAGCCGTCTGCCGTTCATGTTGGCCACGTGCGTCCACGTGTTGGTGCGCAGCTCGTACCTCTCGATACTAGTGGCACCTGGAGCGAGGAGGCGAGAGAGGACCCCGTTCAGACATACAAACCCACGACAATAACCTCACCTTCTTTGGCGGTCACGGGCCGGTTCCGGAGGGCGCAATTTGGGGAAATGGTGAGTGAAAGCAGCGAGCGGAGGAGCTGGCAATCAGGTCCGATTTTGATTTCGCGTTCTCGGACGTCCGTCGTGGCTGTGAAGGGCCCCAAAAGAAAAAGCCCAGGTGCGTCGCGCTAAAGTATATTCAATCCCTCACTCAGCAAAATGAAAGTTAAACTGGACAGTGCCCAAAGACAAAGGAAATGCCCACAGGAATTACTTAAAGTTGTCTGTGTTCCCTGATGTGGTGACAAGTGAGTAAAACATTATTATTTAGAATTATAAACCCTGTAGTAACATCGGGGAGATAAAGACGACACACATATGTCCTTCAAAAAGGTGTGAGTCTCCAGTCATCTGCTTCTTATTCACACCGTGAGCTGGCGCTGGCACTGCGAGAACAAGGGCAACACTGCTAGGCCACAGGGGCTGCTGGTGTGTGGCAGCTCTAGAATCCTATAGCCGACACACAACCAGCCAGTCCTGGAAACCACCTCCCACTCTACTGGCTTGGAAATCCTGACCACAGTTTGCTTTGGACATTCCCAGACTGGAGCCAGGAATCTCCCAGCTACAGGGCTCTACGGAGCTCCGCTCAATCATTTGAACGTCCTCTACAAATCCTATTTACTGTGACAAATGGGGCTTTTGTACATCAGACCAGAGCACATGGCAGTGCGGGGGACCTCAGTGTAAGACACGGGACCTTTGGTGGCGTCCATGCCCCCTACTGCAAACAGCACCCCCACAGTGGACTTCCTGGGCCTGGTCCGCGGGCTCTGCAGCAAGGGCCTGCGCTCAGGCAGCAGGTGGTACTTCATGGCCTCCATGATCAGTCGGTGACATTCGATGTTGTCCCGGAAAAGGGGATTGTTCTCCATGTCGGCCAGGAACTAGGAAAGGAAAAGGAATTCCTGATCACCCAGGGATCAGAGCTCAAAGAACAGCCTATACAAATAAAGGTGCGTCCAACATATTATAATTGCTTAAACTTATATAGAGCTTTTCTGAACATTCCACTCAACCATAGTGCCTATCAATGGGGAGGAGAGCAGAGTAATGAAGCCAATTCATAGATGGGGATTATTAGGAGGCCATGATTGGTAAAGGCCAATGGGAAATTTGGCCAGGACTCTCTTTTCGAGAAAGCCCTGGGATTTCTAATTACCACAGAGAGTCAGGACCTCAGTTTTATGTCTCATCCGAAGGACGGCGCCTATTTACAGTATAGTGTCCCTGTCACTATACTGGGGCATTAGGACCCACATGGACCGCAGGGTGAGCGCCCCCTGCTGGTCCCACTAAGACCTCTTCCAGCAGCAATCTTAGTTTTTCCCAGGAGGTCTCCCATCCAGGTACTGACCAGGCTCACAACTGCTGAGCTTCAGTGGGTTGCCAGTTGTGAGCTGCAGAGTGATATGGCTGCTGGCTACTCTGTAGCTACTATTGCTACTCCTGCAGAACCAAATACTAGTATATTAAGTCAAGACAGGACTGGCTTTACGGCAGTTGTTTATTACACATAAAGCCTCTTGGTGTACTATTATTTTGACTGACAGAGTATTATTAACAGGTAACACAGGTGCTGGCCTTCAATGTACGTATAACACAGGCAACAAAAATGAAATTGTCAAAAATGAGGAATTAATTGAATTCAATTAGAGATGAGGTAATTGAATCACGCACCAGTGTGGTCCTGAAAGGTCTGGTGTTGCAATACCCTGGATTACAGGAAGAGGCTGTTATCCTCATGGCAGTATCTTGCCACATATCCAGCTCTGTCACTTTGGTGGCAGAGAAGATAATTGAAATTCGAAAAATGACGGCAGGTTGGTCAATTAAAACTGTTAAAAAAAATCAGGAAATGCAATGGGACATAATGAAATATTCACTGCACAATGATATTCATTGGAGATATTATTGGTTGTTAAAATCTTCATCAGGTGATCAGAATAAAATCCATTAGGGACTGAGGAGCAGAGTATAATTTAGCATTTCCTTAAAATGCCCTTTTCCCCTCCTGCGAAGAATTAATATGGAAAATTACGTTCATTCTCTTAATATAGTTATGCTTGGTGCTGATTTATTCTCATTTATTTTCCCTCTGAACATCGTGCTGTTACTCTCTGTGTATACTGTATATGTTTTTAATTAGGCACAGTAGTAACAGAGAGGCTGACTAATTGCCTTAATCAGTTCAATTACTACTGACGCAAGTGCAGATTTTTCATTTGCTAATTACTTGACAAATTCCCCCGGATGACTTTGCCACCTGTTTCTCTACAGCATCACATCCATGTGTTCTGCTGGCTGCAGATTCACAGTTCGCTCCTGAACCGAGACACGTGATACAGTAACGTATCACAGACTCTAAACTAGCCTGACTGCTGACGAGAGTGGATAGTTGCCCTTACATTTTAAGTGACCATGTTTAAAAGTGCGAAAAAAGATGAAAAGCACAATGCTGGATTGCGGTTTTGCTTATATCATAAGCGTTCTGTGTGAGTTTTTAATAGTTTCACACTTAAGCAAATTAGCCTTGCATTCCGCAGCCCGGTGAGAGTACGTCTGGTGATGGAGAGAGAAACGCACTAATTGAATCATTTTGACTACCGTAGTCTAATGGCGCTGGAGAACATAAGTGAACTGACACTGTAGCTGTTCCATAACCTTTTTAAATTTACATTACCATATATCGTTTGGTGCAAGACGGATTTTATCTACTCACTGGACACATGAGCAGCAGGTCAACAGCCTATACATTTGTATTAGGCCGCTTGAGGGAGCTAGGGAATGTTATCAGTGTTGCACAGGCTCTGGTGTTGGTTTTTGTCCATTTGCTTTCAGAGGGTGTAACAGTTCCAGGGCAGAGCAATTCAGTCCTAGAAAAACTGCATTTCATTCCGGGCATCCTTAAAATTGACTGAACTGACCTAACTATTTACTATACTTGGCTGATAAAAGGTGGACCAACTGACTGTGAAAATGCAAATGTTTCCAAAGTCTTTATTTAATGCCCGGCAGACTGGACTGGTCAGCCCTGACTCAGTGGCAGGAGTAGTCATAATACAATTTTAGATAACTAAAAGGAGAAAATGTACAAGGAGACAAACACATGCAAGTGATTCATAGTCAGTAGAAACTCTGAACACACCCATGTTCTGAATAAGATTGCAAAGACACAAGAATGAAATACCAAACAATCCATGACTAAAATAACCGCAACGCTAAAGTCTGCAAGAAGGATGCAGCACTCATTAGCATTACTCTTCATATCTCAATTAATTGAGACATCAGCCTCTCTAGCTGAGTGAGACGGATGTCTGTGTTTATTAAAGAAATCCAGCACAGTCCTTTCTGCAACCTATATTGTGTTACATGTGGACTGAGTCAAAACGAGAACTGAAAAACTAAACTTAAAAGATAAAACCCTTGATCAGAAATCAAAGGCTTCTCTGCAAAGCTGGTGAATCTGTCTGCTCAGAGACGGACTGTCTCCTCCAGCGCAGCGCACTGAGTTACCCAATTTACTTTGGTAACAACCACTAATATTTCAGTAAAGAAAGAATCACCAACGGAAAGAGAGCAATGAATTTCTATTCTGTCCCCTGGCACTTGCTCTGGGCTTAACGTACTTTCAATGGAATTAGAAAAAAACATGAATGTGGATTGTACGGACTTCTTAAACACAGTATACCTAACATCCAGCTGAGTCTTTCAAACTCCAGCAATAATAAAGATTATGACACATTACTGATCCTACTACTTTTGCAACAAATAAAAAAACAACTCCAAATACCTTTCAGAAGCTACTGCATTCAAAAGCTAGAGCTGGATAACTAAATACCCTGTGGTTTTCTCATAAAAGGGTTTCCTTCACCTCCATTTACAGGATTAAAGGATTACTTACTATTGTGCAGACAATAGCTGCAATATCTGATCTTGCCGAGATTCTCAATCCATAATTATCTGCCAAGCTAGCTTTATTTTAGTAAATAGCTTATCTGCCCGAAAGGCAATAGCAAATTGACATTCAACAAGAAATGATTTACATTTTTATTCCCTTTCGGCAGCACGTTCTGCACTCGTGAGCTGACAGCCGCGATCTCGGAATCTAGGAAATGAGAATGTTTTTTTCTCTTCCCCGCTCTACACTTCAATACCTGCGATGTGAACAGCGTGCTCTCTGAGGAATGTCGTGGAGGGGCTGAAAACAATCATTTACATTTAGATAACCTGAGCTAATGCTGCAGGACTTTCCTGTGTGTTTCAGATTGAACAGAATGACTTCAATAAAAAGAAGAAGGGATGCTGCCTGTGAACCTCTGAGGGGTTGTTTTCAGGTGGATAAATGAGCAAGTGGGGAAAGGGCCCATCAGTGTCACTGTTGATTCGGCTATGGAGCTGTGAGGAGATTGAAGCACAGACTATTTAATTATTCAACGTGGAAAGAAATGGGAAAAAAAACCCACATTTTGCTATTTTGCTTATGTTTTTCAAAATAATACTCAAATAAAACAAGCTGGGCAATAGTGACCCACTGTTAAGTAGATTTATATTATCCTTAAGGATGTAGGGTATTGTTTGCCTTGGTCAAGTACAGTACATGTATAGGTTTTAGTGCTGAATTCAGCTACATGAAAATAACTTAGAGGGTGTTACAATGTAAACTGAAGACCACTTGTGAAGCTCTGTATTGAACAATGCTAAATCTTTTAAGACAAGCCAAACTGTTTTAAAATCACATGGTAATCTTTGGCTTGATTGCATCACAACTACGAACCTGAAAACTGATACACAACAAGAACCACACAAGCCAGGTCCAGTCAATCATTTTGAATACCTGCTCGTAAAATTATTCTGAAATCAGCTCTGATGCTTGCGTTAAGAGTGCTGGAACCACAGGCTCCCCACCCCAGATAGGACAATCGGGGTCGTTTGCAGGTTAAGCCCCAGGACTGCCTTGAACCCCTCCATATTGCAGCCAAGAATACAACAGTTGTGATGTGGGTACTGGGCACCTGAACGTCCAATGCCTGGTACACCTTTTGAACGTGGTGGTGAAAATGCTTTGGAAATACGGTCTTCTGCAAAGTGAAAAGAACAGTTCCGATGAGCAGACAAAATGTCTTGAAATCATGACTTCACTGTTCCACCCAGAACGTGTGCTGCACATCATGTCTGCAGCAGACCTGGTTCTTTTCATTCATATGCTACAGGAAGACAGCACACAAAAACACTTTTATACAGCTGATTAAAAGCAGAGCTCAAGTTAATAATCAGTGAATGTTAAAATTGGTGATTTCAAGCCTCACTTGATTAAATCAGTTAAATCTTGAATGACTGGCAGGATGTGCCTGTGTCTGATGTCCGGACGGGGACACCGATGTGTCGTCAGGGTGCGAACAGACCTGTGGGGCCAGCAGAGGCAGTCTGATGAAGGCCAGCAGCTTGCTGAGCTCGCCCTGCCTGCGCCCGACGTCGTGGTGCACCCAGCTCAGCAAGGCGTTCAGGACCGTCTCCTCGTCGGGGACGTTCATGTCATCAGAGGCCATGAGCTTCAGTACCTCGCCGGCTGGCAGCAGCAGGAACTCCTGGTTCCTGATCACCTCCAGGAAGTGCTCCTGTCAACAGCAACAAAACGGCGAAATCTTTGAGGACCTTGATGGTCTACTGTAGCCAACCCGGTGCTGCCCTGGAGTCAGTGTGATGCAGATTTGTTGTGAGGAGAAGTAGTAGGAACTGCACTGTTGGCCTGGCAAGGAATGGGCTATTCTCAACCTTTCTGTCATTTTACCACATCATACAGTGGTGACCCTTGTGTTTCCCAGTACAGGTCATGTGGAGCTGCAGGAAGACTGAACCCCACTCTGGTCTTGTACAACCCAGACTCTTTAAAGGCTCTGCCACATTACCCGATTCAAACAGCTAGTATATAGCCTGGTTGTTTACAGAGGACAGAGCTAGTCATGGGACAGATAGTTAGAAGCCCAAAGAGCAACCACTGGATTGACACCAGAACGAAAAGGGAGTATAGAGACTCCCCCCTCTGCTTTTTGGAAAAAGGAAAGAGGCCTCCCCTTCTCTCTTTTTCCCTGTCAAGGCTTCAAGAGGAAAAAGTGAGCCTGGACAGGGGAAAAGACAGAGGTCAGGATACAGTCTGATGACAAGAGGTACGGAATACTACAACATACAAACGCATAAAGTTCTATATTTATAGGAAGGATCACAGCAGCTGAGAGCCTATCTTGGAATTTTAGGATACAAGTTGAAACTTCACCCTGGAGGGGGTGGTAGTCTATCATCAGACTTGCACACATACACACAAAGGGACCATTTAGAGATACCAAGTAACCTCACCAGCATGACTCTGTAAGGTATAGGCAATGTGGCAAACCATTGAAATCATCCCAGATCCCGGGAACTTGTCATAATACAATTGTGAAAGTTTCCATCTGTATTTTCCTACCAAAACCAAAGTACTTCCTCACTTCCTGGTAAAGCTGAGAGCTAGGCAAATATCACCCCCATCTAAAGCGACACAGCTGGTTTTCACAGAGCCCAGTATGGAAATGTGCCAGCTTGCGGTGGAGATGGGCTACACTGGTAGTCGAGTAACATTATTTTTAGCCTGCGGTCAGAGCAACTCCACTTCTACTGTAATTAGAGATCTAGTTCTGAAAGGAACACAGAAATATAGGGGCCAAAAAGGAGAAACCATTATGCAGCGGCCTGGCACTGGAAAAAAAAAATGATGCATCTCATAAAAACAGGCTCTCAAGCACACATCCAGATGTGGAGTGAATCACTAGTGATTCCAATAAACAGGTGAAGCCGGCTTCAGCATCGAATTGTACAGAAATAGTAAAACAGGACTAAATGACCAAAACTATTCGGTATTGAATATGAGTAACAGGAGAAGCTGAGAGTGCAGCTTCTCAAGAAAACCCAGTGATTCAAAGCACAGAGCTGCGTGTGATCTGGACTCTTCATACGGATGTCTCTACTGAAATACAACAAGATTATTCCCCTCGGGCATGTACAGGAACACTCTGCCATAAAGTAAAACACTGCAGCTTTTCTCCACTGATTGCTTCTTCTCTACTCAGCATTCTGGAGTGAAGCAATCACTTTTACTTAGGCATCTCTGTCTTTGTAAAGACTGCTATTGTTATAAATAGAGTTTTGTACAGTTAACAAAGTTCTGAAGTTTTTTTGGAGATACTTCAGAAGGGCGACCTAGTTTGCAGCACTGTTATCAGGAGGATGCAAAGCAAGATCTCAGATGGGGTGTCTCAACCCCAGTTCATCAGCTCTCACTACAAGTGCATTGACTCCTTTGAATGAACCCATCAGATGAAATATAGACATATATTAAAACTCAACAAGCTGTGAATGGTTGTGCTTAATATGTAAAGCATGTTCACCTCCGAGTGGGCATTTACATGCACAGGGATCTTTTCTGCAGGGCGTTGATAATTTATTGCATGCACATCCTGTAAATGTCTCCTAGTGTGACTGTCATAATGAAAGGGCATTCAATTTAATTCCCTGTTCTTGTGGATGACAGAAGAAATGACCATAGTCCTAACATTTAATGCATGTATCACTCAGCTCTAAGCCAATAACGTTTAAATTTTCTCTGCAGCCAACACATAAACTGTGACCGATGGACAAAAAAATGCTTCACTGTTCGACAACATCTGTCCGCTACTTATCTTTAATTGTGAAGCTCTGTTGTGGCTGCATGGGATCTGACTTGCTTTGTTTATAATCTCGGCTGGCAGTACAGTGTATTAATTCCACGCCAGGCCTCCCCTCAAGCTCTCTAATGGACTCTCTCTGTGACACATAAAGGCTATTACAAGAGCTGTGATTGCACAGATTAGCCAGCGATGGAGGAAATAATTACCGGAGAAAGCCTGTTTGATAGAAAGCTCTAGTGGTATCGGTAATCTCAGGGAGAATGTAGTCCTTTTCATTTCCTTATCAAACAGTCTGCATTCCATGTATAAGCCAACAGCTTGGAGCTGGGCTGTCACTGTCAATCAGACACACACCGTCACAGGCATACTCATGCTTACAGACAGGCGATCTGCATGACAAAAGGCCATATTATTCTGCTTTTGGTCGTCTTAAAGGTGATCAGACAAAACTAGATCCCCATTTTAAACTCATCAATTGAGATACAGTAACAGGATAATACAGTAATGGTAGAGTGCAGGGGGTAAAGAGTGAGAACACACAGTTTAGTGCAAGTGTGTACATTTCTTTTGGACAGCTGTAGCCCTGGAGCTCACTGTGAAATGTCCTATGAACGTGTTTAAACCCTATGCACTCAGGTATCCCTGTTGACTGACTCTCATCCTACAGGCTTTTTATTGTTGATGGCTTTCCTGGCACCTTTAAAAAATGTGTGACTCAAGAAACTAACAAAGATACATCTACCTCATTACAACAACAACTAGTTCAATTTCAAGACTTTGTTCTAATAATCGTCTACCACTGTACAGCTGCACAATATTTTTTAGATTTTCCCATGGTATTTACTTTACTTTTTCAATACTCTAGTGCTGGGGCATAAGAGTAAGCTTCTCTAAGCTTTACCGTGGATTAAACCATGACATCACTGACAGCTCATTTCTTCACTTTTTTTCGGACCACGGTGAATGTTTATCAGGGTATGTGCCACTGGGCAGATATTTAAACCTTTTTTTTCCCAGCAGGAGTTAGACTGTGTAGCCACACATTATACAGTACAACAACAATTCTAAACAATTACATTTAATTCCAACTATGATTACAAAGGAAGACAGAGGAAGGGGAAAAGAAATTAATATAACAGCAAAGCTAAAAACAATACAGAAGATCAGAGTATAAAGCATATTCACCTACACACTGGTCAGCAATGGGGTACAGAATTATACACCTGTCCACTAAGCCACAATAAACTACATTTTTTAAACCACTATGATTAAACTATAATACGAATCCTGTTTATCCTTCACCGATTTATACAACACAGTTATAGTATGTTACAGCTTTATAAACAAGTTAATGGCTTCTGGATTATGGCTTATTAATAATTATACAGAAAAAAACAGTGTCTTTTTATAGACAGTTTCTATGACAACCTCAAGTGAGAACAGAGGCACTGCCTCAGTGAATTATCCATTATTACCACAGTGAAATTGGAGTCCCAGTTGTAACCCAATAAAATCAAACATAATAAAGGAAGTAAAGCCATCCATCTGGCATGACTAATTAATTACAAGGGTTGTATTTTGTTCTTGCCTTCAAATTCAATCACTTCAAACCCACACAAAGTGAGAAGCAGAACATAGATTGAGAAAGAGAATTGAGCTGAGCATCATTGTTCTGTTAAAAAAAAAACTACTTCAAACTATTGGTCCTGTTGTGAGATGAAAATCTTAAACACCCCTGAACTATCGGCGCCGAGGAGATTAGGCTGTCCAACTCCCAAATAAACAAACTTCAAAACCACTAGTTTTGTTGTTTTAGAAAAAGCTTTCTGTCTGACTCTTAGATTCCAGTCCTGTCTATATTAAATCTTTAGCCTGCAAACTTCAGATCCAGATGTTAAGCTCAGATCCACATCTTATACTGGTTTGGGCAAGGTTGCAGTGAAACCCTAAGCCTAATTGGGATAAATAAGTACATTAGCAACAACAACATCTGCAACTCATAGTGTCTTACAGTCACAACTGTAGGCCTCTTCTCTGGCAAAGGCCTTTTTTGCACAAGGACTTGTTTCCCCAGCTAATGGACCTTCAAGTGGAGAACACGACCCTGAAGACACAAATGGAAATTAAGAGCACTGACATTCAGGGCTAAACATCAGGAGGCACTTGTAACACGTAAGGAGTCATGGATTCCCCCAAAAAACTACACATCCATGCATATTGAAACACGGCGTCCTTAAATAAATAAATTAGCCCCCAGTGCGCCAGCAAAAGATCACTTAACCAAAGCATGTAAAGGGAATTAGAGAGTTAGGAAATCACAGAAGGTTCCACTCTCATTCCAACAGCTGTTTAATGAATCTGACCTTTTAGATAACCAAAAGTGGTGCCTTCTAGGTTTTGCAAAGTGCTTCTCGGAAATGAGCCCTTCAGAGTCTTTTTTTCCCATCACTAGACAGTTTGTGCAGGAGTGCCCGCGGGAGGCCGGAAGGTGCCCACCATGGTGTAGTTGTGCGCCACCCGGTGCAGGTCGGTGCAGCCCTGGGCATCGGCGAAGGAGCGGATTCCCAGGCAGTTGGAGGGGTGGAGCTGCTTCATGAGGAAGCGACAGCAGGCCTCCACCACGGGGGACAGCTGCAGCAGGCAGGCTGTGGACAGCAGGCTCTCGATGGTCTCCTCTCGCAGCTCCAGACGACCTGCGGAAAGGGCACAGACTTGTATAGACTTCACAAATGGGTCACAAGTGGCTGTGCGTCACACGGGCTTCACAATGTACCACACTGACAGTGTAGAACACAACACACAGGCCTCACAGTTAACCAAACTAACAGCGGACCACATAACACAGACAGGCGTCACAGTTAACCAAACTAACAGCGGACCACATAACACAGACAGGCGTCACAGTTAACCAAACTAACAGCGGACCACATAACACAGACAGGCGTCACAGTGACAGTGTGTCACACAAAGCACATGTGTCACAATGTACCACACTGACAATGTGTAACACAACACACACAGGCGTCATAATGTCCCAATGTCCCACACTGACAGTGTGTCACACAAAGCACAGGCGTTACAATGTATCACTCTCACAGTGCATAAAAAAATGCACGGGTGTCACCGCACTGGCAGTGTGTAACAACACACACAAGGCGTCACAATGTTCATCAGTGACAGTGTGTCACACAACACACAAGTGTCACAATGTACCACAGTGACAGTATTTCAAACATCCACGTGCCAGAATGAGCTCAGTTACCAGTCCGCCACTAGAACACACAGCAGTCAGGTAAGTCAAATGAATGAGCAATGGCAGCAGCATGATTGGCATGTTTTTCACCCAAAATGTATGAGGTTTTCTTTTCTGTTGCTGCTTTATTTAATTCACCTCGACAGTATAATACCTCAAAGCTGTGCTGCAAATGCGCAATGCGAGGTGAAGGCAAGAGAAGTCATGTGACCTTATTATCCAATCACATTCCCAGAAAGACCCTATTGATCTGTGAATCAAAGTCTGAGCCATAGAGAGCAGAAAAAACACTTTGGAAGTCTATGTGTACAGTCTGACAGACAGAAGCCAGATGAAAAACATCATACATTTAACCATGTCAACATGATATCATATCTTGCCAACAAGATGAAGCAGAAACATTCTAGGAACAGAACTACAGAAGGAGCATTTATTTTTAAATGATACCGTTACCGCCAAATGTATTTTAGCAAACGTAGAGAGATACTTATGATCCGTGATATCTGAATAACTGCTGTGTGACTCTGTTTTTCACATATCAGACAGGGGGACAAGACCCTGAGCAACAGGAAAACTAGTTCACACTGTAAACGAGCGAAAACTAGATGTTTAAATGGCTGTAAAAGTGGTATATCCTGTAAGTGTTTCAGCACCTTCTGCGCTGGGTTACAATCAATCTTGTGTCTGGCACTGTGCAGGAGAGTATAGCCCTTCTCCCTCTCTTCGTACCTGTGTAGGCATACTGTACCAGAGCCCACAGCGCACTGGGTTCCACACCCTCCATCTTGACTTCCTCTTGTTTCGCCTCCCGGACGTCACTGGTGAACATGGCCGCAAAGTAGTCCGAGACCGAGGACAGGACCAGCCTGGCAGGGGCAGAAAGGTCGCAAGGAAAGAGGGTGAGCCGGGCCCCGTTTCTGTCTGTCCTTTCTTATTGTGGGCTTGTCATATTGCCCTTTGAGGTGTCAGTGAGACGAGAGAAGCTCTGCCAGTTCCACTGCCTCCCTCTCCGCATGAATTATAGATTCAGGCTTACTCAAGAAATTCCTTCACCGCTCCCAAGTCTGACTCCTGTGAGGCCACACAGAAGCAGGTATGGTTTTACAGAAAAATAGTTCAAGCATGAGAAAACTTTCACCTGCACAGGGTAAGTTCCTCCTCCAGTGTGTACATTGCTACCGTCACCTCAGACAAGGCTCTGTTCATTACCCCAACTGCTTCAGTCTGTTAGCAGTACTGATTGTCATCAGCATTACTGGGGTGTCAACCTGCTAACAGGATGGACTAGTGTACAAGTCCAGAACCTTGTCTCAAATTACTTTCCACTGCACAATGGTGATACAAACCAAATTAAATCAGCACTGCCACTTTTTCAAATCTTTATTTTAATTTCCACGAACATCCCCTCCGGTTTTCTCTTCTGCACTGGGAACAAGTGAAGCCATCCTGAGAAAGCACTTTGTACGGTTTCCGTAACACAACGGAATGAGGAAATTCTCTGCTCAAAGCGGAGTGGAAACTCCCTGGTGTCTATAAAAATACACGCTGACTTCTTTTACAGTCCAGCGGTGTATCCATATAGAATCTGGCAGATAGCTCTACAGACAGTATTTAAATATTTACACAAATACTGTGTGCTCTGCATTTTTCAGCATTATGCCTCTGATGTACTTTATCAATAATTTAAATGATTTTAGATGGCTTAAGCCAGCTCAAGTGTCAACAAGGGACCACCATTGTATTTCTTGTATCATAGCTAGAAGGTTACTCATTTTTTACCAAACATCTCTGCAGTTAACTGAGTTTTGTGTTTTTTGGTTTCATACTGTCTAGTTTTGCAATTTGACATTACTGGGCAGTATCCAGTGTGTTGATTCGCAATGGTGGGATTTTCAATCAAATCTCTCCATGGCCTCCAAGAAGACGAAACCCAATGACCAATTACGATGACCAGTACTTACAACAGTTTCCTTGACTTTCCTCACTCTCCCATCTGGTAAAACAGGTGGCTGCAGCACAGACTCGATTACAGGGGAATGCAGCCTCAAAAGCGAGATCATTTAGGCACAATCTATTTTGCTACAAGCTGTTCTAACCAAATGTCCTCTGAATTTGTAAAAAAAAAAGCATAGCAATAGCTACTAATTATGTCAGTTTTCAATCTGGACTCATTTCTAAAGGATCTGATTTAAAAGCTAGCGTTTTTTTTATTTGATACGTCTCTGGAACCTGCCACTGCGCTGGTGTTACAGCCACCGTGAAGCGAGAGTTTGCAACTGTTGACTTCACTGTGCCTTCTGACCAGTGTACAGGCACAATCCAGAACGAGCAGGTCCTAGCCTGCTCTGTCTTCATTTCAGCTAAGCAGAAAACAATTACATCAATGACTCTTGGGGCAGGGTGTTTCACTCTAATCAGAAATCACTGGAATTGAGTAATCCTGAGTGACCAGTCAACCGGTTAAGGTTAAGTTAAGGCTCTCACTGGGCTCCAAATACACTACTAGTTTGAATCTCTAGCTTGGCACACCAATTGCTGAGCAACAACAGCGGTTGGTTGGCTTGCAGTTGGCTGAGCTGTGCTCTGCTGTGAACGTGCGGCATTGTGGTCAGCCTGCCAGATCATTGGAGATTCTAAATAAGGAGCAGCATTAAAAGAAAATAACAGTGGTTCTAAGTTAAGAAAAAGGAAAATTAAAGTGACAGGTGGGCTGGCTCAATTTAAGCACAAACCGTTACCCACTGGCACAGTGGCTGCTCAGCACATTAGTATTTGAGTTATAACAGCTATCACAAACGAGCATGGAATTCATATTATATAGAAAATCATAATATTAAACAACTACACAGCTGTGATAAGAATTTATTGTGTGGGGTATGATGGTGAAATTATTACTAATCGATTGACTAATTGATTTGGTCTTATTTGAAGCAATACACTTGGCACTCTAAAGACAGTGGGAACTGTGTGGCTGTGGGAAACCTGATCAGATTCTTCATGCCCGTTACAGACTTCGCAGGCTGGTAAAGGTCAGCACTGTCAGTATTTAGAGGCTGTACATCCAGCGCCCTCTAGATTTATTCACAACGTGGATGAAATATGAACAAAAACATCAAAGAGAAAGAGCAATGGACTTGATAAATCGTCGCGCTTAAAGAGATTCTAAAAAGGTTACACTGTAACTGCAACAGTATTGCGCAGCGCAAGTCATAAGATAAACAGTCAGGGACAACAATGTGTCATCCTTGGGAGTTCCTGACCCAGGGTAGCCGGCTGAGGTAAAACGGGACACTAATGAAGCAAAACACCAGGTTATTAAATCTTCTGTGGCTACAAATTCAATAAAAGTAAGGTAGAAGCATCCCTGTGCTGACTTTGATACAAGACCTCGCAGCTAGGAAAACACAGATAAGAATCACACTGTGCCGTCAGAGTCTTGTGTGGTACAATACTCCCATTATATTCTTGTTTCATCACCAAGTCAACAGCGTCACCGAACAACAAAACAAACCTACTTGAGGGTGTGACAGAATTTATTAGGATTCCATGATATAGACAGATGTCTGACAGGCTCATCTTTTTTGGTTCTTTTCAGCTCATTTACACAACAGCTCAACTTCAACTTCTCTTTTCCAGACTTCTTTCTCCACTTGCCACTAGAGATGATGACCCGGGAGAGTTGGGAGTGGGGTTTGGATTCAACACAAACATTTTCTTCTCCCAAAGCACATGAAACTTGAAGCTGAATACAGTGGCATGATGTAACGAAAGCGCAGGAATTCCAAGGCAGCTTGAGGTGCTGTAGGGCAACCTCACATAAACTAGTTAACTAGCAACCTCACATAAACTTGGTAGTAACAGAAAAGCAGCTCACACACTGCAGGCCAACTGCAGAAAAAAACAGGACAGGCCTTGATGGAACAAAGTCAACTAAATCTCTGCTGCTGTTAAAGCACATAAAAAAATACTGGTTGAAAAAATGCAAGAAAAAGCTGCATGCCCACTGAAAACTCGAAGGTTTTCCTTTGTACTTCATATTTTCAGATATACAGTACAAAATTGAAATACTGACACAAGAACATTTCACATACTGATGCACACAGCAAATAATGGGGGAAAATGCCCATAGGAGCTAAGGGATGACGTAGCAAATACTCCACAGAGACCTTGTGGATAAATAAGTGTCCTATTCTCTCCTTCCTACAGGCTAGGTGGACCTTAATTTTGGAAAGGTGAACCGTTTCAAGGGTTTTATTTTTGGTTTGATGGATGCAGAAAACATAGTCCCCTTTGGCAACATTTCACAAAACCGCTAAATCCGCTGAGAATTAAAAGAAAGAGTGCAGGGATTCCTTCCAACAGACAGTTCTCCTAACCAGAACAAGGTACTACAGAAGCATGGTTTTGACACCACATCCCCGGTCTTAAAAAGGACACAGCTAAGAAAGCAATGATCCACACATGTACACAGCAATCACACAGTACTCGGCTTATATACTAAGAGATTTCAGTTAAGTGAAAGGCCTTCCATTAAAACATCACAAACCTTTTTGGGGCATGATGCAAGTCCCTATAAATGTATGAAGGCCACAAATCATAGCGCAGCAGTTGGATATGCACACAGTAATGAGAGGACCTACTTAGCTTGTCATCGGACCATGGTAAATATACACAGCCATTTCTGCAGTTTAGTCCAGTGTGGCATTTAGTCTCTTTATTTGCATTATTTTTCATTTACCATCATGATCACGTCTTTATGTTTACCAATGTTTCACAATTTTCTGTGTTCTCCCTATGGTACAGCAGATAATATCCAAAACTCTCTGTTTTCCATAATGAAGCTCTCACTGTGTAGTGAATAAAGCAACTGCTGAGACCACACGGCAGATAAGACGATGCCACTTATCTTATATGATAGGATGGGAAAGACTGTTGGGCCCTTATTATAAGGGATTCCACAGTGAATCAGCAGTCTGACAGATACACGGGCTTTGATGTGGCCTGAGAGAGATTAACAAGCAGGATGCAATTATACTAAGAATACTTCTCTCCGTTCAAGCAGTGTGCAGTAGCCTTCAAGTTCTATTCAATGCTGCGCTCTCCAGTGCAGAATATTTCAATACAGATTTCAGCTCATCCATGTACAGTAAGAAGACCTGCTCTCTTCTCTATTAAAGGAATTGTTAATTATGGTTTGAGTTGTTTCTTTACTGAAGCATTAAGATTCATATCAAACCCCCAAGACTATTTACATGACTATTATGAGGAAAACCGTGTTCCCTGATCATTTAAGGAAGATGTGGGAGTGTCTTTCAAGACTCTTAATTACAGCGCTGAGCTTCTAAGAATTTTATTTGATGATGATGATGATAATAATAAAAATAAGAAGAAGGTTTATACAGTACCTTTAAAAATAGAACCTGAAAGCGCTTAACAGTAGGTGTAAAATCAAACAAAATAGTAGGTGCAAAAAAACAACAACATTAAAACAGAAGGACTGCGAATGACAAAATAAACACATTTAAGAAAGAAGAGTAGTATGTAGCAGAAGATACTGTACATGGTCATTGGAAAATGGAGCACACGCAGACAAAAATTATGTGAAATTGCAACCGTTCTTGAGTGCTACTAGTTCTTTCTAGCATTGTTTCTCCCAGTTTGAGACGACAAATTAAGACATATTCTGACCAACTGTCATGGGTGAGGTCATCGAAACGCAGGATTTCAACACAGTATCCCAAAACCAGAACTGACCACATCCTGGAGTCCAGAAGTGAGAACATCAGCCTCAAGGATATTGTTATAGCTTAGTTCATGCTCAATTTGTTTATTGGTTTTTCAGGGAAAAGAAAGAATATTACATGGCACCATATACAATAATGAACACGTCTGAACAATCATCATGGCACGAAACAGTTGGTACCTAAACAGTGTAAACCCAACCAATAATATAAAAACAGGAATAAAGGGGTAGGAAAAAGGAATTTGGAGATTGGGAAGAGAAAAGCAAAGGAGAAAGAGAAAAGAAAAAAAAGTAGGTAGAGACAAAACAGAAAAGGGAAGCCACAGTCTTCAAGACTTACTTGACTGTTTATTTTCTTTCCATCCTGCTCCTCAGACGCGGTTTACAGCTGGTCCACATCTGCAGTGTGGACACCTGTAACGTGCACAGAGCTGCCCTCACCTGTGAGCGGGGATCCTGCGCTCGCCCGCCACCAGCACCACGTCGCACAGCTGCTTGTGTCTCAGGTAGCTCTCCATCTTCCTGAAGGTGAGCTCAGCGTGGTTCAAGGCCTGGAAGAATTCCTCAGAAGCACAGGTCTCCATAGTGTGGCATGAAGACACCGTGTGGCAGCTATTGGAGGTCCTGCACGAGAAACACATGACAGATTCTGGCATTGGCTCTAATGAAAGCGCTCCAGGGTTTGGCACAAATCTTGCTCCCAAAAATTGAAATTGTTTTGCACGTTTTTCTCCCTCAGCAGTTTTTACTCTATTGAAGTCACGCACAGACCCTTCTACAGCCTGGCGTTTCATGGTGTATCAATGCGTTTACCTTTTTCAATAATTTCCCATGACCTCACTGTGGTTTGTTTACTCCCTTACTTTACTCTTTTGCTATTTTTACTATGGTATCCTTGGTTTTACCATGGTTGTATTGTAGGTAGGAAGTGTATAACCCCTCTTCTATAGTTTGATACCTTACTGCACAGTGACCCCTTCGAATGTTGCAGGTATAAGCTGCTTTTGATACCTTGAGTTCCCAGAGTTGCATTTTACCTCAAGCAGATTCTCAGTAGAGCTCTCAGACACTTTTCCCCACAATCAAGGCTGCTTCAGTGTATATGACATGAAAGAGTCTTA